GATTTATTCTTACGAGGAAGCTCCGAGCATGCTCGGAGCTTTTTCAGTAGGCTCTTCTCTGCAGTTTATGTGAAAATAATTATCATGATCCATTAAGATGTCAATCAAATCTACACCACTTCTATAATAAGGAAAGTTGAGCATTATAGAGGAAGCTCAATTAACACCTGTGTAAACAACTGATCTATTCAAATACATTTTGCATGACATTTTACAAATTATAGAAAAGATAAGAAATTCTTCAACAGTACTGTGTAATGCTTGGAAAGAAATCTCAAGTCTCCACAAAAAAGTGAAAGTCATTTAACAAAAAATATACAATTATTATATTTATTAATCATTTCTTTTTTTATAATAAAAAAAATTCTCAAATCTTATAATTAGATGATATGATTTAAATATAGTTTATATTATATAATATGCTACATAAAAGTTATCAAGACACAAACAACAGTCAGGGGGCGATACTAAACAAGTTATTTTTTTTAGTTACTTAATATATATTAATAGGTATTTTTTTGTTTTTTTAAATTATTTGATATAAACTCAATAGTTATTTTAAATGTCAAAAGTGGACTAAATGTAGTTTTTAAGAATTTTTTCATCATTTCATTAAGTAAAATTAAGTATTTATCCAACTTGAGATGAGTATAGAGAGATTACTTTACAAATAATGACAAAAATATTACTTTTATAAATTATTTTATACATCTTCGAAAAACTAAGCATACTTACAATTATTTAAGGAACATATGTAATTGTTTTTGATAAAGATTTCAAATTATAAATAACTTCAAGTTTTAATTAAATCACAAAGTTCCATCCATTTATATTTGTTCATCTCTAAGATTTTAAAGGAAAATGTTATTTTAATAGCCCAAGAGACCAATCTATGACCAAGAAGTGTGGATTCAGAAAGGCAATTAGTGTTTCAGGAGGATTTAAATAGTTTTATACTGCATGGGGAAAATAACCAGATGTGAAAATTTGGTAAAGCTTGTAAAACCTGTATGAATGGACACCTATAGAAATAATATTAACAGAAGTTACTTATTCATGATATATAAGTAATATTTGAAACAACCTTGTTTTCAATGTAACTTGTATAAGTAATTTTGAAAATTACTTGTTTAAGTAATGCCCCTAACTATTAAAACAATGATAATTTTTTTTTTTTTTTATAAAATAGCAAAGTTAGTTTTTTATAAAAAAAATTATGGCTACTCTAAGAAAAGTTGAGGAGGTAATACCACCATTGTTTTCCCTCTAGTACGTCTCACTTTAATTGTAATTTTTTTTATAATTGTGCAGATTTGGTTTTATTTTAAATAAAGAAATACTTGGCATAATTATATAAGTGAAGTTTTATCCTGACCTGTACTTGAATGAAAATCTAATATAAAATTGTTTCCCCCTATCAGTCTTTGTTTAATTGGTATTTTTCCAAAAATATGTGCAGAATTTATCTATGTTTTAAATAAAGAAATACTTGACATGAGTAAAGTTTTTTCTTGTCCTGTACTATAGTAATAAAACAACATAATTTTTCAATGCATATAAGAAAGAAGACACCACCAGAATTAACCAACCAAATTCTATCCCCCTTTTTTTTTCTCTGTTTACAAGCTTTAGTAGCCATGTCCCCTAAAATTGCAAAAATATTTTATATAAAAAACTAACTTTGCTATTTTATAAAAAAAAAATACCATTGTTTAGTTAAGGGCATTACTTAAACTAGTAATTTTCAAAATAACCTATGCAAGTTATATTGAAAACAAGGTTGTTTCAAATATTACTTATATATCATGAATAAGTAACTTCTGTTAATATTATTTCTATAGGTGTCCATTCATACAGGTTTTACAAGCTTTAACAAATTTTCACATCTGGTTATTTTCCCCATTCAGTATAAAACTATTTAAATCCTCCTGAAACACTAATTGCCTTTCTGATGCCACACTTCTTGGTCATAGATTGGTCTCTTTGGGCTATTAAAATAACATTTTCCTTCAAAATCTTAGAGATGAACAAATATAAATGGATGGAACCTTGTGATTTAATTAAGACTTGAAGTTATTTATAATTTGAAATATTTATCAAAAACAATTACATATGTTCCTTAAATAATTGTAAGTATGCTTAGTTTTTCGAAGATGTATAAAATAATTTATAAAAGTAATATTTTTGTCATTATTTTTAAAGTAATCTCTCTATACTCATCTCAAGTTGGATAAATACTTAATTTTACTTAATGAAATGATATAAAAAATTCTTAAAAACTACATTTAGTCCACTTTTGAAATTTAAAATAACAATTGAGATTATATCAAATAATTTTAAAAAAACAAAAAATACCTATTTATATAAGTAACTAAAAAAAATAACTCCTTTAGTATCGCCCCCTGACTGTTATTTGTGTCTTGATAACTTTTATGTAGCATATTATATAATATAAACTATATTTAAATCATATCATCTAATTATAAAATTTGAGAATTTTTTTTATTATAAAAAAAGAAATGATTATTTTAAAAATATAATAATTGTATATTTTTTGTTAAATGACTTTCACTTTTTGTGGAGACATGAGATTTCTTTCCAAGCATTACACAGTACTGTTGAAGAATTTCTAATCTATTCTATAGTTTTGTAAAATTTCAGGCAAAATGTATTTGAATAGATTAGATGTTTACACAGGTGTTAATTGAGCTTCCTCTATAATGCTCTACTTTCCTTATTATAGAAGTGGTGTAGATTTGATTGACATCTTAATGGATCATGATAATTATTTTCACATAAACTGCAGAGAAGAGCCTACTGAAAAAGCTCTGAGCATCCTCCGAGCATGCTCGGAGCTTCCTCGTAAGAATTAATCTATGATCCCTAAGAAATATACACGCCGTAAACAGAAGTAAAAGGAACATTGTCGTAGAAAGGAAAGTAACAATAGGGAATAAAAATATCTTGTTTCTAAAAATAATTGTTTGTATAGTTTCCCATGTGAAACTGAAATATATCGAAATCCAGAAAGACAATAATTGTTGTTTACAATATATTTATGTTATGTCATTTCCTTGGGTAAATTTCCGCAGTATTAAAGAATTATAAATTATTTAAGGCAAAAATATCACCAGGGTAACTAAGTGGTCTTCATTTTTCTATTTAATAGAGCTTACACGACTCTGTACTGAGTTTGGCTATACACTGTTATTCCAAACAATACAGGAACAAGTCTGCTATTAAAAGGGTGCAATTGGTTCCCATCTGTGAAAAAAATATATTGACGAAACGTACATTCAATTGTTTCATATTTTTCATGTCCGGGCCTTTTATAGCCGACTATAGTATGGGTTTTCTTATTGTTGAGGGCCGTACGGTTGCCTATAATTGCTTACATCCACTTCATTTGAAGTTTGGTGGTAGTTGTGTCATTGGCAATCTCCATATTTTTATATAAACGTTGTCAAGGAGAAAACTATCAGCTCAAATCGTCTGATCACAAACTTTCAATTTATTCTTTATTGGAGTTATTTTTCCTTTACGTTAATATTAATCATAAGGATTCAAATACTAGAGAAAATAATTTTCTCCCTTTAAGATTCTTGACATGATACAAACCTCCACTTTTATTTTTGTTTATTTTACTGTTTGCCCCTGGTTACCATTAACAAACAGCACAAGATTGATATCATTAAAATAACCTAGTACGGTCTGAGTTATGTCGTCATGTCCGACGAGCATTATTTCAAACAATTAAAAATATACATGTAGAAAGAAACAATTCATATGAAGCAGGATCTGCTTACCCTTCCGGAGCACCTGAGATCACTCCCGATTTTAGGTGCGTTCGTGTTGCTCAGTTTTTGGTTTTCTATGTTGTGTTTTGTGTACTGTTGTTTGTCTTTTGGTCTTTTTCTGTTTTTGCCATGGCGTTGTAAGTTTATTTTCGACTTATGAGTTTGAATTTCCTTTTGGTATCTTTCGCCTCTATTTCAAAAAGTTTAAAATTTACTTGGCGCCAACTCGCCACACCATATGTGTAGAAATAAACTCATCATAGATACCAGGATTAAATTTTGTATTTATGCCAGACGCGCGTTTCGTCTACAAAAGACTCATCAGTGACGCTCGAATCCAAAACAGTTAAAAAGGCCAAATAAAGTACAAAGTTGAAGAGCATTGAGAACCAAAATTCCTAAAAGTTTTGCCAAATACAGCTAAGGTAATCTATCCCTGAGGTAGAAAAGCCTTAGTATTTCAAAAATTCAAAAGTTTTGTAAACAGTTAATTTATAAATATGACCATGTCATTGTAGCTACATGATACACATTTAACATAGAGAATGTTTCTTTTTGCGAGTAACATAGGGAAATTCTAAAAAAATACACAAAACACACGGACTTGTAAAACATGGTAAATAGGTCGGATACAATTTTCTAATGCAATTCTTTAGTGTTGGAACAACGCAGTGTACATGTGTACATGTAGATATTTCAGTTTGATTGGAACACAGCTGTTTGGCATATCCTCTTCTTTGGGGATTTGATGAATAAAAAGAAGTGTTGGTAATACTATAACGTGACAATAAGACGACATATATTACAACAAAACCATCTAGAGGAAATCTCCTTGTCTTCAACGAATTATCCAAATATAAAAAAAAAACACCAGGACATAACATAAGACAACTTTTATTTTAATTTGTATTTGTTTTCTTTATTACGGTTAACTATAACGATTTATTGGTGTTATGGTGGAGTATCAGCCCAACATACAGAGCTTTTTAAAAGAAAGAAAAAATCCCAGTCCAATTATCCAACTGACAATATTCTTCATTCATTAACAATACCCTCAGTTTCACATACAGTCTGCATGGAAGCACAGGATGTTTATAGCCTTGTCAATAAGTCACCCTAGTCGACAAAATTTAACATTTGCCTAAAAATACAAGAATCCTTTCACAGATGACACACACATATGTTGTATTTTTTGTGTTTCAGATAAGGAAGCAAAGAAATTATCAAAGTAGGAATTTGAAGGGAGAGCAATGGAGGCGTCTCTTGTACACTATGATTCTAGTATTAGTGTTCACGTGACGCCATACGTCAATACCGGAATCCACCATCTTATGCTGGCATACCAAATACTTTCTAATGTTTATATTGAATCCAACAAGCCATTTACAAAATATCAAATGCAAAATATCTATGATTTGATACTTAAAGCTTATAAGGACTTTGAAAATGCAAACAATAATTTATCAATACTGAGATCGAATGCTAACCAAGAATTTGAGAAATCAATATCTACAGAAAAGGTTTTATCGGACATAATCAGGAATTTAGAAGCGGAAATTGAAAGAACTAATCTAGAAATAAATGAAAAAAGATATGCAAATGACATTGCACAAATTCATCTTCAAACTGCGCATCAAGATCATAAATATGCTGAGCGGAACATGGATAGAGCAGTGAACGAGTACCATCGAAAGCGAAGAGAAGGAGAACGTGGAGTCTATTCCATTCCTTTTATTGGTGAAATTGCCGCAATTTTTACTGGATTAAGTGATGAAATTGAAAGAGCCAGACGTAAACAGGAGTTTGCATGGGATGATTATATGGATCGTCAAAATTCTCTTGATAGAAGGAAAAGGGAATTGGAAGAGTTAGGGTCTAATATTGAGAGTTTAAAAAACACTCTATTTTTCAATGAACATGAACGTAAGGTGCATACTGCAAGTGTAGCGGATCTTAAAAATATTCAAAAACTAATAAATGAAAATCGTGTAAATTTAGGGGATTATCTACATATTAGTTCCACACTTCTAAGAAAGACAAAGATACTTATGAGCGAAAGTAGTGAGGTTCTCTCTGTAGAACCTTTGTTAAACGTATTCCATGATGTTGCAAAAAGTTTAAAAGGGTCATCACACAAAACAAAAATGCTTAAGAGTGAAAAATTAAAATCATTTTTACTCCTAGCTGATCCTGTAGTCTTGGAAAAAAAAAAATTTGGCATCGCTTAACGTTGTTCTTTAATTTAATTGCATATTTGGTTTAATCAATATTGTTGTGTTTTGTCATTTATTTCTGTGTGTTTGAAGTTAGACCGTTATTTTTATATCTAAACGACTTTGGGAACCATTTAAATATTTTTATGATTTAATAGTTTGAAAAGGAACTTCATATTCACTATTTATTTTTTGTTGCTTGATTTTAAAAACAAAACTGTGTGTTGACTTTTGATACATAAAGACCTTACAACCATTCCATAGACCTAATATAGTTGACCTATAACTCAAGTAAATGAGAAACTAACCTAAGGATGAAAACTTGACACTGATCGTTGAACCACAAAACAGGTCATTTTTGACTCCTGTCAAAAGGACAAGTACACCAAAAAAACATTCCACAAACCAATGTTATTGACCTATTACTCATAATGAGCCACTGAGAAAATGGAACATTAACTGTGAAAAGACAGACAGACTTGAAATCAGATAGGCATGATATACTTGCAACTGTTATATGGCCAAATATAGTTTCCAAATGGCCATAAGTAAGCTCAGATTGCCCTTTTCTTTTTTGCATCTGACTTCCATTGCAGGGGATACAATAAATAGTCATAATATAATAGATCTTTTGTATTTCATGTCTTTAACTTTGCATGTTGGATAATTCAACTTTTTCAAATTTTTAGATCAAATAGATAGTAAGGTCTGTTATAAGTTAAAAATTTGAAACTGCAACTTCAAAAAAAGTTTCTCAACCCTCAATAGAAAAAATGTAATGGATTTTTTAATCAAAACAATCTTTTTCTGTGACAGTGTTTATTCTGGAATCTTTGTAACAAATAACAATACTCTACAAATAAAATTTTAAACATATGAAAAAATGTCCTTCATATTTTTAAAAAGCTCCCTAAAATCCATAAATAACAATGTAATATGATTATAGTTATGCTCTATTGAGTGAGCAAAGATGTAGAAATAAGGATGCTTAGTTAAATGTTTACAATACTTTTTTCAAAAGCTTCAAGCAGAACTCCAATATCAAAACCAGATTTTTATGATAAAAAATGAATATAGAAAGTTTTTTTCCCTCCAATTTATACTTCCTTTACCGATAAATTAATCGCACACTGTAAATGTAAAAATCATAAAAATTCAGGAAGAAAATTAAATAAAATAACAAAAAAATTAGTATAAAAATAATTTTAACATAAATGGGACAAAATAATTGCATACTGACAATAAAACATGAGCATTTATCACACCAATAACAAACTTGAGTAAGAAAGCAGATTCAGTTTCCTTTCATACACAATATCCCAACACTTTTTCGTCTCTCATCACAACCTGTTCCCACAGTGACCCTTCAATTTTTGACCCCCCAAAAAAGCCAATTATAACCAGTAATTTTCCGTTAGTTGAAACATGTCAATTGTCTTTGAGACTCCTAAGTTTTCAGTTAACAATTCTTATTAAACTTTCTAATATATTCTCTTTTTATAAGGGTCAACTTTATGGGTTATATCCGTAAAATTGAATTCACATGGTTTCTGGGGAAAGCACATGTTCAATACTGTATTGTACAAAATAATATATTCAGTTCAAGCTAAAAATAAACTGAAGTTCTGAATATTACCCTGTTTTCCAAGACTCCTGTTTAATACCATTTTTTTTTTTAAGATAAAGGCTTACATCTGGATAAACACATTTAAATTACTAAATAAATGTCTTGATACATATCCGCAATTCATTAGAAAAATAAGATATTTCATGAATAAAAAATATAAATGCAGAAAATTGAAAAAAATTGCAAGAGCAATAAATACCTCTTAATTCAATGTTACAATGAACATCAAAACATTTTATTTTCAGCCTTATTGGCCAAATTTTCAAGTTTCTTATAAAAAACAAATTTGAGCAAAAGCCTTACCCAAATTCCCAGATGTGCAATTAAGACTGTTAATCAAGGAACCAAAATGCAAGATTTACTAATGCCGAAAATGCAGAATGATAAATAATTTGGTCTGACTTCTGCAATATCTAACTAATGTCTTTCTTATCACATTCAATTTTCCACAATAAAAGAAACATCCAAAAATTCCTAATTTACAGTATCTGCTGTAAGTCAACATTTTTGTTACAAATTTTCTTGTGTAGTATGTCATGTCATGGCCTTTTATAGCTGACTATACGGTATGGGTTTTCTCATTGTTGAAGGCTGTACTGTTGCCTATAATTGCTTACATCAACTTCATTTGAACTTTGGTGGATAATTGTCTCTTTGGCAATCATACCACCTCTCCTTATTTTTATATGGCAGTTTTTCAAATCTAAATAATAATCATGTCATTAAGAGGCAATATGGACAGTTTTTCTTTCAGTACACTGAATTTATGGGTGGAAAATGAAAACATATACGTAGACTTTAAATGTATTTTAAAATAATGAAGACCTTAACGATAAATGTTTTTTCTGAATATAAAAAACTGACAGATTAATAAAGTTTTGAGATTTCTAAATAAAAAGGGGAAAAAGAGTGGCCTTCTTGCATCTTTTCCTTTAAGACAACTATATGCAAAAGATAAATACATATGAAGTTTCAGCCTTTTAAAAAATTCTTTCATTCATTAATATTGAAATTGGACATACATTTTATTCTGTTGCTGGTTTTCTTTGATGGTTGTCTAAATCTCTTCTGTCATTTTTCTAAAGCACATTTTAAAAAACACTCTTAAGACTTGCACGCAAGTAGCTTTTGATCAAAACAATGATATCAATAAAATTAAAATATACATAAATTATGGGATGTAAAGCATATTTTCTATTAAATTATTTATTATATGTCAAAAATTTACGGATAATTATTTATTATATGTCAAAAATGTACAGAAGCTTATTCATTACCTATCATAACTCAGATATTGGAAGTCATCTTACTGTGACAATAGTATGTTTAACATAACAAATCACAGCAAAAACTCTGAATAAAACACTAGTCTGAATTTTTGTCTTCCTTCCTTTATACAAATGAAATGATTGTCTAACATAAAAGGCATACCATTTTCTATTTATAATAGCAGTATATGGAATGACTGTCCATAAAAGACATAAGATACACTTACAAAAGCCTATCTTCAAAAGAACAATGACAAACATACATGCCGGTTATTTCTGAGAAATATAAAACATACATAAAACATACAATTTGCATTTTTCACACAGGGGAAGCAACCATAAAACAAAAATAGAAATTAAGTTCTGAGAGTGTGTTTTGAATCAACTACCAATAGGTTCCATTTCAAGGTGCCTATCATATATAATAAAAAAGGGGTGTAGGTTAGATGTCAGTGAGACACCAATCAAAAAACACATCAAAACTAAAACAAGACATTTTACTATTTTAAATGAACAAACCAGAGCTTTAACTACTTCTATACATAAATTTATCTCAGTCTTTATTTCTCATATTCAATTCATCGTTTTAAAAACAAATGTATTTTTGGTAATATTTTCAAAAGCATACACCAAAACGTTGTGATAGGTTAACAACATCCCAAACAATGGAAATTCATCCAATAACATGACATTATTTTCATTTTAGGGAACTAACAATGAAATTACCACAGTCCTTTAGATTTTAAAACCATGAATTATTCATTCTGAAAACTATTCCTAACATAAAATTTAATTTTGAAACCTGATTACCAGCATTGATGAAATTTATCTTGCCTTAAAATAATGAAGTTCACATTTGTACATTATACATACATTATTTACAAATAAATAAACTACATATATATATATATATATATATATATATATAATGAACCGTGGTGGTACTCCAAACTGCTATGGTCACACTGATGTGCGATGGTTTGACGCTGAATTGCGTTTTTGATCATGCCGAAGTGTGATGGTGGCATTGTGACGCTATCTTCTTGATAGCTACGCCATAGTGCGATAGTGGTTACACTGAAGTGTGATAGATTACACGATTTGCATGTTCAAGTGTCGATGAATAAGTCTATTTGTTTGTTATAGTCATTGTATTTCCAGTCCTCACTGTAATGTTGTAGTGTAGTGTACACTGTACATTGTAAATACTAGTAGCTTAGACAAAAAAAAGCAATCGTTCATACAATCGTTTAGAAATTGACACTACATACACTACAAACCAGTAAAAGTCTGAAATGGCCTATATTTGTACTCGACTGTACTGAATTTTACTCGACCAGTCTGAATTGGTCTGAATTTTACTCGACATTACTCGACCCCAGTCTAAACCATACTCGACCGTACTGATTTGTACTTGACCCTTATCTTTGCCATTGAAAATAGTCTGAACTATTACTCGACCAGTCTGAAACAGTCTTAACCCATTCTCGACCTGTACTCTACCAATTTTTTCAGTCTAAACCATACTCGACCAAAGGTCTGAACAATACTCGACCAGTCTGAACCATACTTGACCAAAAAACCTATACTTTTTTTTAATTTTAGCTGTTAAAATTAATTTCTTTTTTTCTGACCTGACAACAGCCACAATAAAATAAAGATATATATAAAAACATATTTTTACATCCTTACATGATTCTATGATTTATCAAATAGAGATAGTTAAATTAAATTATCTTATATAATAATTTAATTATATTAATTTTAAAGTTTTAGAGTTTTGTTAAAAAAAAGATTTTCTTTTAACAAAAAACCACACCTTATCTGAGGGTATTAAAACCTTAATAGGGTGCTTCTTGTTTGGCATGTGTTTTTTTTTTAAACTTAATTTTCCTAAATTCCTAAAGAAAAACTATATAGGTTTCATGGTTACATACAATAGTTATATAATTATCTTTTTAATGAGGTAACAACAGCCAAAAAATCACTGAAATTGTTTAACCTTATATTAGAAATATATCTATTCTTATAATTTGGGATATATTATATATAATATATATCAAAAAGGGATAAAAAAATTAAAGAAATAGATAAAATTTTTCTTCTGATAAGTGGTAAAGTATAAAGTAATAACCTCCTGCTTGGGGCAAACTCATTAAAAAGATCACACCTGGTCAGAGAGTATTAATTTCTAATTAACATTCATTAAAAATTGCAACATCCTGTGAAACTTAAATCGCAAGGCCTTTTGAATTCACTACATAAGTAATACACGAGTTTAAGAAAAAAAAGGCTTTCTTTTTACCTGTAAAACACACATGTACTGAGGTAAATAAACCTTATTAAAGTGCTTCTTGTATGCCATGTCTTTAATTTTGACAAAAGTTATTTAAATTTAATTGAAATAAATTTTTTCTGCAACTTTGGAACACATTGCCTTTTTTAAATGGTTATCAAGGATTGCTATGGAAGTTCTATTATCATGATTATATTAAATTCTTGGTTTTCCAAACAAAGTGTGATTTTTAAAATTTATTAAGTTGCTTTATATACTGTTTTAAATATATTTTAATAAAAAAAATGTTCACTGCATTATTAACTAAACTCAACTGACACCATAAATCTATACAAGGCTTAAGTAAATGGTGAAAATTATCCAGTAACCATAAAATATATCTGAAACATTCAAAAAAATTTGAATAACATTGAAAATATTAGTCATAATTCAGTTTTGAGATTATTTGATCAGCTTGTTTTATTTTTATTTTAAAGGTGATATATATATGTAAGTGTTGATAAATATGGTGTTGAATTTATATTATGTTTATTGTGAAATTTTGGTTTCAATGCCATATTGAATACATTTTAAATTTCAAATTGTTGTTCAAATTTCTAGCCAGGGGAAATAGCTGTTAAAAACAGTTCCTAAATTGATGAAATACAATAGATAGATACAAAAATTAGGTCTAGGTTGGTTAAGACTTAGTCGAGTATGGTTCAGACTAGGTTGAGTATGGTTCAGACTAGGTCGAGTATGGTTCAGACTAGGTCGAGCATGGTTCAAACTAGGTCGAGCATGGTTCAGACGAAAATAAAATGGTTAAGTACTGGTCGAGTAAAGGTCGAGTACAAGTTCAGACTGTTAAGTATGGTTCAGACTACAGTCGAGTATTATCAAGTAAATGTCAGACCAATTAAGACTGGTCGAGTAAAAATCAGTACAGTCGAGGACAAATATAGGCCATTTCAGACTTTTACTGGTTTGTAGTGATACAAAAGCTATTTTCTTTTAAAACCAGTACTAATTGCAAATTCTTCTTGGTTAGTCAGAATGAAAGAAAATAAGCAAAAATTCTATACAGCTGATGTGAATGAGAACAATGAATAAGATAGATCACCGATGTTTTTTACTGCAACTTGAGGAAATATTGAATGTTTGGTACCTATACTAACTTGTAAAAAATTCAAGCTCTCATAATAATTGGACATCAGTTGATTTTAAACTAGCATCAAGTGTCTTATAGAATATCGCACACCAGCTTGACCATCCCACTTAAGCGTCCCAATCACACCTGATGTAGGACTCCGAGCTGCAATGGTTTGACACTGAAGTGTGATGGTGGCATTGTGACGCTATCTTGTTAATAGATACAACCTAGTGCAATGGACTAAATAAACTATATTTTCAATGCTTTTCATGTCGATATAGAAGTCAATTTGTTTGTAAGTAGCAGTTTTTCAGGGTTTTATAATAAACTGAAGGTTATACAATAAGGTGCTTATAAACTTTTAATACTACCAGAAACAGGTAGTGATTGGTGGAGAGAGGAAAGTTAACCTTCTGTAGCTGATCTTTTTTTACTACGATGGAGCATGGAATTCTCTTTATGCATACGGGTCCATAAACAGACTCTCCCTATAATAAAATTACAGAAAAGCAGGAACTTTAAATATGAGGAACCAAGTAAAGATGAAATGTTAACGCAGAATTATGTCCACCTACAGTGATCTATCATTTAATACGCAACTATAACTAAGGACATACATAGACAATAATAAAATTGAGCATGGAAACTAGGAATATGTCAAAGAGACAACAACCCAACCAAAGAGCAGAAAACAGCCCAAGACCACCAATGGGTCTTCAACACAGCGAGAAAATCCAGCACCAGGAGGCAGGTTTCAGCTAGCCCCTAAACAAAAATGAATGCTTTATATACTAACTTTAAAACAACTACTTCTCATAATAATTGCACATCTGTAGATTTTAAACAAGCCATCGCCTGTCATATAGACCATCACACATCTGTAAACGAAAACATCGCACTACGGCACAGACCATTGTACTTCAGTGTGACCATCGCACTTCAGTGTCCCATCGTACCTCTGAGTCCTACATAAACAAATACAGTTGTTGTTTGTATATAGATGTACTGACATTAGAAAACAATGCCCATTAGTAACTACACAAACAATGAATAAATAGTATATAATGGACACTAATATACTCTTGATAATCATACATAATACTTCAAATAATTGTACTATATCCATGTAAAATCTATAAATTTTTAACAACAAAAAACATTCAAATTTCAATTAGAAATTTCTGGTTAATTCAGAAATGATTTTAAAAATATGAAAAGTTCCTTTTATACCTCTAGCATGCATCCAGCGTCAGAGGCAGACAAAGAAGCTATAGTAAGTAAATAGTTTGCCAAAGTATAAGATCTCTTGGTAAAAAGGGAAAAAATATTAAAAAAGTAAAATGTAAGCTGACTTATAAATAATACAGATCCCCAAGTAGTAGAAACTGTGGGAAATTCCTCAAGGGGCTGCCTAATCATTTTTCTCCCCCCCCCCCCCCCCCCCATTTCATTGAAATAATATTAAATCCCAGCAAGCAATATACATAATGCCATTTTATTTCATATAAAAGCAATCTGTGTCAAAATGCCAATTATTATATATAAGGTATTGTTTTAAAAGTATTGACATGATTGACAGTTATACTAGCAAAACTTGATAAGTACAGAAAATTTAAGTGCAAAAATGATGCACTTTAATCATCTATCACAGTATTTACTCACAACAAGAAAACTGTAAAGACATACTGTTATTCAAGGTCAAGTCGATGTACTCGGAAACTTTTAAAACATTTCTAGTTTTAGATACTGTAATAGTCAGAAATTATTGTGAGGTTTTTATTAATGCAAATAATGCTACTGAATGAGTGTCGCAATAATAAGATCTCGTATTCTGATATCTGATACATATATTTGTATGCAGATTTTCCTGAAAATTGCAATAATAAATGTACACAATAATTTTTGAATTTACATTACTTAAAACTACATAAAATAAAATATAGATTATTATCAACCCATTTCATACTGGCCATACAATTAATATTCTAATGAACAGATACATATTTATAATGGTATACATAATTATTATTTATAGATGTCCTGGTAAACCCATCACATCAAAGCTATATTTTCTTAAGTAATTAGAATATCTGATGAAGTATAAAGTAACCTAAACTTGACCTTTGCACCAATAATATTTGTAGTGACTATTTGTAAAATTCTTACTTAGCACTTTTAGAGAGAGAAAGAAGACACTGTGAAATGAAGAAAACACATATACACATGATTATTTTATGTATATTTCTCCGTAAAACTGTATGTCTACACAAAATTAACTCATAAAACTTCAGTATTGTATAACAAATAATGTTTAAATGATTTAATAATTTCATATAATATAGAGTATATAATGTGTTACCAATATAGTACATTAAGTTCAAAAATGTTGAGAATTCTTTGTATACTGTAACCCTGATTCTTTGAGTATGCTATGTTATTTCTTTCTTTTGCCTTGACTAAATAGCTAAAATAACTTTAATTACAATATTTAAATGTTCCCAATATACCTAAATTTCCAAACCTGAAACATTTACTAATTAACATTTAACTATTGTTATCAAGTTTAACATAAAATGATTATTTTACAATAATGAATGGTATTTGAAACAAATATCTTTAAATATACACACTTCGCTTACAGAGACTAAGTCATTGGAAATGGTGCTAGGAAAAAAAATGCCATTTAGGTGAAACAAAAACATTGTGTGGTCTAATCACAGCCAGGTAACATAATTATATATACATTTTTGGGACACATTTTCAAGTATACTTATACATATTACATTAATATTACACACAAGAGTGCACACGCTGAAATGTCTCGCCTTCTTTACTAATCATTGATATTATGTTTATAGTCCTAAATATAAAGCTTTATTACAACTGTCACATAAACTTAACATTAACCAAGTAAACTAAACATTGACCAATGAACCATGAAAATGAGGTCAAGGTCAGATGAACCATGCTAGGCAGGCATGTACAGCTAACAATTCTTCCATACAACAAATAGAGTTGACCTATTGCTTATAGTTTAAGAAAAACAGACCAAAACACAAAAACTTAACACTGAGCAATGAACCTTGAAAATGAGGTCAAGGTCAAATAAAACCTGCGTGACTGCCAAATAGATCATAAAATATTTCCATACACCAAATATAGTTGAATTATTGCATATAGTATAAGAAAAACAGACCAAAACACAAAAACTTAACTATAACCACTGAACCATGAAAATGAGGTCAAGGTCAGATGACACCTGCCAGTTGGACATGTACACCTTACAGTCATTCCATACACCAAATATACTAGACCTATTGCTTATAGTATCTGAGATATGGACTTGACCACCAAAACTTAACCTTGTTCATTGATCCATGAAATGAGGTCGAGGTCAAGTGAAAACTGTCTGACTGGCATGAGGACCTTGCAAGGTACGCACATACCAAATATAGTTGAACTATTGCACATAGTATTAGAAAAAAGACCAAAACTCAAAAACTTAACTTTGACCACTGAACCATGAAAATGAGGTCAAGGTCAGATGACACCTGCCCGCTAGACATGTACACCTTACAATCATTCCATACACCAAATATAGTAGACCTATGGCATACAGTATAAGAAAAACAGACCAAAACACAAAAACTTAACTATAACCACTGAACCATGAAAATGAGGTCAAGGTCAGATGACACCTGCCAGTTGGACATGTACACCTTACAGTCCTTCCATACACCAAATATACTAGACCTATTGCTTATAGTATCTGAGATATGGACTTGACCACCAAAACTTAACCTTGATGTTTTGTGATTTAAATGTAGGGGTTGGAAAGCACTTTATATTAATAATACATGGGTGATGGGTATCAGAGCAACTTTTCACACTATAATGCACTACGATTCTCAATTACAATTGTCTGGGTGACAGATGCTGAAACTAACTGCCTTCCAACCTCCACCCCATACATATTTTTCTGGAATAGCCCTAAGAAATTTAAGATTAAACATTATTAAAACAATGTCCTTGTTTCCAAAAACATTGACCAATGAACCATGAAAATGAGGTCAAGGTCAGTTGAACCATGCTAGGCAGGCATGTACAGCTAACAATTCTTCCATACAACAAATAGAGTTGACCTATTGCTTATAGTTTAAGAAAAACAGACCAAAACACAAAAACTTAACACTGAGCAATGAGGAATAGCCTTGTTCATTGATCCATGAAATGAGGTCGAGGTCAAGTGAAAACTGTCTGACGGGCATGAGGACCTTGCAAGGTACGCACATACCAAATATAGTTGAACTATTGCACATAGTATTAGAAAAAAAGACCAAAACTCAAAAACTTAACTTTGACCACTGAACCATGAAAATGAGGTCAAGGTCAGATGACACCTGCCCGCTAGACATGTACACCTTACAATCATTCCATACACCAAATATAGTAGACCTATGGCATACAGTATAAGAAAAACAGACCAAAACACAAAAACTTAACTATAACCACTGAACCATGAAAATGAGGTCAAGGTCAGATGACACCTGCCAGTTGGACATGTACACCTTACAGTCCTTCCATACACCGAATATACTAGACCTATTGCTTATAGTATCTGAGATATGGACTTGACCACCAAAACTTAACCTTGTTAATTGATCCATTAAATGAGGTCGAGGTCAAGTGAAAACTGTCTGACGGGCATGAGGACCTTGCAAGGTACGCACATACCAAATATAGTTGAACTATTGCACATAGTATTAGAAAAAAAGACCAAAACTCAAAAACTTAACTTTGACCACTGAACCATGAAAATGAGGTCAAGGTCAAATGACACCTGCCCGCTAGACGTGTACACCTTACAATCATTCCATACACCAAATATAGTAGACCTATGACATACAGTATAAGAAAAACAGACCAAAACACAAAAACTTAACTATAACCACTGAACCATGAAAATGAGGTCAAGGTCAGATGACACCTGCCAGTTGGACATGTACACCTTACAGTCCTTCCATACACCGAATATAATAGACCTATTGCTTATAGTATCTGAGATATGGACTTGACCACCAAAACTTAACCTTGTTCACTGATCCATGAAATGAGGTCGAGGTCAAGTGAAAACTGTCTGACGGGCATGAGGACCTTGCAAGGTACGCACATACCAAATATAGTTATCCTATTACTTATAATAAGAGAGAATCTAACATTACAAAAAATCTGAACTTTTTTTTCAAGTAGTCACTGAACCATGAAAATGAGGTCAAGGACATTGGACATGTGACTGACGGAAACTTCGTAACATGAGGCATCCATATACAAAGTATGAAGCATCCAGACCTTCCACCTTCTAAAATATAAAGCTTTTAAGAAGTTAGCTAACGCCGCCGCCGCCGCCGCCGCCGCCGGATCGCTATCCCTATGTCGAGCTTTCTGCGACAAAAGTCGCAGGCTCGACAAAAACTAATGTAATTGTTTATTGTACTCATAATATATAACATCTATACTCATACACTATAAAAGGGACATAACACAACCACTAACTCTCTCCTTCTGTCTGTTCTTTAGGTTTCTCTCTTAATACTGTTATAAGATATTCGATAAGAATAGATAAGAATTTATCTAGTGGGTCCATGAATCCACGCTGCATCCACTTTGGTATAGTAACTCTAGCATGAGTAAATCCTAACTTCTGTAACACATAATCTACACCAACAGGGTCTATTTCTTTACTGGCCCAATGTAGTAATCTATAATATATAATTTGTAATGGTATAGCCTCGTCAAGTTGTATTATTATAAAATAAAAAATTGTTTTCATAAGAAAATGGTATTATCGCTATTTTACGAAATTTTCCTTTGATCTTACTGACTGACAATTTCCTTTCTCAGCATAGTAGAGTGATATGAAAAATTATTGCTAGAAACTAAGGGCGCACATGCCGTTGTCAATGAAATTAACAACGTCGTCATAGGTAAAATAGCGATAAACAGATTATCATTGGTCATCTCAACTCGATTGCTTTTCTCACTTTCCCTGTACCGGCTCAAGCGAGAAAATCAATCTCGTTGAGATGACCAACGATAATCTATAATTATCTGTTTTCTCCACTGAGAAATTTAAGCTTTTATTAGTAGTTAAAAAGACTGGTCAACTCAAGTGTTGTAAAGGAGTAGGATTAAAAAATGTCCCTGTATATTATAACACCAAGAACCTAGCGTTTAGAAAAAATCCAACTTGTTTTCAACTCAACATGACATTCTTATGTTTAAAACAGGCATCACATAATTCTCAAATATTCTAATCTAGAATATGGTTCATAAATCACTTGATAAATGTTAGATCAATCAAAGTCCACTACTTTACAATAATTCAAACTATTTTGATATTCCTTTAATAGAACTATGACCATAAAATTGTAATAAAATGTATGGTGAAAAACTCTTTATTTCTGATTTTGTGGAATGTAAAAATAAGGAACATAAATGCTTTGGATGATTATCTGTCTTTACTTTTGCCTTAAAGTGGAAAATGAGTTGAAAACATCTGAACAATATGATGTCATTATAAAAAAAACTGAAGAATAATCATGTAGATTGGCCTCTTTGTTACATTATCATTTTTTCCTTCTTGTATATGTTGCTGTGAAAGCTACATTGACTTATGGTGAAACCATCAACCCAGTAAATATTTTCTTAACTGTTCTTTTGCTTTGTTTTTATCTTTCTTTATTCCCCCCCCCCCCCAAAAAAAAAAAAAAATATGGTGTTTGTTTTTTTTCTTCAAAAACTTACCTATCTTCTTGATATATAAGCAAAAATAATATCTTGAATGCAATTATTAGTCACATTTACTTGTTACTGAACTGCTTACCTAACAGTAGGTTCTAACTTCCAGAATTTACAATTAAATTCTCTGCCATCTTCCTTTAATGCTGCTGTTGGGTCTGTCACTTTTTTCTTCTCTGTATCAGTCTTGTAAGACATTCTACCGTCTGTCCAAAAAATAGAAGACGTAGTGAAAGTGAGAAAATAAAATGAAGAATTTCAAACTTTCAACCTACTTATTCTTATTTCTTTCTTATCTTACAGGTATCAAACAAAGCATATGCTATAAACAAGTACAACCTGACAGAGGACAGGAGTATTTGGTAAATGTCTGTGCTTCACCTGTGTTCTTCAATGATTATTTCTATTGGAAATAAAGAACAAATAAGTGAGAAGTACATGTGATAAAAACAACTTTATAGAATTTTAAGCAGTTGCTGAACCATGAAAATGAGGTCAAAACAATGGCCATATGACAGGCTCTTCATGTGTGTTGTTCAATCATTATCTATATCGGAAATAAAAACAAAAAACAAATAGTACTGCCTTACCTTTATCTTTCTCTTTGATGTACAATGAAATGAGGTCATGTAAGAAAAGGATGACCTCAGCATCCATTGCTACATAGATATGGTCTTCAAACTCTGTTACAAAGGTTACCTCAACTATGGGTTTCTCGTCTGTAAAAAATACATTTACATCAAGTGTGACACACACAAGGTAAAAACTTTTTGAATGCACCTTTTTCTACTTAAAAGAGCATTACTTTAATCAATACTTTTATTCAAGCCTATGTAAGCCCTCTCCACAAAGAATAGAGCATTCTTGGTTATATGGTAATTTATGACAGTTTTCATCAGCATTTAAGTACAGCAACCACCACATAAACCAGTACCATCATACAACACAATTATAATAAGTCATATAACTTGTTCATCTATTACATAACAATGTGTCCAAACTGTAAGATTATTATCTCCATTCCTCCCTTTAAACAAATAATTCGTAAATGGAAGAAAATAATCATATCTATGATGCAACTGTGTTTTTTTTTTATTTCAAAGGGGGATGACATCATGTTATATTTGCATTCTTAAAAATGGCAGCAAAGAGTTATCTTCTTCTCTTTTGTAAATTCTTTGTTTTTTAACCAAAACATCATCAACTTGAAAAATTGTAAGTATTACAAAACTTGAAAAGAAGATATAATGTAAAGTTATTCGACATGACCCTATTTACCATCAGATTGAGGCTCATATTCTCCTTGCTTATGAATGGATTTGAGGCACATTTCTAATGATGGCAACACAAATATCATCTCTGTATCATGGAAGTAGTCCTGTGTACGTCGACGTCTGTGATCCTTTGGACTCTCAACACCATACCTTTGCATGGTTGGAAAATTATCCAAATCTGGGAATAAAAAAATACAATACCAATCTTAACAAGCAGAATAATAATCAAATCAGTTTTTGAAATGCACTGCAATGATGTATAAATATCTTCAATTCTGTTGATTGATTTATTCATGGTTGGTGTTGAACACATATTTCTGTACTCTTTCCTATTTCATGGTGGCCAGATTTATTTGTCGCAAAAGCGGAGTACCCAGAGAGAATCACCAACCTTCAGCAGGAAAGCGTCATATATATATTTATATGAGTTGCAGCTGATATTAAATAATACATTTTAATATATTTTCCTGCTCTTAATTGTTATATATTGTTAATATTGTTTAGTTTATTTTCTAATTTTGATAATGACTTAAATTTCTCAAATTCAACACGAACTATAGCCAAAAAGGGAAGTAACATTTTCGCATTTTAAAAAAAAATATGCAACAGCTGGGTCTGGTTTTTTATTTGAGCAAAACTAATATTATTTTTTTCAAATATATAATGATATACATTTGAAGGTTCATAGAGGTTTAAACTGTGTTGAGTAATACTTGCAACATATCATTTGTAACATACTTCAGTAAATTAATGACCCGCTACAAGTGGTCTTTTTTGTGTTTCCTATATAATTTTCTATAATATTTTTGCATTAAAATTATCCGTATATATGTAGCTTATTAACTATCTATGTGTTCCCCTTGTCCACATTAACTTTCTAAATGATGCTTTGTTAAGGACCTGTTACATGACCTAACATAAGAAAAATAATGTCAGGAGTTAGGGCATGTTTCTTATCTCCAGTTTTTTCCCCTAGCGGTAGTTGACATCTCTACTTAATAGAATATATTCAGATTATAAAATTCACAAATTAATACACAACAATTACCTTTAATTTCTGATGTAGCAAATGCATAATGGAACCATTCCTGGACACTGGTAAATGTTGGTGGCATTGTGTGACCTCTGCTTATCTTACAAACAGAAGCCATATTCTTTCCTAAAGTATGTTGTGCTTCACGGCCAATATTTAATTTCAAATCTTGTACTATGTGGAGATCTGAAGAAAAAATTGAGGCATGTATTTTTCAGTATCAACATTTTACTTTAAATTAAAATATTATAATTTTAAGGATCAATGTCAATGTTGAGATGTTGAAAACAAACTTTTTAAAACATAATTTATTCCTTGTTATTTTATGACTTCTGCTCAACAGGGTTGTTATTTTTTTACATTCATAATTGTTTTCCATTTAAACTTTAAAAAGAAATAATAAGTGGGCAAAAAATAAGTTCCCCGTTCAGTCATTTTCAATACATCCACAGAAATAGATAATTAACTTCTAAATCTACTTTATGAACTTACCTCCATCCTGTGTTTTCTGAGCTTCTGTTGCAAACACAATAAAAGCTTCATTCAAACTGAACAGTGCCCATGATTTTGATCTGAAGTTGATACCATGGAAACAAGCCAAGGTCATGTTGTTGCCATGTAAACTAATGTTGCCACCTAAGATAGTTCCTACTTTAGGAATCATGGATGGTAACATAGAAAATTTACAGTCTGCTATCATCTCAAATGCCTTTTGCCAATGTCTATGGTATTTAATGTCCCACAAATCTGAAATAAATTTGCTTGTCTTGTTTAGTATGTGAGGTACTATAAATTCATAAATCATTGCGATGTTTTTATTAATTGCAAAAATTGCGACATTTTCAAGTTTGAAATAATAAAAACTTGCATTCATAATTTCAGAAGCGATTTTCCTTCATATAATTTTTGTAATTGCATTAATTAGATTTCACACTTTTGCTAGAGGACAAGGATTCCCAATAAAAATGCATACATTTATTTCTGAATTTACAGTACATTGATATACACTGAAACCTAAAATCAATCAAATAGTTCTACAATTGTGTTTATGATACATGGAAAATTATATCTTTGATGTAAAAGAATGGACTGCAAAGATCACTTTCTTACATTCATCTTCATCACTTTGTTTTTGTTTATCAAGAGGCCTCTTTGTTCCTATTGGTCCAATAGCAGACAAGGCCCGCCTACTGCTGTTAAACTGCATAGTTATGAATTCCTCAATCTTTGCCACCATCTTAAAAATATCAGGTGTTGTAGATCTTGATATCATTGTGTGAAACTGGTCCCAACCAAGTTCTCCATGTGCAAACATTAAACCAGGTCTGAAACATGCATAATATTAGAAGTTAAGTTTTTGCTACCAAAAAATGTATGTAATCTACAAACACAGGGTTAATATTTTTTATGTGAAAATCTGTCGAGTTTTCATCTAATCTAAGGGGATAAATGAAGGAGAACTTTCATATAGCAAACCATACAACTGCAATAGTGAATTTCTTGCTGAAAACGATGACATCTCAAAAATAACTTTTGGTCTCATCAATAACCTTTTAATAAATATGCTTTCAACTGCTACTAATTCATAACATTGTTTTCATGCAACTTGTGTTAATATCATCTTCATAGTCGACTTTTGTTTAATGCAACACTTTTTTCTAGATTATTTTTTTACTGTTTGTGTGGAAACTATTTAGACAAAAAATAAACAGCTGCGCCATGAGCGCATGATACGCCCATCGTCTTGTGTGTGAATTTTTATGCAATAATCATAAATAGTTTCTGACATATGGCGCGACATGCGAACCCCCCCCCCCCCCCTTTTTTTTACAAAAACTCAATATCTCTAAAACAAAACCAAAAAGTATACAGATCTTAAGATTCATATACCTAAGAAGTGTGTAAAATTTTAAGCAATAATCATAAATCGTTTTTGAGATATGGTGCAACATGTAAAAACCACCCTTTTGAAAAAAAAAAAATCAATATCTCTAAAATAAAATTTTGAATCAAAACCAAAAAGTATACAGATCTTTAGATTAATATAACTAAGAAGTGTGTAATATTTTAAGCAATAATCATAAATCGTTTTTGAGTTACGGCGCCACATGTGAAAAACAACTCCCCCTTTTTTTACAAAATACTCAATAACTCAAAAAAAAATTTTTGAATCATCACCAAAAAGTATACAGATCTTAAGATTAATATAACTAAGAAGTGTGTAAAGTTTGTGAAAAAAAACACACACCTGTTTTAGTTACTAAGTCCCGTAACTCAAAAAGTTTCAATCTTATTTTCACCAAAAAGTATACAGATCGTTTGACCATCATAAGAAACAACTATTTACAGTTTCATGAAATTTGGATAAGTCGTTCTCAAGTTACAGTGCGACATGTTTACGCCGGACAGACTGACATTTGTATACCATAATACGTCCCGTCAAAATTTTGACGGGCATATAAAAAACCAGAATATTTAAGCATTTTGGAGACTGTCATATATTTTGAGCTTTGTTCATTATTTTGGTAAAATTCTTTTGTTGTGATACTGTCTCACTTGACTTCAATTCCATATATCTATTATACTGCTTTTACTAAGCAATAATTTTCACATATTTTTATCAATTTCTTGCTTAGCATTGTTTATTTCACAGTTTCCTAAACCATCTGTTATTTCTCTATTTTGTTTACTATGAACAGAAGTCCTACCTAGTTGTAGCCAAGGGACTGTCACTTTCACTTTTGTTTTCTACATGCCATTCATCCTTTATTTCAATGTCTAGTTTACTTAGTCTTGTCATCAGTACACTGGTACCCATATAATCCATACGACATTCTATAGCAAACAGTGATAAGCCTAATCTATGACTGGGTTCTTTTCCAATTATTGGATCTTCATTAACTTCAACTGGAATACATTATGATAGCATTGTAAATTAGGTAAAGCTGACTTTAAGTGTGTTTTGTTTTTTTAACCAACTTAATATATTTTATTGCAATAATAGTTGTTAACAATACCTCTTAGTGCTACAACAATAACACTGAAGTTCCTTCTGTAATGCTAATTTCCAATGAAACCAGGGGATTAAATAAGCAAACGTTTTATACATTTATAAAGTCTGTGTTAGTTGTATTTTACAAATTATTTCTACAAACATATATACATTTTTTGGTAACGCATCAAAGATCCACAGGAAGAAAACAGATCTTTCTCCGCCTTATGTTGAGATTTTATTTTGTGTTTCAAAACCAAAAGTAGAATTAAACAAAAAAGCATGGCTAATTTGTTTAAATGGAAAGTACAGTATTGTTGCATTTATCATGAATTGTTTAAGCAGTAATATCTCATCATTCAATGGCTTCAAACACAAAAAAAATGTATAAAGTTTGTAAAAATAACATGATACACCATTTCTGGTAAATATATTTTCTTCTTCTAAAAAACAATTATAAACTTCTTGAACAAAAACAAAGCTAAGAATGGATATGCTATCCCAATGTCAGGCTAACTGTACATATTTAATGAGAGAGCAGACAAAACTTATCTATTTCCGTCTCCTTCCAACCTTACATACTCTTTAAATTGAATCAAGAATTCTGATCATATTTTTCAAATGGAGCTGTTCACTGTATTTGTTTGTGGTCATTGAAATACAGTTAAAACTAGCAGGCAACTAACCCTGCTGGTACCAATAGACACATTTACACTTGTAGCAAAACTTGTCTGCCATTACCTAAAAACCATGCAAGTTCCCGCAAAATATTGCATCACAGCTTGAAACATTTGATGACATATTTAAAACGTGATTGTTGCAAGAATCAGATGGTTATTCTGAGACAGATCTAAGTTCATTTGAAGCAAATTCAGCTAAATACCCATAAGTGTAAATATGCCTATTCTGCCAAAAACTAACAAAATGATAAAATATTTATATGCAGCATATCACAAACATCCTCTCCATAAAGAGTTTAGTATGAGGCATTTTGGGGAGATTCTGTCATTGACCACTTATAAGGCATTAAACTAAATAGCTTTGGGATTCTGTCAATGACCACTTATTAAACTGAGAATAGTATCTAGCATTTCTCCTGTGATAATACTTACCAAATGTTGATAAGTTGTTAATTTCTAGGGTACCACCAACAACTCCTCCTTTAGAATCAAAATGAGAATTATCCATTCCAGTTGTAATCTTCAGATCTTTGTGTCCACTACAATCAATGGATAATCTCCCCTGGCTCTTCACATTTTTCGTTGACCATCTAGAAAGCAGATATAGGAAGTTCATATATTGTGGATGCATTATTATTTTCATGGACTCTGTGGGAAGTGGTAACAAGAATTTAAATGTTCTATAGGCTTTTAAGCAAACTTTGGCAAAACAACAAAATCAAATATCCATGAAAATACAATTTTTACTCGAGCCAAGAAAAAATGGTACCCATAAAAATAAATGAACCCACTTTGGCCATAGTATATAAAATTATGCTTAAGATAAAAGGATTACAAATTTATTTATTCAAAGAAAAGCAATCAATAGATCAATATATTCTGACTTCAAGACATCAAGACATCAACCAAGTTTTAACTATCTACATTGGTAAGATGCAGTGTATCAATTTCAACTGTATCTAAATTTCAAACTGTTGAAAATCTAACACTTTGGTCATCGACCTTTCAGATTAGGTCATGTCTGGTGAATATGACTGTTTCCAGACTCTTGGTTCCAAGTATATTTTTCCTGAGGGTTTAGAGGATAGTATTTCTGAACAAGTTTAAGGATGATCATTGATCACAGGCGATGTTAACAGCCTCAACTGGCCTTCTTTGCCCTGTGAGCTTAAAATATACATATAATTCATCAATAACATGATTCATTTTGACTAAGATCTGACCATAAACTACAATTAACTGAAGAGGAAAGATTATGTTCTCCTAGTGGTCTTAAATATTTTACTTCCATACAATTTCTTATCTGAACCCTCAGATCTAAATTTTTAATGATCAACAGTATCTCCTAAAAACCAGACAGCTTCCTTGTCCCTTGGTCTCTGGTGGTTAGTTATCTTGTTAGCAATCATACAATATCTTCTTATTTATATGAAATAAAATTGGCAAAAAACATGTTTAAAATATATCTAAACAAACCAAAACTTACACTGTATTGCCCATAACATTGCTCATCTGGACTCTGAGGTCTAACTGTGACAGATTTACAGCAAACATTACAAGGGTTTCCCATGAACTGGAAGGTTTAGGTACTGAAGCTCCTGAAGCTCTTCTCTTGTTTCTGGGTGTTTCTGAAGGGGTCAAGCTAGCTCGTTGTTTGGATAAAGACCTGTGTGTTGATATAGAACCAGATTCACTGAAGCTAATATCTGTAGGTGACTGAGGAGCTGACACTGAACCTATGTAAAAAACAATAATAGCTAAGTATACACTTCATTTTTTAACTGACAATTTTCTGTCTGAAACTATCTAAACTTATCAGTCCTATTTATAACACAGATTGGTTTGAGTCAAAAATTTTGTTCTGAAAATAAATATGTTTTGATTAAAATCTTGACTGTTATTTATTATTCAATCTTTTGCTCTGTTTATTGCTATGTTTTAGAATAATCTTCCAATTTTATTCAATTATGTCCAAGCTTACAGCCATGTTTAATCAGATCATTAAATACTGCATGCATTCAGAAAAGAATAGACTAAAACCATTTTGCTTAAAACAAAGTAACCATAATTTTTTTTTATCCAAAAAACATCAATTTTGAGGTTTCAGTTTATCATGGTGAGCTCACACATGTTAAAATCAAATCAAAATAATGTTTATTCCACACAGTCTCATAGATTAATCATCAAAAACAATAATGCCAATAGAAAGCATAGTACATTGTATCTTGTCTGGTATACTGGTATGTACCAGATTAATTATTATCTAATCAAATGGAAAAGGGACCTCAAACTGAAGAGACATCCAAATAAGCATCAATTATTGAACAACACAAAATAAATTCTTTCTCTCTAAAGGAAAAAAGCTACCACTATTGCCTTTTTCATGCAGTGCTGTAAATATAAATGTTTTTTAACTAAATTTGGGATTCAGTTTTATTTAAACAGGAGATCATTTTATAATATTACATAACAGATAAATAACTTTAGTAAGCAAGGCCACATACACAATGCCCATTTTTTAGGAGGCAACTGCAAAGAAGTCCAGAGTTGTCCTCAACATAAGGAACTTTACCAAAGTGAAATATGTTGGTAATCAAACTCTTCCAAGGATTTAATGACAAAGGCAGAAAAACATTCCTATACAGGTAAAAACTATTATTAACATATTTTTTTAACCTATAATATGAAATCAAACAGACCTAGAAAAATCCAATTGCACAAGTTCCCAATCTATTTATATCTATGTTTATGTTTATATCAGGTTATATGACCGTCAGCAGTTTTCGGAGGTCACCTCGAGGGTTAATTAGATGGCGTCTAGACTAAAATACACACGAAATGCTGATATATACTATCGAGTCTATGCCTCGTAAATTGTTTATTTTAGACTTTTTATAATTTGAATATGCGTTTTAGTATGTTATAAGTCCAATATAATAATTTGAGTCAAATAGGTGAACATGAATTTGACAGCCCCTTTAAGGTTATTAGAATATACATGTGTATGAAATAAGATTATTATACATAACTTTTTCCTGGCAGAAATTTTTATATCCTTTAATTCTCTGTATTTACCTTCATCTAACTCTTACCTGATTTATAATATCATTTATTTAAGTCCATTTTCAAAAAGAAATAAATTTAATACTGACCAAAATGCAAAGCAAAAGCCTCTAAAATCATAATTCATTGAAGTCTTGTTTCAGTAAAAAGTTACTATGACCTTCAACCAAAACAGTAATTATTATGATTATTTACCAAGTCAAGGTATTCCAAAAGGGCAAATGTGGAATATAATAAATGTTTACAGCAATTCAAAGTACTTAATTTGTGTAGTTTTAGGACAATAAAAGCCATGTGTTTTATATGCTTTTTGGCATGCTAAGTCATGTTATCACATGCACTCTCATTGCTTCAGGTTGGTAGCTATGATTAAATATGTGTCTGAAAAAGTATAAAGATCTAAGACTGAAAATGGGATATCATATTTATCAAAGACCAGTTTGCTAAAAGACCTTTTGGATATATATCACAAATAATGGTGCAATTCTATGACTTCTGTGATGACATTTGCATCAAAATGATATAAGCAATCTACAACTAAATGTCATAAATGAATTTTAAAACTTAAAAATGCATATGACAAGAAAAGTTAATCTTATTTTTCTTAAGTAAAATCTAAATGATGCTTCAGCTTGAAGAATAAATAAGAATTATATCCTAACTTCAATTGTTCAGTATGAAGTTCAGGATTAAAATAACTGTATAGAATAATGATAACTATATATATACTATTACATACATTGACAGAAATAAAGTATGTACATGTAAATACTGATGACAGTTCTTTGATAGTATAAATGATACACAGGAATTAAAACACATTACATGAAATATCAATGGTAGGATGTGCTGACAAGCAACTTAGTAATATGTATCGGATGACGAGGGAAAATTATTTTTTGAAAATATAAAGATAAATAATAAATGTTCAGAAGTTCAATTTGCATTACACAAAAGATACTCAAGCATCGACACAAAGCATACAACACAAATAGTCCTGATAATGATGGTTACATATAATAAATGTACTGAACATAATTCAAGCTATGTATTTAGTAAGTGCTGAAGTTTGTGTGTATGAGGTTCCATCAGCTGAAAACTTACGCTTGAATATTTTAAGTCCTGAAAATTTGAATATATATATTTAATTTTTAATGTTATGCTATGCTGTCATTAATTTTGAAATATAAACACAGACAGAACAGGATAACTCTATATGAAAAGTAAGCTTCAAAATTCAAATAACATACAAACAGCAAATATTTTCGCAAATATCTTAAGAGAAAAAATATTCTTAAGTCACAAACTTTCAGTAAAACTTATGATCAGTTTTAGACTTAACATTTTCTGTAAAAAGAGCCACAAATTTGTGCATGGATATAATAATCTTCCAAGGCATGAAGAAGCATGAAAGCATTAAGTCAAGTTTTGAACAAATTTTCATGTAGTTAATTAGAGTTTTAAGCACTCAATAGAAATAATGTTATTTTTGCAAAATTAAACAAACTTTATATATGAGGCAAAGTGCATTCAAGCTTAAATTTCTTTTAAAAAACTGACTCTTTCTGACAACAAAGCAAAGATAGAGATCAAAGTATAAGAAAATTTTATCACTTTAAAAATACAATAACAATTACTTTTTATTATAGTACATGCTATAATTCATAGCATTTTAATGTAGGCAGCAGACAATTTATTACTCATTTAACTTTAAAAAAAACATCTCTTGTGGCGCCACTTCAACCAAAAATCAGCAAATGATGAGAAACTCTTTTGCTAAAAAAGCTTATTTTTTGTATTGAATATAATTTGGTATATAGGTGATCAAAACATGATGTCTGTATCCATAGTAATGGTAAAAAAAATTCAAAACCATAACAATTTTTGCTGATGTGGTGACATAAATGATTTTCACTACAATTTTACAAAATTAGGAGACTATGCTTTCAATTATGTTCCAGATATTAAAGATAACTGCTTTCATTAAGCAATCAATAAACACTTCATTTCATTTCATTTCTTGATTTTAAGACAATCTGGTGAAATTTAACAATATTTACAAAAAGACAAAAATGATCGAACCTCTTCTATTTACTCTGCTGTCAATCTCGTTCTTAAGTTCCATACTGAGTTGAGTCCTGAATTTGTCACCAGAAGAACCTCTGCGATGATGAGTTTTTCGTGTTTTTGTGTCACTTCCATTAACATTAAGCGCAGGAGAAGAGGTAAAAATTTTAGAAGCAGGGCTAAATGAGCCTGCATCTCCCATTGAGCTGGTTGACGAACTGTCCCATTCTGAAAGTACAGGCTCAGTACATAACAGGAAAAGAAAAACACAACATAACAATAATAAAATGCATGGTCAGCCATACCTCATGAATTCTATAAATCTTATGATTGAACTGGGATTGGACTGGTCTGTCATTTTTATCAAAAAATTAATTTTATTGAAATGAATTTAATCTGTTTTAGTCAAAGATCTTGATAAAAGTTTTTAAAAAAAAAGCGAGCAAAATATTTTGCATATGAAATATATTTCATCTTTTAATTTGAACTGTTTCAGTATTGTAAGATACATAGATGCACAGTTTCACAGATATTGAAGATCTAACTGCAACTAAAAATATATATGAATATAATTTAATATGAATTCTAGCTATAGCAGTTATAAAAAAAATTGCAAGGAATATAAATTAAATACATGACTAATTTGTACTTTTATAAATATAATCAGTTTAATGAATAATGATTCTTGTCACAACATGTGATGAATTGGTCATTATATTATGTTTTCAGAAAAATTAATTTGACCATATTCTAAATATCTATTAATAAACATAATCCTAGGAGGTATGACTGCCCTACAATAAAATATCTCAACTTAAAATAATGAAAAATGAATTAAAATAATAAGATGATCTGCAAAAGCTGTCAAATAGCTTTAGCTGTTGTAAAGGTAAAATTAAACACAAAACTGCTAAATAATATCAATTATGAAGCATTGCTTAAATTAACGAAAAACGTCACATCAAGAAGTTATTTGATTGATATAAATCTTCAAAGTTACTGCATGCTGCTGACATGAGGGTCTCCAAGGGGATTTTCAGAGAAACTACTTAAGAAACAAAACAGATAAGTGGATAAAGGTTGCCCTTCTTTTTTTCTATATTTTTTTTATGCAAACTTGGTGTAATTAACTTATTATAACAGACTTTTATTGCACAGTTAATACTACCAATGTTATTTTTACAAATATTTGTTTAACTTAAAAGTTATATTCAAACATCTTTCAAAACAAACTATCAACTTTCAACAAAGAACATGACAGCAAAGATACAAAAGAAAATCTATTGGAGACCCTCACGAACATATATATGAAGATTTACAACGATAGTGCTATGGATACCTTCATCGCCAGTCTGTGCAAAGCTCTCCTCTCCAAGGAACAAACGTCTAGTAAGATTTCTGTTGTACCAAGCCTTAGGAAATGTAAGGATTTCTGACAATCTTCTCATGTCGTACTTAAACATAGCTGTTCCAATGTCACAGACAGCTGAAACATAACATTGTAAATCATTATGTTGTTTACTTTTACAAATCATATTACTTTCCTTGGTAGGAGTTAGGTCTAAACATATGCTTAGTATATACTGCTGTTGTTTTTTCAATATACGGGCTTACTATCTCATCCCTGACCCAGGTTAGGGAGAGGGTTGAGTACATGTAAACATATTTAACACTTCCATATTCTGTTTGTGACTGTCAAAAGTTAGTAGCCTGTATTTCAGTTGTTTATCTTTGTTGCTGTATATAATATTTGTTTTTGGTTTGTTGTTTTGTACATAAATCAGGCTGTTGGTTTTCTTCATTTTAATTTTGTATTTTGTGATGTCAGGTATCCTTTTAGAGCTTGCCATGCAGTAAAGGCTTAGCTCATTGTTGAAGGCTGTATAGTGACCTATAGTTGCTAACATCTACTTCATTTGGTCTCTGTTTGTCTCATTAGCAATCAAACATCTCTTTATTTTTTAAATTCTAATTGATTAATGCTTGATTGTTCAGCACTCTTGGCTATTTTATGGCAGCCAGTTTTATTAGTGGTAGAACAGGAGAGAACCATCGACCACAGACAGGAAAACTAGCAATCCATTAAGATCCAAGACAAACACTATTTACCAAGAGTGGGGTTAGTGAGTAGTCACTCAGTGAAAATAGCCAAAATATTACTGCCCCAAACATTTTCCAGTTCTTAGTATACTATGAACAGAAATTCACTTATAAACACAAACCCACAAACTGGCTTACCTGAAAACCTAACAACATTTGATCTTGACTGTGGTTCATGTTTAGATACATGAATATGTGAAGGTTGATCAAGTCTAACTTCCAGTTTACGAGATCTAGAAATCGTCACTTTAATAAATTCTACATTCAAACTCAACATATCTCTTCTTGACATCTCTGACCAAGCAGTACCATGTTCTTGAATGCTTCCTGTTTAAAACATGAAAGAAAAAAGAATAAGTCAGAATGACAAAATACATATATGATATTTTTTATTATTCCATATTGATAAAACTTTAGTAGGTTTTTCTATATGAATGGGATTTTGAATAAATAAGCATATTCACCTGCGGAAAAAGTATATTCACCGCGCAAAACGTTGCGTGCTTTTACGTGTATGATTTTGGTAAAACGTTTGATGTACAATTGGTTTTGGTAAATAATTTCGATTACATACATTTCTCTCGGAATATGGAATAAAACAATTACTGTCTTTTGTTTCGGTAAATTTGTGGTTTAATTGACTTTTGAAAAACTGATATTCACTTCGGCCGTTGGCCTCAGTGAATATCAGTTTTTCAAAAGTCAATAAAACCACATATTTACCTCATCAAAAGACAGTAATTGTATATTATTTTGAGTATTAATCCAATTCAAACAGCTTTAAATGCATTTAATGAATGGTAAAGTAGCAAATTGAGTTAAAAGTTATTTAAGAAATATGAAATAAAGGAAATCAGAAAAATCTCATACCCTATAATTCCCAATTTAATAGTATTTTAAGAGCAAAATCATTTCATTTCTCCATATAAGTACAAAAGTACTATAAAAAAATATTAATATTAGATAACAAGAGTGCACACACTGAAATGTCTCGCCTTCTTTACTAACCATTGATTTTATGTTGATAGTCCTAAATATAAAGCTTTACTACAAGTAACACATAAACTTAACATGATCCAAGAAAATGAGGTCAAGGTCAGATAAACCAAACGAGAAATACATGTACACCTTACAATCATTCAATAAACCAAACATAGTTGACCTATTGCTTATAGTTTCTAAGAAACAGTCTTAACCAAGAAAACTAAATATTGACCAATGAACCATGAAAATGAGGTCAAGGTCAGATGATACCTGCCAGACAGACATATACACCTTACAATCCTTCCATACAACAAATATAGTTGATCTATTGCTTATAGTTGAAGAAAAACAGACCAAAACACAAAAACTAAACACTGAGAAATGAACCGTGGAAATGAGGTCAAGGTCAAATAAAACCTGCGAGACTGACATGTACATCATAAAATATTTCCATACACCAAATATAGTTGACCTATTGCATATAGTATTAGAAAAAAAGACCAAAACTCAAAAACTTAACTTTGACCACTGAACCCTGAAAATGAGGTCAAGGTCAGATGACACCTACCAGTTGGACATGTACACCTTACAATCATTCCATATACCAAATATAGTAGCCCTACTGCTTATAGTATCTGATATATGGACTTGACCACGAAAACTTAACCTTGTTCACTGATCCATGAAATGAGGTCGAGGTCAAATGAAAATTGTCTGACGGGCATGAGGACCTTGCAAGGTACGCACATACTAAATATAGTTATCCTATTACTCATAATATGAAAGAAATTAACATTACAAAAAATGTTGACTTTTTTTTCCAAGTAGTCACTGAACCATGAAAATGAGGTCAAGAACAATGGACATATGACAGACGGAAACTTCGTAACATAAGGCATCTATATACAAAGTATGAAGCATCCAGGTCTTCTAGCTTCTAAAATATAAAGCTTTTAAGAAGTTAGCTAACGCCGCCGCCGCCGACGGATCACTATCCCTATGTCGAGCTTTCTGCGACAAAAGTCGCAGGCTCGACAAAAACTATGCTTAATTATTGGTGGTTACCTTAATAATATTTGTTCTTAATATTTTCATTTATTGTTTTGGTATTTTGCTACTGGAATGATTTTCAGACTCTTTAAAAAAAAAGAAGCCTTTTGTCCTCAACTTTTTTATGACCTTTTCAAGCTTTCTATATGGAGTGGGTTTACTAAGTCGTTGAATGCCATGTGGTAAGTATCTTTTTTTTCTATCTAATTTTTTACTGTATATTATTTGGATACTGTTTCATTTATATCATTTTAACTTCTAACATTCAATTATTCAATTTACCATTTTTTTTTTATCATATATCATATCATTGTAAAGACCTACCCAGTTTATATGCAGAATCACTAGAATACATTGGAGATGTCATCTTTCTCTGGGCTCCACCATAGGGATGGAAAATATACAATGAGAAATCTGATAATCTTCCTGTGAAACTGAGACCTCCTGCTTTGGACATGACTGGTAAATCATTACTGGATGAAGTATTACTGTGGCTTCTTGACTTCTCAGACTTCCCTCCACTCCAGTTACGCTCTCTGCTAACTGCAATAGGCATCATTCAAAATATTCAAGAATAAAAATTGAATTTTACGGGATAGTTTCTTTTGTTTGAAAATGACAGTTGTTTTAAAAAGTCAGCAAATTTATACAATTGAAGAAGGTTTTAATATAAAAGCTTTTCTAATTGTTTCCTGTATGTAAAACATTTTTTCATCTATGCATCAATCTGATCACGACGAAATTAAACATTGAGTGAAAGGGAACTTTATCACTACATGTATTTCCATTATGCAGTAAATTTGACAACAATAACATATACCCACAATTTCAAAATACCTTTGGTCTTAAGTGGAGGTGAAGCCTCTCCTATTTGGGCCTCCATATCTGGTCCTCTTGTGCTAAACACTACATCTAGTGATGGAACCTGTAGAAGACATTCTACTCTAGAAACAGGGACACAGTTGAATCTTATTATAGATGGTTCCACTCTAATGAACACAACAACATCAACAGGGAATGAGTTGTAGTAAGCTCCTGTTGTCAGTGATGTGCTTGAAGCATCCAGATCTATATTCAACATACTGAATGGATCCACTATAAAAAAAAAAAAAAGCTTAATTATAATATTGCTGTCTAAATAAAGGAACGAAAAATGTAACAATTTAACATAAAGACAAGGTCATATTAAGTCAGTTCAAAAACCTATACGGTGTCATACAAAATGTTTTAATTATAAACGGATAAATTTAATAAAGAAAAATCAAGATCAGAAACAAATTTCAAGGACAACTCCTTTTTTCTATCAGAAAGCACTGGAAATGATATTTGACTACAAATGTAGAGGAAATATAGTGAAGTTCTACATTTAGATGGCTTTGAATTACTTCCTTATGGAAATTAAATTCAAGTGAAGAATTGCAAGAAAACACTTTATTCTGTGTACTTACTTTTCTTTGTAGGAGGAGAGGCTGCTTGACCAGGCTGACCTATAGGTATTGGTTCTAAAGCTTGCTCTAAGAAATACATCAGGTATGGACTTATTATCATTTCCTGAAGAAAAAAAATCCTATTCTTTAGTTAATCATTATTTCAAACTTTCAAACACTTACAGTTATCTAACTAGAAACTTGACGATATGCTCATCTCTGGTATTTGTTTAAATCCTATTATATGAAAATGTTTTAGCTTGTAAACTGCATAAGAGGAAAAAAATGATGGCTATATAGGCAGACTGGATTTAATCAACATTTTGTAACAGAAATATTAAAAAAGGTTTGTTAAACATTTCTTAATTACAAGAACATTTCAAAATTTTATGATAGCAAGTTCTGTGGACAAATACAAATGCAGAAGATTTCCAATTGCAATCATATTTAACAATAATATTTTTGAAGTTGAAAAAATGCATTATAATTTTACCTCAGGTAATGACTGCAGTGACAACCAAGCATAAAGTTTGGCCTTTTTCACACCAGGTTTCTGTCTGCAACTAATGTTGGAATCAGTACATTCAGAACCAGTACTATTACTTGGACTAATAAACTGATTGGATTTAGGTCTCCTAATGACAACCACTTCTTCTTCTGTGTAAGCATCCTCCTGTGGTAGGAGGTCTCTCGCTGATTCAGGTGAAACAGATGATTCTATAGTACCATTAGTAGTTTTGGAATTGTAATGAACCTGTTAGTAGAAAATTGATGAATTAATATCATAACAATAATATTTGAATTCATTAATCCTTCAATACACTATACACAGTATGAAGTTGAAATATCCTTTTTTGTATTGCCACAGTGGTCCTATTGTAGTGTTCATCACTAGTGTGAGGGAGGGTGTGCTTTCCCTCCCCCCTAGGGTCAAACAAAACTTTAAAATTAATATTTTTTGCTTCTCTGCAAGTAAGCGGCGTACAAGACAAGACTGGTAGGCTCAAAATCCAACTAGGGTGCTTTGGAAGGGTGACATGTCTTCCTAAACGTTTTGACCATTTGCACTAACATGTTAAAATCCAGCTAACTGTGTGGGTCTAGTACAAAGCAGATTCCTTATTCATATCACATTAACATGATGTCCAGAAATTTTTATTTGTGTCCAATTTTTCCCTTTGTTTGCAGTAGGCATTTGACAACAAATTTTACTTTACTTTATCATTGTCTACTTCGATGCATTGTACAAGGCAGTTAAACACAAATTCTAAGGCCTAAACAGCAAACAAAACCTGATGGGAAAAAATAAGTAGATTTAAGGCATATTTGCATAAATTTGAGACCAACTATTCTCAAATTAGGACCAATGCTGGGTGACAGATTTGATATTCATAATCATCTAAACAAATGGTATCCTGAAATATGGCAATTTCAAATGTTCTGTCCAACTTTTAGGGCCTATTCATATATATGTCTATAACAGTAAACAGGCAATGGAATACTCTCTAAGGTTGTTCATTCTGAGGCACATGTTGCTGGAATCCAATGCTCTCTACATTTAACAGAATCCAAGAAACACTTCTTTACAAGGTGAAAAGGTAATAACAAATAAATTATCTACAACAAATCAAACTTTATTTGATTCTTGAAGAACAAACAATTACTGATATTATGGATGCCTCTTCATTGCTACACAAAGCCATTCACACTGTAAATAACAATAAACAACAGCACTTTAAACAGTCAGCAATGACTACTGTTGTCATGAAATAGAAGTTCCTTCATTATATAAGTTCCAAATGGAAGAACAATTCTGTTTAATTATTTCCTCTGGAACGGATGTTATGGTATTGTTTATAACAAAGTTTCAAGTGGAACTTCTGTTAGGTGGAACAAATATACATTTACACTGTTATTATACCACAAGAATAAAATTCATTTCATTTAAATTTTCTGCTTTTGAGGGGAAAAAAAATATAATCTTTATTTGTTAATGTAACTGACCTTGACATCAACACTAGGCATGAAGAAGACAGTGTTCTCCACTTGTGGCTGTTGTTGTTGTCCTGGTTTTTTTGTCTGACCAGTGAACTGGCCAAAGTCAGGTATATTTTGGTTTCTTCTGGCAGATTTAGGTGAACTCTGATTGATGGTTGGAGTCTTTTCTCGTTTCTGTTGCCTACAGAATACAAATCAATTTAAACAGTTATATCAGAACTTCAATTTTTAAGATAAACTAAAATTAACATTTGATATGTTCACATATCTATTGATTTTTTTGAAGTTTCTATAAAAGAACACTCTGAACAATGTAAAGTCTATCTGTCAGTTTCATCATCTTTATTTAAGGCAATCCATTGAAAATCATAATATACCAATTTAAAGTTTGTATGTAAAACCAATTGTTTTGCAAACAAGGCTTGACCAAAATGTTTTTTCTTTCTTTTTCTTTAACCTGCATCAAAGGCCTTTTTAAAATGCCATAACTTCGTTAATCGCAACATCATGCATCCCAGACTATATGTTGTTTTTTTATGTTTTTTTAATAGCCTGAAATTTTATGTACATGTAAAAAATCATAAAAGTAAAACTTAAACCAAAAGTTTGCATTTAAGAAAAGTTGGGCCCTTATCACAACCTGTCCTTTTCTATAATTTAGGCATTGCTCATCTCAGGATAAACCAAGCATGCTTGATCAATGGTTGATGTATTCCACAATTCAAATAAAGTTTTAACAATCAGCAATGGACCACTGAGAAAATATGAACAGTAAAATTAAATTTTAAATAAATGGAAAATGTGTCCATGGGACATAGAAGATGCTCCCGCTTGCATACGACGTGCAAAGGGATGCCAAATTCAAACTTGATTTGAGTTTTGTGGTAATAAGCATTGTGTATAAGTTTCATAACATTTGGTTGAGGTAAACTTAAGTTTGAGGACGGAAACGAAAAATTCAGCAATTTTCCATTTGTAAAGGGGCATAACTCTAGAACGGTAAAAGTGACACTACCCAAATCCAAACTTGATCTGTGTTTTGTGGTAATAAGCATTGGGTATAACTTTCATAACATTTCGTTGAGGCAATCTAAAGTTAGAGAACGGAAACCAATTTAGGGACGTACAGACGCAGCGGAGGGGGCAAAAAAAAAACCCAGTATATTTGTACAATATTTATTTTTCCAACCTTTTCAGTTCATCTTCCTTTGAGTCTTTTGGATGTAGAACACATTTACCACTATCAATAAAGACCTTTATATCCAGTTCAAAGTCAATATTAGGTTCCATCGTTGTTTTAGATCCTCCACTACCTATACTGGGATTGGTTACTGGAGGTATTATATCCTCCTCTTCACTGTGAATTAAAAAAATAACAAAATGTACCAACTTGATACACAGAATATTATTTTTTATTAAATACATTGTTGTCTGAAGTATCTGAAAACAGGAAGTATATTTCTGACAGATCTTAAAAGAGATGACATCTTACAACTCATCACTGTCAAGCTGCTGACCAAATATGAAATCATTCTGTTTAGTAGTACCGGAGAGAAGTGTGATGACAACATTTGTTGGATGAACAGAATTATGAACTACTAACAGACTGACAAACAGATGGACAAAGTGAATGCAAATAAATAAAAACTCCCAAAGTCAGTATTTTCAAATGATGAATATAATGGTAAAAAAAAAAACCTACTCTGTATCATCAGAGAAGACTTCTGATTTGATTCGCCCTTCTTCTTCTTCTGAGATATCCGAGGAGTCAGTGCTTGTAGTGGAATCCCTGCTGTACCAGGCTCTGGCTTCCGATGATGGACTACTAGAACTGAAGTCCTTCAGAATACTGGGGTCTTCTGTCAGTGATGTGGGAGTCCTGTGAATAATGTAAAACACATTAACATAAATCTTGTAGTAAGAGACCTCAAATATATAAAGGACTATGAAATATATGATTTTCCATGCAAAAGTTAAAATAACAAGAATGTGTCCATAGTACACGGATGCCCCACTTGCACTATCATTTTCTATGTTCAGTAGACCGTGAAATTGGGGTCAAACTCTAATTTGGCATTAAAATTAGAAAGATTATATCATAGGGAACATGCATACTAAGTTTCAGGTTGACTGGACCTCAACTTCAGCAAAAACTACCTTGACCAAAAACTTTAACCTGAAGCGGGACAGACGGACGGACAGACGGAAGCACAGACCGAAAAACATAATGCCCCTCTACTATCGTAGGTGGGGCATAAAAACAAAATTCAGTTTGCAGGCATACACAGTTGAGTACAGGTACTTAAAATATTACTATAATCTTTTCACACGTTAACATGTTTATTCAAAATCATGAACCTTGTCAGTACAGTCATTTCCGGTTATTTGCATAGCCTATTTGTCAGACAAAATTATGCAATTAAGCAGAATATGCTTATATCCGAAATGCCAAATTACGGAGTCAAATAACATCAATAGTAAAGATCAGTAAAGGAAATCCCTGAAGAAAGATGAAGTGCCGTGATCCACTTGCAATGTGTTGAATGATGATTTATTCTAATAAAAGTTATATGTCTGATGTCATATATGTTATTGTCTTTCAATTCTTTCAATAAAGTTAATAAATGTTTAAACATTTTGTATTTTTACACAATTTTCAGAGATAGGGATGTGCTGTTGCTTCTGTCACTGTTTTATGTGTTATGGAACATCATAATACTCAAAATGCTTCCAAAACTTCTTTGAATATAACTTATGATTACCCTGGAGGAGTATATGCTGTAGAAATAGTCTGTCCAAACTTGACTCTAGCTGGTAATGTTTTAGATATATCTAATGATCCTATCCTTTTAGACTGTTGGTTATAGGCAGCGAGTTTGTCCATATCTGCATGACTGAAACAAACACAAACATGTGGTGTACATACTGAGTAAAAAATATTTAATCCTAATTAAAAACTTTAAATAAAAAATGTCCAAAGTTGTAGAAATAAATTTTATTAATGTTGAGTAAAAGTTGCACAGTATGGTTTATTTTCTTTGTTACAATATTCTATTTATATTCTATCTGTGTTATGTTCAGAAGTATACTGTATTTCTGAAATATAAAATTAAAAAGAGTTGCTGCTAAACTTTTTTTACTCAAAATATATGTCATGATTGATATACAGCCATATTTTTTAAGCTGCTGTGACTAAAAAGTGAATACTATCAAATTGTTATTATTTTTCTGATGAAATTTTGTTAAATGAGATTATACTTCAGTTTTGCTTAAAACTTATACCTCTGCAGTCCTTTAGTTAATATACTGGTCTATTTAGAAATTGAATTAATCCACAGGAACTAAAAATTTCAAAAAAACTTTCAGTTCCGTCAGAAATATAACTGCCTATAGCAGGAATATGGACCAGTATATTTAAAGCATCTCTTTGTTTACTAGTAAGAAATTTAATCTTTGCTTGTAGTAATTCTCTCAGTAATGCTTGAAAATGAAATATATATTGAATTAAAAATTTATACTGCTTTTACCTTCTTTCAAACAACCAAACATTATGTTGTGATTTTTCCTAAAAGGTATTAAAAATAGGGTTGCATCAAATGTCATAACTCTTCCAAAATGATAATATAAATTAAAATACCAATGACAGTGTTACGATCACTTATTATAACATGAATATGATGTTATATTTAATTTCTGATCCACAAATAGATAGTTGTTACCTCCTTCTATGATGACCTCCACCATATGATTTAGATCTAGAGTGAAGAGGTTTGTTTCCTATACCCAACTGATCCTTTAGAGCAGAGGTCTGCAATAACAAACATAACATTTTTTACATACTGAGCTAAATGCAAGGTTTGTAAACAATTAAAGTAAAAATCATTAAATAAAGCTACATGTACATCATGCATAGCAGTCACCAAATAAGACAAAAGAAACATTTTGTCTCTTTTTCAATTTTTTTTGCTTGGCCTCCATACTGTTGTATTCTGTTATTTTCTAGACCAATGTTTAACGAATCTGGTAATGTTGATATTTTACATACCCTAGGCACCAAAACACCAAAGCATTTTTGAAAGTACATTTTAATTTTTATTCTTAAGTCATCTTGTCTCAAATGATTCTGTAAATATTTCTTAGTAAACCTCATCATTCATGTAATGTTAAATTTCATAAAACTGTAATTTGTTTTGTGTTTAGCAGTTTCATAACTCATACATTTTTGCATTTACTTTATTACATGAAAAGGGGACTCAGTGGACAAGTGATCTAAGTAGTCCAACTACTGTATCACTAGCCTATCAACACTGATGTTTGGAGTTCGAACCCCACACATGGAAAATGCATTCAACTCTAATCTTAATTGAATGAGATAGTCAGTTTTCATGCCAAAGGACTGTGGTTCTCTTCAGGAACTCAGGCCTCCTCGTCCAATAAAATCTGCTGCCAAAAAATAACCAATAGTGCTGAAAGTGTCGTTAAACACCAACCAATCAATAAAACAAAATAATACTAATATTTCATCCTGATCAGCTTTCTGTCTAAAGAAATCAATGCTGGTTGTCTGAAGTATCATATGCCCTCTAAATCCATTCTGTTAATATAATCAATCTTACCCTGCTTTCCCCTTGTTTCTTCAGTTTGAACAAAATCTCTCTTCTAAAATCTCTAAACACAATAGATTTTAATTCTTCAAGTTTTCTAGCTTCTAATTCAATAGTTGGTAGACTTGCTCCTAGTTGCCTGCAAACATATGATATGGTATTCACAAATATATATATATATATATATTATATATTAAAGAAATTTTCTTCATTTTACAACATGTTGTTACCCATATAATTCACTAGACTGCCCATTATAGTGTTTAGATCACTGAACAACTTATTTATCATTTAATTTCAGTCAAACCCTTCATTGTTGTTCCTTGTTTTATAGAAACATATGGTTTTCAACGTAATTTGTTACCATAATCATGGCTTCACTGAATTTTTTTCTTCCAACTATAAAGTAAAAACAAAAATAGTTTTTAATGCTAATTTTAATAAAAATAATTAATATCCTATAGGATCAATTTTATCATATTCAAAATATAACTAAATATTTTTGAAAAGTCTCTCACAGAGTTTGTTTTATGAAAAAAAACACCTATAACAATTTTAACATTTTCTTTTGACAGGAACCCCCCAAAAAACATGTTTAAAGGAGAAACTGTTTAATATGACAATTGAAAATACAAAGTTTATAATCAGATGTAATATTGTCAACTTCAAAGGTTATCCTCTTGTTGTATGTGTTCTTAGTTTGTTTTTAGTTTCTTTTTTTGCATGAATAGATCTACAAGATATCAAGAAATTATTACAAATTTCAAATTTTGGTTGACAGAAATCATTTTAGGTCCAAGAAAATAACATTTGTATCTTGAAATCTTATATTACTTTCTTGTTGATGCCACTGCTGATGAACTCACAGGGTATTAGTAACTTAGCTAAAATTTAATGTTCTATCTTAAATACAGGTATATGATTATTCCTTCAATTACTTTTAAGTTTTTCATAAGCTCTCTGAATTATTTTTTGAATGACTTTTTGTAGTGTTATGAGTTTTTAATTTAATAATGAAATCCCCCCCCCCCCCCCCCCCCCCCAAAAAAAAAAAGGAAAAAGAAAGAGGGAGAGTGAATATGTAAATTTTTTAAGGTTGATAGCTGGAAAACCACCAAACCATTGTATATTGATGTTGTGCCTGACAATCAGAAAATCACACATCTTAAAAGTTATTTATTAGACAAATTTAAGCATATATAGAATGTACTAAATAAAACATGATCTGTTAGTTGTGAGAAAACTACAAATAAACAATAAATCAAAGCAAATGAATGTTTTAGTATACACTCAACAGATGAGCATCTTTCTCTGATTGTTCTTCCTGATGTTCAAGCAAGACTTTATACCTTTATATATATAGAAATACATATATATGTGTGGTGTGTAGACAATTAGTTTAAGGATAAATTGATTTGAAAATTTACAGAAACTTTATTTCATAAGATATAATTCTAGATATATTTTTTATTTTTTCCAATTTTTTAGTTGAGTGGGTATTATCAGAGGGTACCATCTCAAGCCCAGCATTCAGCTCTCCTGTGTTGATATGAATTATCATTGGTATGGTCATCTTTATAAATTTTCTGTTTACAAAACTTTGAATTGTTCGAAATAATAGGGATTTTCTACCCAGGAATCAATTACCTTAGCTGTAAAAACCTTTCAGATTTTTGGGTATTCAATGCTCTGGAACATTGTACTTAATTTGGCCTATTAATTTTTTTGATTTGAGTAATGAGTCTTTTGTAGACAAAATGCATGTCTGGAGTACAAAATTATAAGCCTGGTATCTTTGATGAATTTATTTCATCAGCATCATAAAACCTGTTTGAATTGAGTGTGATACATGAACGATTGACCTCTAATATTTCTTTCCTATTCTAAATTTGACAGTCTTTCACACAGTTTTCCAGTAAAGCTAGCAAGTATAAGTGCACAATGCTGAAAAACAGTAAAATCCACATCTATAATTGTACTGTGCACTTATGTACAAAATAAAACTACCGTTACCTTATGTTCCTAAACAAAATTTATTTGTATGAGCAATATTTGAGTTTATAAATGGAAATAAAACTCTTTACATCCATCCAACACACGATCTTTTATTTTAAATATCAACAACATTTGATAAAACATTCGTTGCATGTTAAAAACTTGATTATCAAGAACTACACAAATAATTACCGATTGAAGGAACTGTTGAGACTAAAATGACAAAATTATGCATTAACTTTAAAAAATATGGTATCTGGAACTTCTGTGGTGTTCCATAAAGGCAGACAAATAGCATGATAAGGTGTATTGTATACAACTTACAGACACATGGAATGAATTCTTTTATTTGTAGAATGTCATCGTAATGACATGGTAATCCCCACAAAAGTATACTTATCAAAAAAGAAAATTGATACTTTACATCTTGAAAGAATAGGTAAAATCTACATTGGAATCACTATAAAACTTCTTTCAGAAGGATTGTAAATAAAAATGACAGACAGACAACTCAATCAACATGATCCTGGATGCTTATACATATGAGAGAAATTATGAAAGTTTTGGACTCTTAACAACCAAGAGAAAAAGAAATATCTTTATCAGTTACAATGCTGACAAGACACACACATATTGTTTATTCTACCAGATGTTTACATGCCTGCGGTTGATGCTTCTTTTCCTGTGACACATTTTTTATTGAAATTACATTGTATACCAATTTTATTATATTTATTCACCACTCAAAGCTTGCCAATGCTGATCATTGTATAGTGACTTCTGGATGTCTATTTAAGGATTTCCAAATTTTGCTGGGTTGCTGTCTCACAGACAAAATCCAATCATTTATATTCCATATCTTATTCATGTACAGTTTATATGACAAAAGCTTTCATATATCACATCTTTACCTAAGGTCTTGTACAATCCTGGCCTGTTCATTCATCTCTTTTTCAATCAGTCTGAACCTTTGTTTTGGATCCATTGTGGTGTCATAAACAAAACTTGGCAATGAATCTAACATCAGGCTGGGTCTTCTAGGGGAAGGCTCGGTCTATAAAGAAGTATATATATAATGTTATATTGTGATCTCATTAGACACCTATGTCTTGTAAGTCTGTTCATAGTTTTAGACAAAAAAAATTCATAGATTTATTTTGGCCAAACTGTGAATTTTGATAAAGAACATTTATAAATGTACTCTTCCATTGCTTTGGGTTTGTCAAGTCTGTGTAGGGATCTTGTGTTACAAAGAAATACACACTATTCTTTCTTTTCAACTATAACCAGCACTCTTATGCATGCATTTTTTACTAGATGTAAAAGTACTAAACATTATAGTATTGGCTGCAGTTTAACTTTCACAGTGAAATATTACGAGCAGAAATACATTATTACACAAATTTAACACAATAGACATACCATATGAAATATGTTAACATGTAAAACTAGACATCATTGAGATGGGAGCCATCTCTGTGGGCCCCGCTGACCTTGAACTTTGACCTAGGAAGTTGTACAAACATTATGACACACCCTCTGGTGTCGGTTAATATACATGTCAAGTATAAAGTATGAAATTATAACGGTTCTCTAGATATAGAGTGGACACAATTTTTTACAGACAGACGGATGAACGGATGGACAGACTGATCACTATAGGGCGACCCGCCATTAGGCGGGGTCCTAATAAAATAAATATTACTCATAAGGTACCTTACAGAAATCCCTCTATCTTAAACCATGAAAATTTAATGATAATATAATAAAGAATATTAAAAGTATATTAAAAGTATATACATTTGATAAAGACACGTAAAGATGATAATAATTACCTTTGCTGGAAATTATAGCTAGTTTTATATCAGATATTCATAATTAAACTATATTATGTGTATTAAGCTTCGACACAAAAATTAACAACAAGAATTGGATTTAGACAAATTTTGTGTAAAACAGCTACCTCATATTCATTAGGGGAGAAAATATCCTGCCCTCCCTCTTCATCTTCTCCCATTTCATCATCTGGTTCTCCTGCTAGAGCAGTTAGAGTACCTCCAAGGGAAGATAACCTCTTCCCAATGTTTGTATCAAGATGAACGTCTATTCCTTTCATTTCCCACTGGACATTTAGTATCCATTTGGCATTTCCATTTGGGTCTATCAAAATAATAATATAATCTTTCATAAATCTGCAGTGAACCTGAAAATCTTTAGATGCTGTTATATATGACACTGATTGATTATTTTAGTCATAGAAATTTAATCTAAAAGTAATGTTTTAGAAATTGTACATATCATATATCTCCATGTCACAAAATATTATAGAATTATCTGTAAATAATTTATTCTTTAATTCATGTTATAAATAAAAGTTTTAATATGGCCTATACAAAATCATTTTAATTTTATCTTAATGCATCATAACTGTGATTTCATGACAATCATCCTACAACTGGTGAAAACACCAAATTAGCAGTCAATAGTGTCCACAAAATACCCTTAGATTAGATACTGTTCAAATATATTCATAAACTGGCACATTTTTTTGTCAAATGAAAATCCTTTTGTTCAGAATTTACTCTGATGTTTAATCTATGTTAGCAATGAACCAGTATATTCATCACATTAATAAAAACTAGCATTTTTTCATTTTAATTGTTTTAAATCGTATGACTGTCTTGAATTTTGATTGGTCATCAGGGATGATGGTTCAAATAATAAATGCATATAACATTTACTGAATTTACAGTGAATTCACAGTGGTTTATATTGTTCTTACCTGAAGCCTGTTTGTTAATTGTCCTAGAACAAACTTCATATGTCCCCTCTGGTACAACACAGGCATTCATTATAGGATCTTCTTTAGAGTCTGGTTTCCAATCGTCCCAAGATGTTTCAAAATCATTGGCAAATCGTAAACAAAAGTCTGGAAAAAAAATACATTAAATGTATTTAAAGTAAATATTCTGTTTTTATTTCCCCCTAAAACATATGCAACTAGATATCATTGAGATGGGAGCCATCTCTGTGGGTCCCGCTGTGAATAATGTGTGGTAAAAAATCTGTATCTTTATCATTGGACATGGGGTTGTCAACTGAAACCGAAGTTTATGACCTTGACCTTTGACCTAGGAAGTTGTACATAAATTATGACACACCCTCTGGTGTTGGTTAATATATGTGAAGTATAAACTTTGAAATCATAACGGTTCTCAAGATATAGAGCGGACACAATCTTTACCATAGGACATGGGGTTGTCAACTAAAACCAAAGTTTTTGACCTTGACCTTTGACCTAGGAAGTTGTACATACATTATGACACACCCTCTGGTGTTGGTTAATATACATGTCAAGTATAAACTTTGAAATCATAACGGTGCTCTAGATATAGAGCAGACACAATTTGTTACAGACGGATGGACGGACAGACTGATCAATATAGGGCATCCGCCATTCGGCGGGGCCCTAATAAAATAATAAAAACATTTTTGGAGGGATTTTTATTTGAATGGGAAGCTGAGAAAAGCAAAATAGTTCTGTAAATCTAATGCTTTTTATGAAATGTTTGCAGTTTTTAAGGAGGGGGGTCACATGAAGGCATGTCCAATGATCTGCCTTTGTTTTCCTTTTAAATGCTTTAGTTTGAGTTGCTGAAAACAGAAAACTTAACATCATAAAGAAATTTCAAATCTGAAATGTGACCACTGAATTATAAAAATGAACACTGTACAAATGAAAGAAGACAAACCCTGGAATTTGCCCTTGCTGACTAGTGATCCAGAAGAACAAGCAGAGATCTGTGTACTCTTCAAGGTCATCACCAAGGCTACACCAGGTTCACTGTCTATAAATCTGCTGGTATGTGTATTCTGTAAAAATAAATCATTAGAAAATGAAAAAAAAATTGTTGTTACTGTTAATCTAATATGCCACTATAATACAGCAAACATTGATACCTCTAACTAAAATTAGAAAATAAAGTCAATGAACAGTAAACAATTTTCACAAAGAATAAAGTGCATCAGCTGAATGCAGTGTTCCATTCTAAAGTCTCTTTTCAAATTCAGAGGAATTGATGACAGGACTGGGTTATAAAGTGAAGTGCAAGAAAATCTGTTTAATACAGGAGCAACCAGACCCAGAGGTATATCTGTTATAGTGAATTTGTATAATTAGGTATTATGTAGATCTTTTTTTTTTGCATAATTACTTAAATCATTAGTGATTATATACATTGCCTGAAAATCACAAGTGATTTTACATAATTATCAAATTTTAAGAATTATCTTACAAATTCCTTGAAATGATTTCAGACATAATCAATAATACAAAGATCCTTTTGTTTGATAAAAATAAATCAAATATAGATAGAGAATATCATATGGCTTTTTCAATATCACACCCGTATCAACCTGAGACACCAATATAATCCCAAGAGCTCTGCTCGAGGGATTATATTGGTTGAGGGTTGATACGGTGTGTGATATTGAAAAAGCCATATCATATACACTTTATTATATACATATACCTCGAGCTCACGTCGATGTTTTTATGTGACATGACGTCATACAGGTAAGGAGGTTTGAAATGACGTCATACAGATTATAGGTTTGACATGACGTCATACAGATTAGGGGTTTGATAAAGCCTTTGCAACAGTGACTGCAATCGATGACGTGACGTCATACAGATTAAAGGTGTGATGAAGCCTTTGCAACCGTGCTGATATCGATATCATCACGGGTGGCTGATACAGCACGCTTGCCAATGATTGTATTACACATACAATTTATCTGTATTAACTACTAAGTATATAATAGACAGATAAATACTCTGTATTTCTTACCCCTTTATGGTTTAAGTGGGCAGTTTTCATTCCCTGTCTATTTATCAAATCTTAAGTGAACATTTTTTTTCAGCATTATTTTATTAAACTGTGTTGAACCACATTAAATCATAAACAAATAAAATGCTCCACAGGGCGCAGATTGATACGACCGCAGAGGTCGAACCCTGAACAGTTGGGGCAAGTATGGACACAACATTCAAGCTTGATACAGCTCTGAATTTGGATTGTGATTAAATATTTGACACAGCATAGGTTTCTGACACAGAATGAATGTGGTCTAAGAACTTAAAAATTTTAAATTGGACATTCACCTATTATGGTCCTATATCCAAAATCTAAATGCATGGTTAGATTCAGCATATCAAAGAACCCCCAGAATTCAATTTTTGATGAAATCAAACAAAGTTTAATTTTGGACCCTTTTGACCTCAATGTGGACAAAGTTGATAATGGGGCCCAAAAATCAAAAATCTAAATACATGGTTAGATTCAGCATATCAAAGAACCCCATATATTCAATTTTTGTTGAAATCAAACAAAGTTTAATTTTGGACCCCGATTTGGACCAACTTGAAAACTGGGCCCATAATCAAAAATCTAAATACATGTTTAGATTCAGCATATCAAAGAACCCTAAGAATTCAATTTTTGTTAAAATCAAACTAAGTTTAATTTTGGACCCTTTGGACCTTAATGTAGACCAATTTGAAAACGGAACCACAAATTAAGAATCTAAATACACGGTTAGATTCGGCATATCAAAGAACCCCAATAATTCAATTTTTGATGAAATCAAACAAAGTTTAATTTTGGACCCTTTGGACCTAAATGTGGACCAATTTAAAAACGGGGCCCAAAATCCAAAAACTTAATACACGGTTAGAATCAGCATATTAAAGAACCCCAAGAATTCAAGAATAAAACCCCATTGAAATTGGTCAAGAAATAAGCAATTTATACGAAGTATCTTCTTTTGCACAATACTGTGCAATTGAATATTTCTTGCTATTGCGCAATACTGTACAATTGACAATTTCTTGCTATTGCCTAATATTGTGCTATTGGATATTTCTTGCTATTGCACAATACTGTGCAATTGAAGATTTCTTGCTATTGCGCAATACTGTGCAATTGAAGATTTCTTGCTATTGCGCAATACTGTGCAATTGAAGATTTCTTGCTATTGTGCAATACTGTGCAATTGAAAATTTCTTGCTATTGCACAATACTTATTATATAATAATTTACACATCCTGTTTGGTGTGTATCTCCTACCATATCATTATTATTTACTTTTAAATATAAAACAGAAATAACCAACTTAAAATGGAAAATTTTAAAAGAAAAAAAAAAGGAAAAAAAGAAAAAAAAGGAAAAAAAAAAATCCCCCCCCCCCCCCAAATTTTTTGAACCCCCTTAGGATTCATCACCCCAAACTCAATCCCAGCCTTCCCATTGTGGTACGGTACCTTGCAGTACAATTTCAGAGAGATCCATACACTTGAACACAAGTTATTGTCTGGAAACTAGAAAAATGCTTATTTTTGGCCCCTTTTTGGCCCCTTATTCCTAAACGTTTTGGGCAATTACCCCCAAACTCAATTCCAGCTTTCCCTTTGTGATATGGAACCTTGTAGTACAATTTCAGAAAGATCCATACACTTACACACAAGTTATTATCATGAAACTAGAAAAATGCTTGTTTTTTGCCCCTTTTTTTGCCCCTAATTCCTAATATTTTGAGGCAATTACCCCCAAAATCAATCCCAGCATTCCCTGTGTGATATGGAACCTTGTGGTATAATTTATGGGAGATCCATACACTTGAACACAAGTTATTGTCTGGAAACTAAAAAAATGCTTATTTGTGGCCCCTTATTCCTAAACGTTTAGGGAAATTACCCCCAAACTCAATTCTAGCTTTCCCTTTGTGATATGGAACCTTGTAGTACAATTTCAGAAAGATCCATACACTTACACACAAGTTATTGTCATGAAACTAGAAAAATGCTTGTTTTTTGCCCCTTTTTTGCCCCTAATTCCTAATATTTTGAGGCAATTACCCCCAAAATCAATCCCAGCATTCCCTGTGTGATATGGAACCTTGTGGTACAATGTCAGAGAGATCTATACACTAACACACAAGTTATGTCTAGAAGTTACAAAAAAATGCTTATTTTTGGCCCCTAATTCCTTAACTGGTGGTACCATAACCTCCAAAATCAATCCCCACCTTCCTTTTGTGGTATTGAACCTTATGGTAAAATTTCATAGAGATCCATTCACTTAAACTAAAGTTAGAGTGCGAAAACCAATGTGTCTTCGGACGACGACGACGACGACGCCAACGTCATACCAATATACGACCGCAAAAATTTTTAAAAAAAGTATGTAAAATTGAAATTAATAATATCAACATTCTCAATGATACTGATAACTAAACATGAATGCCATGAATTGCATTGTTCACCAAAAACAATGTCAAATGCAGGTTCATCATGTTGTAAAATATAAATACACAGATCATGTAATTTGCTGTAAAACAAAGGCGATGAAAGTTATTGATCATCTGTTTTATGTTTTCAATATTCCAACGAACAAGGAATTTAAACTTAGCAAAGAAATGCAACTAAACACACAGAAAAACAAACAGAATGCATGCTTGACAGATTGAACATAATTTTGGAGAAGGCAAACATTGGCTGTAATGTTTTGATACCGATTCTGCATGTTGATAGTGGAAAAGGAGACCAAAAAAATATAATGGCCGTGAAATATAAAATTTTGCTGAGAACCTTGACAAGGAATCCATTTGAGGTGTCTGACTCACATTTTTAGCACATTCAGATGTTTCTATTGAACCCTTTATTTCTCTTCATCATGCAGTAATGTTAAAGTCATTTCGAACTTTTTTTAAATAATAAAGCAAAATCTCAAAATGTAAATTGTTCCAACATATTCATCATTGTTCTTTTGCATCTGTTTAACTACTGCTAGATTATCTGATTATGTACTTAGTGTAAAGAAATAGGAGTTTGCTTATTTCATAAGGTGTATAATAAACAGTTGATGAGCTAAAGTAAATAAAGAAACAAAAAGGAATCAGCTGTTTCTATAAACATCTGTTTGTTACCTGTTCCATGATTTGATAAGCTGACAATGACCATTGAAAATCCTAAAATAGGAAGTAAACAAAGATTATATGTAACTTGTCCGTGCCCTATGTGCCATCAGGCATAGCAAGGACTAAGTAAGTAATTAAAGGTTACATGTGGTTATATGTTAAGCTTAAATTGCTAAATTTTTTTAAAATATTAAAAAGGATTAGGTTTCATGTAAATAATAGTGTTAGTAAACGGTATGATTATATCTGATCTGTCCAAGAACCAGTACATTACCTGACTTTGTACACTCTCTACAGGTACACATATTCCCATATCGTCTACCGTCACCTGTAGATATAGTGTACTGAAGGTAGACGGGGCTGTGGTGTTAAACTGTGGAATCCTACCCATCACTTGTCTTGTAGCAGTCTGAACCTGTGTGTAAAATGAAAGTTTTACAATACATTAAATATGAATCACATGACTTCACATAGATGGAAGAATTTCACACACTTCCTGACTTCATTCTTTAATTATTTTCTATTTGTTTTGCAAGTTATTTGAAATAATTAGATATTCATCGAGACTGTGTTAGACAAAAAATCTTAAGACTAAAATTGATCGTAAGTATGCTGAATTGTTCACAACTTACGATTAATCTTAGTCGTAAGATTATCTGTGAAATAAAATGCTCCGCTGGGCGCAGCTTGATACGTCCGCAGAGGTCGAACCCTGATCAGTTGGGGCAAGTATGGACACAACATTCAAGCTTGATACAGCACTGAATTTGGATTGTGATTAAATATTTGACACAGCATAGGTTTCTGACACAGAATGAATGTGGTCTAAGAACTTAAAAATTTTTAATTTACCTATTCAAACCATATCATTATTATTTGCTTTTATATATAAATCAGAAATAAACAATTTAAAACGGAAAATTTTGAAGAAAAAAAAGGAAAAAAAAATCCTTCCCCCCAAATTTTTTGAACCCCCTTATGATTCATCACCCCCAAACTCAATCCCAGCCTTCCTTTTGTGGTATGGTACCTTTCAGTACAATTTCAGAGAGATCCATACACTTGAACACAAGTTATTGTCTGGAAACTAGAAAAATGCTTATTTTTGGCCCCTTATTCCTAAACATTTTGGGCAATTACACCCAAACTAAATTCCAGCTTTCCCTTTGTGATATGGAACCTTGTAGTACAATTTCATAAAGATCCATACACTTACACACAAGTTATTGTCATGAAACTAGAAAAATGCTTGTTTTTTGCCCCTTTTTTGGCCCCTAATTCCTAAAATTTGGAGGCAATTACCACCAAAATCAATCCCAGCATTCCCTTTGTGATATGGAACCTTGTGGTACAATGTCAGAGAGATCTATACACTAACACACAAGTTATGTCTAGAAGTTACAAAAAAATGCTTATTTTTGGCCCCTAATTCCTTAACTGGTGGTACCATAACCTCCAAAATCAATCCCCACCTTCCTTTTGTGGTATTGAACCTTATGGTAAAATTTCATAGAGATCCATTCACTTAAACTAAAGTTAGAGTGCGAAAACCAATGTGTCTTCGGACGACGACGACGACGACGCTAAGGTCATACCAATATACGACCACAAAATTTTTTTGCGGTCATATAAAAACAAGGGCCAGATATGTCTTATTATGAATAAAGGAATAGTGTTATCAAATGTTGAACTTGTTTGCTTTAATGTCTTATGTCTCTAAAAAGTGTTTAATTCTTTCTTTCTATTAAATAAAGTATAATTCTATAATTGAACTCATGAAAATAAAAAAAGTATTATAAGAACTAAAATGTTTTATTAAATCTTTTTTTTAATATATCTTTCTAATAAAGCTGAACATTTTACATCACATCATTTATGAATCTTTGTAAGTAATGACTCAACAGACTATGTAGAACTTAGTTTTATAGACATTTACTCTGAAAAATCTCCTAAGTTCTTTATCTACAAACCATATATAAACCTCAAAAGGCTGCTTCAATTCAGTTGTTAGGTTGTTGAAAAAAATGATTCCATATTTTCTTAAAATGAATCTAACATAATGAAAATTATCAACCTATCACTGATGTAATGAAGCATGCATCAGGAGTTAATCTTTACTTACTTCAGTATTCAATGCCATTCTTTGTTCTGTCCAGTATTAACCTATCACTGATGTAATGAAGCATGCATCAGGAGTTAATCTTTACTTACTTCAGTATTCAATGCCATTCTTTGTTCTGTCCAGTATTAACCTATCACTGATGTAATGAAGCATGCATCAGGAGTTAATCTTTACTTACTTCAGTATTCAATGCCATTCTTTGTTCTGTCCAGTATTAACCTATCACTGATGTAATGAAGCATGCATCAGGAGTTAATCTTTACTTACTTCAGTATTCAATGCCATTCTTTGTTCTGTCCAGTATTAACCTATCACTGATGTAATGAAGCATGCATCAGGAGTTAATCTTTACTTACTTCAGTATTCAATGCCATTCTTTGTACTGTCCAGTATTAACCTATCACTGATGTAATGAAGCATGCATCAGGAGTTAATCTTTACTTACTTCAGTATTCAATGCCATTCTTTATTCTGTCCAGTATTAACCTATCACTGATGTAATGAAGCATGCATCAGGAGTTAATCTTTACTTACTTCAGTATTCAATGCCATTCTTTGTTCTGTCCAGTACTCATAGGCATTTTTGTAGTTTAACCACACGAGTACAGCTGGAATAAAATACATTATTAATGACATACAATAATAATATAAAGTTAATCACTAATACTGAAGAACTCTATGAAGTGTTTAGAACAAATGGATTCATCAATAACAGTACATTTTTTCAACATACAAAAGTTTATGAGATAATGAGGTATGACTACTTTTTCTGAAACCCAAATTTGAATGATAGTGTTTGTTATACTATATCTTATCATTCCATTCCCTCTATCAAAGGTCGATTCGTCAACATACCTTTACAAATTATTGCTTGCATTTATTATTGCACTTTTTGAAGAAAGGACAAAAATGTAAGATTAATTATTGTGATTGCAGGAAAACCTGCATACAGATATACTGTGGATTCGTTTATTTCATGGGTACCTACTTTCATAGAATGAGGAAAAATTGTATTTTTTCGTGGATATTTTATTTCGTGGTTTTGCTAGATTTTACATAAATCACTATAGAAATTAGTAATTCGTTGAACATTTAAATTCTTGGTTCCCCTGTACTAACGAAATCTATGAAAATTGGTATCCAACGAATAATAATGAATCAGATATCAGATATCAGAGCATGAGTCATTGCAAAACTCACCCAGTTGCATTATTCACATAAATAAATACCTCACAATAATTTCTGAATTTACAGAATGCAAATGATGGTCTAATGATCTTCACATAAAACAAATATTTGTTTAAAAAATTCATTAAAAAAACCAAACTGTGTTGTTACCTTTGTCAAAGGCTAAAGGTTGAATAAGGATAATAGGTCTGGTAAGGGTGATCAGTAGAGCCTCCTGGTCAGCTGATACTCCTGGTATCATCTCATCCTGCAAATATACAAACACAAATCATTTCTCTCATTAATAAACAACAACACGCACAATATTTTTCTAGAATTTAATCTGGACAATATACAAAATAAAAATATTTCTCTGGATAATATATAGCATTCAAATAATTTTTATCTGGATAATATAACATGTAAAATGCAAATAACATCTCTGAATGGTATACAACATATATTTCTTTGGATGATATAAAACATTTTTTAAATTCAAACAGTGACACACAAAGTAACGAAGTCACACTCTAGAAAACCACATATTTTCTAACTCTTGTCGTATTTTGTCAAGTACTATTATATAGCACACAAATAAATGTTATATGCTGAATTAATGCATATTTCTTGTGGAAATGATGCGATTTCTTATATATAGAATATTTACCTGAAGAGCATTTCTAATTGCTATTTTTGTCTTGAAAAATGCCATGGTTTGGAATTCCGGTTCAGCTTCTTCGAATAAAGCATTCTGAAATAAGTCAGAATTATATTATAATCAATATTACCTAACATAAACATTTCTAATTCAAAATAAATTGGTGACACAGAGATGGCAATAAAATTCAGAAAAAGACAATCTGATGGACAGCAAGATTGCTAATCAATTCAAAATTGCTGGACAATGACATAAAGGATAGCACTTGAAAATGATCATCAAACTGAGATGTACTTTAATATAGTAATGCAACCTTATAGAAAATATCATTGATCTAACACAAGTAGTTCCTATCAAACTGACTTAAGCAAAAAACTTAACAATTATTGATGCTGCCACTGGAAAAGCAACATCTATGTCTCGCCTTCTGCAACTTTCGTCTCAGGCGAGACAATTATTACTTTACTGGTACTGTAGACTTTCAAAAAAACTCACTGAACCATATTAAAGAGGTAGAAATATACTGTTCATCAACCAATATTTATTTTAATGACCTATAACAAATAAACAATAAAAGAATTGATAAAAAATGGTAAACACAAATTGATCAACAGATGGGCAGAGAAGTAAAAATTTCATACCCAGCCCAGTGAATTGCTATATAGCCCAATAATAAATAATATCTCTCATGTACTACAAATGCAAATGAACTTCAATTTAGAGGATACAATTTTCTTTGAATTAACCTTCAGTAACTATCCAAGGGCAACATTTAGATCCACCTTAACCTTGCTTAATTTACCTTCAGCAACTGTCCAAGGGCTACATTAAGATCAACCTGAGCCTTGATAAACATTTTCTGGTTATTAGATGTGGTAGGGATACTAGGGCTGTCTTCACTTTTTGCCATCTGTACTCGGTTAGAGATCTCTAGATCAACAGAGCCCGTCTCCAGTCTCACTGCACTAGATGTAGGTGTGGTAGCTGTTATCTGTATACCCTGTCAATGAAAAAGATGGGAGATTTACTGAACTGATGTGGATTATGGTGATCATTTGTACAGATATTATATGTTCAAAGGTTGGATTTGTCATACTTATGTGTAGAGATAAAGGAAACTATAACTGTATGAAACATTTTGGAATGAACCCAAGAATTGGAAAATAGTTTCTCCAATTTGTAATAAAGATGAGCATATTTCACTAGATAACAAGAGGTAATGATCAGTAAACTTCGGAACCAAAACCAATAGCTGCCAACGCTTTAAGTTTTTTGATAAAAAATTACAGAATGAAAATTGTTTGTTAATTATACGTTATGGACTCTTAATAAATGTAAAATATGTGCACAGAGGATATATGTAGGACTCTGAACCGCAATGATCACTCTGAAGTGCAACGATGGCATTGTGACACTATCTTGTTGATAGCTATGCTAAAGTGCGTTGGTGGTAAGGCTGAAGTGTGATGCACAACATAAACTATATTTTCAATGTTTTCCATGTTCACATGTTTTTTACCCGTTTAATTTAAAACAGTCACTGTAAATATTCATTACATTTCCAGCCAAAACTGTATCTTTATAGCTCACATTCTAAATAGGCTTGGACAAAAATAAGCCAGCGTTCATACGATCATTCAGAAAGTGACCACTATAGATTTATTTTCCATTAAAACCGGTACTGAGGTAAAGACTGAAAATCATGGAAGTATACTTGAAATCGTAAACTACTTGATTAGTCAGAATGAAAGAAATTAAGCAACAAATCTATTCAACTGCTGTGAATGAGCAAGGAATAAGATAGATCACCATAGATGGTTTGTATGGAATGTTTGTATTTATATACTAAATAATAACAATCAAACTCTCATTATATTTATACATCTGTAGATTTTAAACTAGCCATTACGCGGCATACAGACCATAGCACATCAGCAAAAGGACTATGTCTCTTCAGTGTAGACCATCAACCTTCAGCGTCCCCATCGCACACAGACCATCAACCTTCAACGTCCCCATTGCACACAGACCATCAACCTTCAGCGTCCCCATCGCACACAGACCATCAACCTTCAGAGTCCCCATCACACACAGACCATCAACCTTCAACGTCCCCATCGCACACAGACCATCAACCTTCAGCGTACCCATCGCACACAGACCATCAACCTTCAACGTCCCCATTGCACACAGACCATCAACCTTCAGCGTCCCCATCGCACACAGACCATCAACCTTCAGCTTCCCCATCGCACACAGACCATCAACCTTCAGCGTCCCCATCGCAAAGAGACCATCAACCTTAAGCGTCCCCATCGCACACAGACCATCAACCTGCAGCCTATCGCACACAGACCATCAACCTTCAGCCCATCGCACACAGACCATCAACCTTCAGCGTCCCTATCGCACACAGACCATCAACCTTCAGCGTCCCCATCACACACAGACCATCAACCTTCAACGTCCCCATCGCACACAGACCATCAACCTTCAGCTTCCCCATCGCACACAGACCATCAACCTTCAGCGTCCCCATCGCAAAGAGACCATCAACCTTAAGCGTCCCCATCGCACACAGACCATCAACCTGCAGCCTATCGCACACAGACCATCAACCTTCAGCCCATCGCACACAGACCATCAACCTTCAGCGTCCCTATCGCACACAGACCATCAACCTTCAGCGTCCCCATCACACACAGACCATCAACCTTCAATGTCCCCATCGCACACAGACCATCAACCTTCAGCCCATCGCACACAGACCATCAACCTTTAGCGTCCCTATCACACACAGACCATCAACCTTCAGCCCATCGCACACAGACCATCAACCTTCAGCGTCCCCATCGCACACAGACCATCAACCGTCAGCGTCCCCATCACACACAGACCATCAACCTTCAGCGTCCCCATCGCACACAGACTATCAACCTTCAGCGTCCCCATCACACCTCCGAGTCCTACATATATGTATGCATTGGTTGAATTTCCTTAACATTATAATTACCAGAAAGTTGTTTCATATGACTTTAATACATCCACATACAGTAAACTTTATAATCTATAAAATTAGGTTCACGTCTATAATTACTGTAAATTCAGAAATTATTGCGATGTTTTTATTATTGCGAAAAATGCGACAGGGTTATAATCGCAATAATTTAAACTCGCATTTTGAAATTTTTATATGAATTGAACAGGATTTTTCTCAATATCGCAAAAATTAAAATCGCATTTTATTCTAAAATGACAAAGTCGCAATAATAAATGCACGCAATAATTTCTGAATTTACAGTATACTAAACATACCTTAAATTTGAAGAGTAAGGAATATAAGACTGGTTGTGATGTCGTATCAGGTTCTATTTCATCCACCGATAATGGTACAGGCTTACCTTAAATCTGAACAGTAGGGAATATAAGACTGGTTGTGATGTAGGATCAGGTTCTATTTCATCCACCCATAATGGTACAGGCTGGTCAGTTCCTGATACTTTCTGTACCAACTCATTAACTTCCTGAAACATACAAAAAAATCTGCTCAAAACGTCTTTTTATAAATCGATTTACTGGAAGCTCCTTATCTATATAAATACCCCCCCCCCCCCTCCCAACTGTATAAAAATCAAAGAATCATCTGGCTGGCTCACTTGCATCTTCAACAAGGGTTACTTTTTAGTAAAAATCATCATTAAAGGGAAATAACTATATTATTATTACTATTAAGAGTTAACTGACAATTTCTGTCATGTTGGCATATTTGTAGATCTTATCCAGCTGATAAGTTTTCCTTTTTAAAGTTTCTATTTATCTCTGATAGTTTTCAAGATAATAGGCAAAACATGTTAAAAATTATCATTAAAGGGCAATAACTCCAATAATGAGTTGACTGAAGATTTTGGCCATTATGGCTTATTTGTGGATCTTATCTTGCTGATCACTAGTGCTATTTAAAGTTTATATCCATCTTTTACAGTTTTTAAGATAATAGGCAATAAACAGCTGCGCCATGAGCGCATGATATGCCTGTCGTCTTGTGTGTGAATTTTATGCAATAATCATAGATAGTTTCTGACATACGGCGCAACATGTGAAAACCCCCCTTTTTTTTACAAAAAACTCAATATCTCTAAAATAAAATTTTGAATCAAAACCAAAAGTATACAGACGTTTAGATTAATATAACTAAGAAGTGTGTAAAATTTTAAGCAATAATTATAAATCGTTTTTGAGATACGGCGCGACATGTGAAAACCCCCCTTTTTTTTACAAAAAACTCAATATCTCTAAAATAAAATTTTGAATCAAATCTAAAAAGTATACAGATCTTAAGATTAATATAACTAAGAAGTGTGTAAAATTTTAAGCAATAATCATAAATCGTTTTTGAGATACAGCGCGACATGTGAAAAACCCCTCCCCCTTTTTTTACAAATACTCAATAACTCAAAAATAAAATTTTGAAACATTACCAAAAAGTATACAGATCTTGAGATTAATATAACTAAGAAGTATGTAAAGTTTAAGCAATAATCATAAATTGTTTGTGAGATACGGCGCGACATGTGAAAAAAAACACACACCTGTTTTAGTTACTAAGTCCCGTAACTCAAAAAGTTTTAATCTTATTTTCACCAAAAAGTATACAGATCGTTTGACCATCATAAGAAACAACTATGAAAAGTTTCATGAAATTTGGATAAGTCGTTCTCAAGTTACGGTGCGACATGTTTACGCCGGATGGACAGACGGACAGACGACATTTGGATACCATAATACGTCCCGTCAAAATTTTGACGGGCATATAAAAATGGAAAAAATTGTCATTAAAGAGCAATAACTTCAATAGGTAGTCGACTTACAATTTCATCCATGTTGACTTATTTGTAGACCTTGTCTTGCTGATCATTTTTTCAAAATAAAAGTTTCTCTATATCTATTATAGTTTTCAAAATAATAGGCAAAATGAAAAAAAATGGTAAAATTTTACATTAAGGGCAATAACTCATGTAAGAAGTCATCTGACAGTTTTGAAGTAAATGGACAGCAGGTATATCTCAACATTCTGAACATTTCTATCCCTGTCAAATTTTCTCTATTCTTAGTGGTTTTCAAGATAATAGACAAAACTTTCATTTTACCCCCTATGTTCTATTTGTAGCCATGTAGGCCATTATGGTTGGCAGGCGGGGTCATCGGACACATTTTTAAAACTAGACACCCCAATAATGATTGTGGCCAAGTTTGTTTATCTTTGGCCCAGTAGTTTTAGAGAAGAAGATTTTTGTAAAAGTTAACGATGACAATGATCGACAGACGACTACGACGGACGCCAGGTGAGCTAAAAATGTGGTTTCTAGTCTCCCTGGCTTTAATACAATACTATAGGGTATGTGTTAAGCTCATTGTAAAAGGTTGTATAGACCTGTTCAATCATTGTCCTTAGGTATAACTTCAGAATTTGTTACATTTTGTAATTAAAAAATGTCATTTTACAAATTCATGCACATTATGGTGTTTGAAAAATACATTTAATGGGAAAGAAATCCATGGAACATTCTACTTACATCAAGGGTTTCATAAAATATTTATTGTTAAAGTATTGGAAATACTATCCTTGTTTATTCATCTCAGAGTACAAATGCATAATTTGATATAAGAATCATAACATTTATCATATCAAAATTTAAAAAGATAAATTTGTTTATTGTTGAAAACCATATGTTGATCTCTAGAATTCTTTTAATTTTAATTTCATTCTGTTGCTATCTCTTTGACATAAACCCATGTTAATTCCTGTTTGTGAGACCAACATTTTTTTAAAGAATATTATATAAATTATATTATAAGATTATAATACTTGCAAATAGTTTATCAAGGCTACGGTCAATCCAAAGCACAGGTGATTCAACCCCTATGTTTAACTTGTATGAAACTATACCCTTTTAGACAAATACTTTGCCTCCTGGTTTTTTAATTGAAAAATTTGTATCATATCCAGCAAACAAAAATACAAAAATCAGTAATGTCAATATCCATAATGATGTGATATTAAAATGTAATCTACAAAAATTTTGCAAATCAGACTTACAAAAAATTTTTAATAACAAAATAAGTGAGTTCTGTATACAGTAATAAATATTTACACGTAAATTAATTGGTGACTTAAACATAAGTTTCAATCAGCATAAATTCAACAAGTCTATTTAAAGGGAGACAAGTCCATTTTATTTCACATGTAATATTATAATAATTCAAATAAAGACTAACTCGGGAATCAATTACATTACTGCTCTCTACCACCTTTCTGATAAATATTTTACGAGTTATCAACTTTGTAATTGACATTATCTTTATTATGCAAATTTCAGCTGTGACATATAATTGATCTCACGCATAATAATAGCTCTTTTCAAATCAATAGACACTTTCTGCCAAAGTTTTGTGTTTAAAGATTTACTTGCATATTCAATATGTTATTTATTTATTACATAGTAACTGTAAAAATTTAAGAATTGATTGCTGTGTTTTTTAAATATTAATATGTAATGAAAGCAAGTGACGATCACATTTTTAGCAAGAAGGTCTTCCAAACTTATGCAAAATGTGAAGATTGTTTCCTTTCAATTCATATAAAATTTCCCAAAAACAGCATTCAATCCTAATGTTAAATAAATTCTGTATTTTGCCATCCTCTGCTGCCATACAACAATATATAAATAACACATAGCTGAGAGGGTGATAGAGCAGATTGTTACCCCGAGAAAACATTGTCAACTGAGTCAAACCAAAGGTTGACAATGCTTTTTCGAGGGTACCAATCTGCTCTATCACCCTCTCAGCTATGTGTTATTTAATCTATTATACTGAATGACCTATCATTACTGTCTTTTACTGTTGCATTTTAAATTTAAAGTAATTTACGGGTATTAGAAAAATCAACAGAAGTGAAGCAAGATGTTTTATTTTTTATTTCTGCACGGGAGGGTGACATTCAAAAAATTGTCTCCCACTCAGCCATGGGATAGAGTAACTTATCTCCCTCTTATTAGCCAATCAAAAATCTGGCATTTTAACGTGAAGTATAATAATAGATGTTGCCAATGAAATTGTAACAAAAGGAGGTGAGAACATGTAGACAAAATATATAGTTCATTGCAATTTCTACTTTTTTTACAGAAAATTCCAATGTAATAAAAAGAATAATTAATCCAAGAATTCATGTATTAAAAAATGAAAAATTTTCAATTTTTGGACCGAACGAAAAACAGTGATAATTCACTCATGCACCACACATTGTCGTGAATAAAAATGTGTTTCTGTCGATCATTGATTATTTTTTGACATTCAAATACTTGGAATTACTTTAAAAAAATTAATTTGTTAACTAAGAATAAAGCCCACTTTAATAATACACTGTTATGTACTCAATACTCATTCAAATAATTTACATTGATTGATTGATGTCCAGTGGCAGATATTTCAAGCATGTTCAGGACGAGAACAAATTGACAATTAATGCAACAGATAGGTCCTGTAATATCGGGTCAACCAGGATGAAGAGGGGGAAATTTTGAATGCCACAGGAAAATGAGGGTATATTGGATAGACCAAATTTAGTGATGCAACAGGTCACCCACAGAGTTGTCAAAGAGTTGTTGCAAAGGTTCTTAACACGCAGAGAGCAAAACCTCAAAGTAAAAAAAAACTGCATAAATAAAAAAAAAGAAATATTTAGCTGTAAGACGTGCAACCCCATAAGATGTAGCTATACAATACCTTCATGAAAACCTTCTGTACAAACACAAGATGGTTCAGTAGATCTGTTGAAAGACTATGTTCTAACATTCCTACTTCTGCTACACCATTTAGATAACTCCCCTCCTTCCATACCAGACCATCTGTCAACGACTCACTGGTACCCGTGTTAGACTTGTAACTACGATAGTCTGCATACATATGTATTGGTGGTAAGTCTATACTAGCTGATGATGGTATTGAAGTTTCTGTTGTCATTACCTGAAAAAACAATATAAACCTATTAGTCATTGTTTGCATATGTACGTTCCTTCATTAAGACCATTTCAATGGCAAAAAAATCTAAAGCCAACCTGAGGGATAAGGATAATTAACTTAATAAAAGTTGATAAAATTAATAAAGGTGACTAGATCTTTATGTAGGCAGATAAGGTATTTTTTCTACTCTTATTATGAAGTCAGCTGCAAAAAAAATCATATATTAAGAGGCATATTATACATCTTTCCGGTGTATCTATTAAACCAGAACTTTTACACATTCCTTTTTCATTACATGATCAAGTCAAGTTTTGTTTAAGGTTGATACAAGGAGTATCTGATATATTCATATGACTTTAAGCTATTAGAATACTGAAAGATCAAGTTTCATAAAAATACTACTTAGCTTTCATATATAAGGCTTTGAGCGTTCCTGATGAATTTTTATCCAGAAAAACCATTTAGTCGCGTGAAATTTAAAAAGGTTGTTTTCATTTTTTTTTAAGCATACGAAATCAGAAATTTTATAATTTGTCTTTACAAACAAATCTTATATTTCAAGGGCTGTTCAATAAAAATCATACATTGGGCCAAGGGAAGGCACTTTGAAATCTCACCTACAAGTGGGTTTTAAATACATTTTTGTATAGTGAAAAGTAAGTGAAATTCTAACAAAATGTTAACACTGAGATATGTCTCGCCTGTCTGCAGAAAATTAAAAAAAAGACAATCTGATGGACAGCAACATAGCCAATTAATTCAAAGTCACTGGACCATGACCTAGGGGGCAGGGCCTCGAAATAGTAGTCAGACTGATATGTACTGATAGTAATGCAACTTTATACAAAATATCATTGATCTATCACAAGTAGTTCCTATCAAACTCACTTAAGCAGAAAACTTAAATTGTTGACGCATTCTCCGTCGTTGCTGCCAGAAAATCAATAGCTATGTTTTGCCTCTATAGGTGGTTAACGCATTGAGAAAGTGCCTTCTGTGGGTACCTTTTATGTTTTGATTGAACAGCCCTTAGTACATTCATATAAAAGTAGATAATAAAATACTGTTGTTTATTCATGAACTCATTTATATTGAATCAAAATCCCATGTTTATACCTCTCGTTTCACCACTGAAGAAATTCAGGAATGTGTGTGTGTTCATGAGTAAGACTAGTACAGCCATCATAAGAGAAAAGAAAGAGTAAGAAATATTTGTGCATATATTAATGCTTCCAACAGGAGCATTATGTGCAGTTTTTGGATTGTACATAAGATGATCTTTCATAATATTTAGGACATGTACAAAATGCATGTATGATTATTCAGCATATTTTAAATCGAAATTGCATATCTATTATAAGAAATGTGAAAAATATTAATAAATTATACTCTCTAAACTTTATTAGAAATTGCAAATCAAAGCTTAAGAACTGAAGATTTCATCAAAAATCATTCAAATGTGTATTATTTTCCTGCATTTGGTCAGTACAATTTGAATTTGATCTAGATTTATTTAGACATTTAAAATAAAATTGGGTGAAACAGCTTGCTTCAGGTGATGGAACTATGTACTGTGGATTCAGTTTTTGTAGGTACCAATTTTTGTGGACTAAGGAAATTTATATTTTCATGGATGTTTGATTTCATGGTTTTGCCAAAGTCTGCTGCACACAAACCTATAGAAAGTTTATGCTTCGTTGAACATTTAAATTTGTGGTTCACATTTACCTACGAAATCAACGAAATTGGTATCTGACTAATAAAAATGAATGCACAGTATTTATTCCCTTTGAAGTTTAACACAGCAATTTTGGTTGCAACACCTGATATTTTTTAAACAGATCTTCAAAAAAAGAACCCTGACCACTAGCAAGAAATTGTTTAACACTTGTATGATTTCAGCTGTAAGAGATTAGTATGATTTTTATAATGAAATGAAAGATTGTGTATTTGCATCAATTCATGATTTGTACTGTGTGATATAAGGACCATTCTCTTTAATAGATATAAAATTCAATAATCTACCTTCCTACACTTTCTCTTCAGTTGCTGTATTGAATTAAAACTTCAATTATAAATATCAAAATACTTTTCCAACCCCAGAAGTTGATACAATGTAACTATATATTCAACACTTTACAATAAGCTATAATATTGGTGTATGAAAAGTGTTCTATCTATTTTAAAGGTATATCTTCAGCTTATTAAAGCAACATTTTGTTTTAGAGTAATTAGTTATTGGTGCAAATATGCTGTTATACATTTAATCATGAAGATTTTACTTGTGTTTCTGCACTTAACCTGAGACATATTATGCAAATGTAATGTGAATCCTTTTTTGAGAAATTTATAATCGCACATGTCTAAATTCCAATTACAAAATTAAAACAAGAGTGCACACTAATAATTAGATGTCACCTGCTGTACTGATCATGATTGAATTTATGCTGAAATTCTTAAAGATCAATATTTTACTACAAGTATCACAAAAACTTAACATCTATCAATCATCAATATGAATGTATTAAACTGAGGTCAAGGTCAGATATACCCTTCCGGACCATCAAGTGAACCTTAATATCAACCAAAACACCAAATATAGTTGATCTATTTATTATAATATCTGAGAAAAGGACCTAACTATGAAGCTTACTGTTGACCAATTAACCATGAAAATAAGGTCAATGTCAGATGAACCCTGCCAGATGGCCATATTCACCTCACAATAATTTTTTACACACTAAATTTAGTGGACTTATTGCTTATAGTATCTAAGAAAATGGATCTTACTATGAAAACTTAACTTAGACCATTGTACCATGAAAATGAGTATAAAGGTCAGATGTACCCTTGCAGACAGACAAGTACATCTTACAATCATTCCATGAACCAAATATAACTGAATTGTTGATTTTGTATATTGATAATTTGGTATTGTTTTAAATCTTGTGATTTTTTTAAAGTGAAGAAACTAATTAAAGAATTAAATGAAACTGAGGAACAATACATGTTAGAAAATTAAATATTACAATATTTAGCAATAATATGTATTAATTTTCTTAAACATAACAAAGATCTACAATCAAAGTATATCAAAGACATTAAAAAGAACCAAAGTACATACTAAAAAATTCTTTTTTTTAATTTTACTTGTGCGAGTACATCAGAGATACACAAAATGTTTTCAATTTCCCAACAAATTTTTTAATATAATTAAAAGTAAATTTTAAAAAACTAATGAATTATCATATGGCAAAAAGGCAAAGTAACTTATTACTTTAAATTACAAGTAATTGAAAATATTCTCAATTACACATTACTTTAAATTACTTTAAAATTGTAATTAATTACAGGTAATTACAATTACATTTTTAATTACTCTAGGTCGGTAGACATGAATTTGCAATGTTGTACTGCTTAGGATGTATATGCTGTAAATGGATTCCAAAGCTTTAACAAATAAACTAGTATACTTCTAACAACATTTAACCTAAACATGAACTTGAAAGGTTAGATGTAAGCTAAAATGTAATGATAAAATGTTGATAAAAAAATATCAAATAATCTACAATATCTAAGCTGACACATAAATTACCCAAAACAAAATGATTTGTATTTTGTCAGCTATTTAAAAAGTTTATAACCACTAGGATACTTGATTTCTATATTACCTTAGATTTAAAACTAAGAGCATGACTTGGTAGGTCAAGTGTGAAATGAGCTTTCTTCCCTGCTATACCACTAACAGTAATGGAATTAGTCTGAAAAACAAAATAAAGTTTTAAACTACTGTACTCACATCCAACAGAACTACAGAACGTTTCATTAGGGGATTGATATGTTCCTTGTATTGTTTTTTGTGCCTTGAGATATGTTGTAAAGTATGATGAGAAAAAGTTATAGATTAGCAATTTAAAAACAAACTGAACCAACAACCTGATTGCTACAGAATCCCTCTGATAGACAAAGATTTCATCCATTTAGGATACCCATACTTGTTTTTCTTAAGTCTACTATAATGTTCTACTATTTTCTTTTCACAACTAGTATTTTTCACAAATGCACATCCCAAACATGATATACTCTTTAATTACATCAAATATACATTGAGATCGTAAAGATAATCTTTTTTTTCAAAATTTTGAATTTAATTTCATTTGTCTTTCACTATCAAGAAGTCAAGCAAAAACAGTCTCTCTTATAAAACACACAAACAATCAAGTCTAAATGCAGTGGTTTTTTGCAAAAACCATGGAAGATAGAGTAAATAAATGGAGAATGTGTCCAAGGGACACAGATGATGCCCCCACTTGCATATGAAGTTATAAAGGGACATAACTCAAGAATGGTAAAAGTGTTGCAACCCAAATGCAATCTTGATCTGTGTTTTGTGGTAATAAGCATTGTGTATAAGTTTCATAACATTTGGTTGAGGCAAACTAAAGTTAGAGAACAGAAACTAATTTTGAGATACGTACAAAGGTAACACTTAATGCCCCCTCAACCGCTGCAGGGGCATAAAAAGTAATATCCTTGTGCATATACACGGCTATGGTGTATTTATGAAAAATACTGAACAATAATGTAATGATAAAATAGAAATTTGTGATATTTCTTTTACCTTGTATTGTGCCTTTAGTGAAGGTAGCAAAGATGCACCAACAGTAATACCCTGTAATATAGCCTTAATATGGATGTGTAAGAAAGTTGGTTTGTTGGTTGACTCTCTTTTTACTGGTTTTGTTGTGCTTTTCTGTTTCTCAGCCTTTTGCTGGTTTTCAGGAAAACCACTTTCATACATGGTTTCTAATACACGACTGAAAAAAATAACCAAATGAAGGTTTTTTTTAAATCATGTTTAGAGATCGTATTATTTTATTTATTTGCCTCAATTTTGATTAACAAATTAACATCTCCAAAAGTTCTATGTAAAATGAGAATGCACAATTTGAGGCCTTATTGACCCCAAAATTTAAGAATATTTCTTCTAATGTTTCTTTTTCGTTGGTCATACAGCAATGAAATGACAGTAAGATCAGTAAAAATATCAATTTTCCACCAAACTGTTATGTAACAATTTACCAAATTACCAAAATTCAATGTAAAAATTTCCTTATTTCCCAAATTGTATGCAACAATTTTAAAATCTCAAAAACTTTTACATCAAAATTATACTATTCCAAACTTTCATGCAAAATTTCTTCTATCCATAACACTTTTTCACTTGTAATGGGATATAATTCTTCAGTAGCAAAACACGAATGTCATTATAATAAACTAAAGGTTGACCTCTAAATTTCTTTTGACATTTATTGTCGTTCAATTGATGTTTCATTAACTTATAGAGCAAATTATTTATATTTTTTATAATCCATACTCATAAAAGGAAAAAGTAATAATTATTACATTTCTTTTCTTATGTTTAAAAGATAAATAAAATGACTGGTATAATACAATATGGCACTATTTAGGTTATTTAAATCATGCTCTTAACCATTGTTTGTTACCATGTAAATACCTACCCTGCTCTAGACATAGGCCTTCTAAATTCCTGGAGAGTGGTTGACAGTTCCCTAGAACTCCTGGTGACCATACCATGTAATACAACAGGATGTTGAGGTATGTCTACATGTATGGCCCCTATAGATACCATGGCAGAGTTATGTTCCTTCGCTCTCCTCAGAATGGTGGTATGTAATCCAAGGGATCTGTCTATTCTTACTGTCACTACTGTCCTAAAATATAAAGATTCAGATGGTAAAAGCTTTTATGCAAAATTAAATATTTAACAATTTTTTCCTTTTGTTAAGAAAGTTAGGACAGTGTCATTATTTCCTACTAAAGCATAAAAAATGGATTTTTTCCATAGATATGCAAATAGATAGAGCTGTTCTCATTAATTTTTCCAGATTTTATTGCAAAGAAAAATGACATTAAAATCTCAATTGGACTATTCCATTATAGAACAGACGTTATTGCACACAATCAAATATTTCAAAAGAATATCACAAATGAACAACAAATAAGAAATCCATACCAAAAGTTATATAAAAAAAATTATGATTTTTTTCATAATGCAAGTAAAAATAGCCAATTTTTTCTCCCACCTCCATAACATCTGAATTTGTTATAATAGTTTATAATAAGTACAGCCAAGTCAGGAAACTTTTTTTGTTCAATAAGTTGTTGACATACATTTAAATGAGAGGACTTATGGAACAAACTAAATTACTGGCAAGCATTAAATAAAACAAATCCCCCACCATCCCCATACTTACTTTATATCAGGAGGTAGACCTTCCAGTAAAACTATATTGGTGTTTCCTATGTGAGCTGTAACTGAAGACTCAGATGACTTTCTGTGTAGAAAACCTACAAAACAAACAACATCTTATATAAATTAGGATCAATTATACCCTACCAAAACTGATTAGAAATGCTCAATGATTGATTCATGTTTTGCAAGCCAAAATTCCAAATTTTTAAAATGCTCAAAATCTTTCTTTTCAATATTCTATGCTGGTTCTATGACTCATTTCACAAAAAGTCACTTATTAAATCAATTAACTGAAAAAATTTAATTTTGTGAAGCTCTCCAATTAACAGGCCCTTTTTCCAATGTTTTTCAGAATTTGTCAATTCATTTAAAAGTGAACTCGCAATAAAAAAAAATCAAATATAATTCTAAGAACATGACTGATAATCTCAGAAACCTTTTTTGCCTGTTATCAAGAAGCCTTGTCAAATATTGACCCCTAACCTTCAGGTGTGTGAGATTGTACACCGTATCTTATGATAGTATACATTTCTCTTAAGATATAAGAATGTAAATGATTTGAAAAGCTTAAAATTTTGTTTTGTTTGAATATGGTATATGTGAGTATTAGCTTATATGACAGCAACCTTGCAACACACAAATCAAGACATCTAGAGTGTAAGGATGTTTAGAAATGGTCTCTAGAGATTATTCTGCAGTGAAAACTTTTACAGCCTTCTATTTTCTTGATTCTAATTTAACTATGAAAATCCTCAAACCTTTTGCTTTTTCTTTATATGATCCACTTGCATGTACACTTTTCATTTCAGCTTCCAGTTTGAGACCACTTAACAATGCCTGCATTCTGACTCTCTCAACTTTAGCAATACCAAACACAACCAAGGTTATACTCTCTCCAACATAAATACCTAGTAAAAAACAAATTAAATATTCTATATTCAAAAAAAAAATAAAAAATAAAAAATTGGTAATTTTGGTGTGATCGGAAAAAATGTCTTCCTTTAGCATTTCCCAAAATCTTTGGGTCTAATTTGCCCTTTTTGTAAAAGCGTTTTTGTGACAGTGAATGATAATAAACAAATGGCTGGCTTTATATATTGTGCTCACAGTTTGGTTGATGAAATGCAACCATAAACCTGATATACCAACATTCATGACAGTTTCACACTCAAAAACATTTGAACAATGGTTCAACTCCATGATGCCTAAAAAGCAGGAACTAGTAAGATGGAATAGACCTTCTCAGATGTTCAATGGTAGCATGATGCCTAAAAAGCAGAAACTTGTGCCAGTTATGGGTTCCATTCTCTAAAAAGTTATATTGGCCTATAAAATTGGTATTTACTGCTTCTCCACTAAACACACAGAATTGAGAAATAAGACCTAAAACTTCAAACTATCATAATACAAAAATACATCTCAGAATGTCAGTTCAGCATAACAAGATTTCATATTCATATGATATTAACATGTTCTCATGCTGAATATGGTAATGGCCATTAAGCCTCCATTAATCCATCAAGCTGCATATGGCATATGAAGACAGGATATTACTAATTTATGATTTTACTTACTTTGTCTAAAACTGGTTCTACTGAATGCAGGATACGGAGGCTTTTTACTGGTACCCTCACCAGTTCCTCCAATCTCTTTCTCTTCAATGTCATTTATATCCTGTTTAGATTTATTTTTCAATTTTGTACTGCCTGACAGAGTGTCCGCATTCCCTGCAACACCCTCTCTTGACCCTGCAACACGCTCTCTAGACCCGCCCTCAGGTTCCTCAACTATTACTGGTAGTAGTTTAGTAACAGTAGGCCTGCGTCCAAGTATAGTCTTAGTTTCAGGCATTGTTGAGTATAGTTCTAACAGATGATATAACGTCCTCCAGCATTTTGGAGTGGATTCTTTGATTTCGTCCACTATAGTCTTTTCAGCCACAATCGGTGAGGATGTGTCTTCCATGTCTATTGTAACGGTATCACTGTAATTTAAAGACTGTGGAGGTGTAAGCAATTCAGATGACTTGCTTTGTATATTAGAAATTGGTATAGGGTCTGACTTGGACATCTTCTTGGTTTGAAAAATATTTGTCCTCTTTAAAGATAATGTCATATGTTTGTCAGGCCTTTTCTGCTCAGCTCTTGGAAAGTTCAGAGGAAGACACGCCAATGCAGATGTCTTTCTATGAGAAGGTGGAATTTCAATAGTGATTTGGCCCGGACCAGACTCACTTGATGAAGTAGATTCCTTCATTTTCGACAGATTTTCAACTGATGGAGGACTAACAAGCCCTGAATGAGAAACATCAGAATTGTGAGTATCTGCACTGGAAGTTGAACCTTTAGAATCCTGTTTTCTGTGTGTTTTAACCCATTCGAGATTTGAGTGGCTGTGTTTAAGTTCTTTCTTTGTGTCCTTGATATTGTCTGCCATTGTAACAAATTGATGCACAAGTCTTAACAGAGGCATATCAACATGCTGAGTAACTGAATCACAGTTCATCATGAAATTCACTTGTAAAGTTGTTGGTTTTGCTTCTAATTTATGCATGGCAAAGTTAAGTGGAGGTTTCCCATTGCTTTTATCCTCACTACCTCCAGATTCTTTGTTTTCAAAATCAACTACATCTTTCATAGCAATGTGGGCTAGGAAACCTTCACATAAAAATGCAGGTACAGCATTGAAATCAATCAATTTTCGTTTCTTTGATTTTTCTTTCCTTCTATGATATCTCTCAGAACTAACAATCTGTATTTTTATAGTCTCAAGCTGACCTTGCAAGGAAAGACTTCCACCAAATTTCTTCATCATGGCAGTTGGGCGAACACCTTCGACATGTAATCCTATGCTCTGAAGGAAAGGTTTGAATAAACTTCTAGCATCTGCCAGCTGCATAATTGATGTTGCTTTAGAGAATTGTTCATCACTCAAATCTAGCCTGCTGTCATCTTGACTCCAAGCACTTCCGAAAGCACCGAGAAGAGAATCCTGTCTTTTAAATAAATGTGTATCATCAAATTCAAATTCTTCCTGCTTTGCCATCCATTGATACAAGTCCTGGGTTTTATCAACATTGACATTGTTCTTTAAAATTGATGGTTTAGAAAACTCTGTTTTAATTGGAGTTACTGGAGGAGTCAAGTCACTTTTGTCTATACTTGTCAAACTAGCAGCCGCAGAATGAAAACTATAATTACTGTCATTACGATGAATCGATTGTTGAGGGGCCAATAGGGGGTTTGGAGTTGTACTACTTCCTGTCACCTGTCTATCTGGAGAATCATTGGCTCCCGAGTTTTGAGATAGCCCTCCTTGAAAATAGGATTTTAATTTTTTGTATTGTACTGAGGGCATGGAAGATGACCCTTCATGGTCTTTCTTACCTCTGACATGAGCATGAAAACTTGAAATTGACCCAGATTTATGTATTGACCCTTCATCTCCCGTCAACAATGATACTCTTTCATCCACAACATCAAAATTTTCCTCACTTAAGTTATCCCCACATTCATCATCGTCACTATTTTCATCATCACCTAACGGCAAGGCAAATTTAACTGTGTAAGGACGTACAGTTTTCTGAGATTTGAAATCCATTTCTGACAATTGTGGCATGTACAATACATTTTTCCACTGTCTTGTCAATGCTAGTATTCCTTTTTGTATTGTTATCAATTGGGGAAGTGTGTCTGCTTGAACAGCTTTCTCTACAGGTTTGGTACCCACTTTATACAGGTATTTTCGAAGAACTGTGAAAAGCTGACATGAAGGTTCCTCTACTAGTATTCTGGCTAAGGGAGTAAATTTATAGTACTTGCTCTGAAAAAAAAATAAAGTTTTGACTGAAAAAGTACTTGGGCAAAATATATAGGAATATGACATTGCAAAATTTGATGGAAAGTTATAAGACAGAACATGAAAAGAATTTAATCAAATATGTTCTTTTGCTTTACACTTGAGAGTAATTATTATTTTTACAATTCCAGACTTATTCCACAATAAGCAGCACATAAATAAGAGTAGATGCAAACATAAAGAAATAACTCAACTGAATACCAGTAACTGAATATAACTAAGTAATGTTGAAAACCTGTGAGGTCAAAGTAAACAAGACACATACTGTGTCTGGACCTGCGTCACTGCATACAATTAACTGAGGTAATATGTATACTGGAGCAAAACTGATCATTCCCTTTCATTGATGCAAAGAAAACTTTGATGAAAATTTTCCTTGTACAATGAGTGTTGTAAAATTTACAGACAGTGGCTACATGGCAAATGTAAAAATTGCTTACTCGCTAAAACTCAACATCATCAAGTTGTAAACCAAATATTAAAATCATTCCCTTCAATAGGAGCAGAGAAAAATTTTAGACAAAGTCCAGCGGTTACTAGACATGCTTCAGCCTTCAGCCACGCATTTAATAATAAAGCAGACTATGGATATTAGGTCTGATTTTACCATTAATGTAAAATTTTGAATGTAGCATGGAAATGTGGACATGGCAATATTTGATGGAAAGTTATACTACAGTAAAAGTTTAAAGACATAACATGGATTTTCAAAACATTATTCCTACCAAATTTTGCTCACAATGACTTTTTATTTGAAGGAGAGATTATGAAAATATGACCTGCAGTGGCATAGCCACTGGAAAATAAATTGTAAGCAGGGGTCTGGCAGGCAGTAGCCCCCCAGAAGCTGAACGATTATAGTAAAATTCTTATTAACAAAAAATGTTTAATTAAATTATTTGTAAGCACATGCTTACAATGCTACACTTGTGTTATGCCACTGACCTTCATAAAGTTAGATGGGAATTTAAGTGTGACTGTGTCCATACTGTATTCAACTAAATCATGGTAGTATAAACAATCTTTCTAAATATTTTCCTAATCAACATATCTTTTAAGCTTAAAAAGATTTTACTTCATTGTTTCGGTGTATAATCAGAGGAAAGAATAACCTATAGCTGTTACATCTATTTTATCTGACCAAAATGTACTCATGATTTCAATTTAGACAGCTTTCCCAATATACTAAACAAACCTTGCTAGGAAAGTGGACACTGGATTCCTCCAGACCATCGGTCATGATACAGGCCATTACAGAACTAGTACGATGTGTTAGAGTTAACATCATATGTCTGGCTGAACAAATCAGCCTGTCCAGCGGGTTCATCCAGGCATTGATTGCTGGTGTACCTGTACTCAGTAGATTCCAATCATGTCTGAAATAATTTCAAAGCAGAGTAAATAGAATACCCCGGTATCTCTAATTTTGTTCTATGGATAATAACTTTGGATACACCATTCATTTAGAATATTTTTGTGGAGGATTTTATTTGTTTTTTTTTCTGCTCAAAAACATTATTTTTGTCCTAAACAAATAAAATAATTACATGTAATTTTATTGTTTAATGTTTTTTTTTAAATATGCATATTTAAAGTATCTCATACATGTCATATTAAATGTTTTTTTCAACATAGAACATTAAATTGGAGATGTCACAGTTTTTAGCCATTTTACATACAACTTAGACATTATTGGACATGTTAAACTAAAATTATATGGTTTTGTTTAACTTTAAGTCTTTTAACTTCTGAATTATTTAACTTTATACAATTAATTGACACTTTAGTGGATGGCACCAGGTAAGTATTCTATGTCTCACAGTCATCAAGGTCAAAACTGAATATATTATAATCCAACAGGAAGTATTTTCTATTACAGTATTACAATGAGGTCTCACTGACCTATACCCACATCTCCTTTTATTCACAAATATAGTAAGTTTCAAATAATACAATGACACCAAAAGATATTATCAGATTTTTCCATTAGAATAATTTCTTACTTTGTAAAATCCACTTTCCTTTTGATAGATATTGGTGGTGGTGCAGCAAAGTTGAACCAAATTGTCTTTATTTCTAGCATACCACTAGAGGCATCCCCCTTAAGAGCCTCATATTCTGTGAAAGACATCAAAGATGAGGAACTTGAAGGTAGAGATACCCTGGAGTCCCAGGAATGTACTGAATCACTATCTTTTTTATTTCCTCTACTGTGTTTGCTGGAAGATAGATTTGGCTCTTCCTCTGATTTTCCTAATTCACGTTCTAATTCTAATCTAGTCGATGTCTGAATGTTTGATAACTTTTTTGCCACTTTTTCCATTTTTTGCGTAAACTGTTCGTCAACATTTTCAGAAAACCCTAACCTCCTAACTGCTTTGACGTCAATATTTTCTAAACCACATTCAAACATTATAAATCCTAAAGCAGATTTGCCAGTTTTAAAACTGTGTTCTCTACTTGGAGCCTTTCTTGATTTTCCATCATATGTTGAACCATCAAGAGATTCTTCATCAATACTACTTTGTCGAAACAATTTTGGTAAAGTTCCGCCATGACTGTCAGTGTCCCTACTTGCCTGGCGACTCATACTTCGACGACCTTCTCTACTTGAATTTCTACGTACAGTCTTTGGTGAGGGAGTAGAAGTTGACGGCCTCTCCCCCCTTTGCCTAGGGGAAGCTGGAAATGCAAATGCTAATGGTTTACTAAGTTCCTTGTCAAATTCAAACAAAACTTTAGACTTGTGATCTGGTATAGCTGTTAACAACACTTCATCAGAATAATTACTATTTTTCAGCATTCTCTGTAACTGGATGTGCACTCTAGAGATATGAAGGGTTCCTACGTTTTCCTCTCGACAAACTTCGGTCACCAGGTCTTCCTGGGACTTATCAAAGTTACTGGAATCCATTCGTTTAACTTTTTGTTTCTTTGGTGAAGTCTTTATAGGAACACCAACCGAATTGGGTTTCTCCTGCATGGTTTTAACAGAATGGCTGTTTGACAGCAACTGACAATTGATATTGTCAAAACATACAGCTAACAGTGAAACGCACGTTAAATCACGTATACTTTCCATAGCAGAGAAAGCTATCACTTCTTCAACCATACCTGATTGTAGAACACATATGTTTATCTGCAATCAAAATTTTAAGATATGTAAATGAAATTGAATGGTAAAATTAATCTCATTGCTACTAAACTTGACATAACACATGTCAACTAAACTTGACATAACACATGTCAACTAAACTTGACATAACACATGGCTACTAAACTTGACATAACACAAAATCAAGGCATAATAAATTTCTATTTCAACTACCATCCTTGGATGGAGGCAATTGTTATATCTAAAATTACAAACATTTTTCTTTTGTCAATGTAGATTTACAATGTACATTGAAAAATATTGACATAAGGATATGTATACATGGTATACATTAATTTCTGTAATAACAGTAGTGTATTTATTTCTATTTATTCTAAAGTCAAGAAGTCAAAAATAAAGTTAAAATTCAATATAGTGAAAGACCAATTACCATTGTATAATGGAATTTTTAAGTTTTAATAAAACATTGCTTAATGTGGAATGTTAACTCTTTTCAAACTTGTTAGGGAATATCTAAAAACTGATTTTTTTTTAAATGAGCATGACTTAATTTGGTGCATCAATTGGTGGTCTTAGTCATATTAACCTATATAACGTTAGATAATCCACTTACTTACAAAGGCTTCTATGAAAGTAAGATAATCTTTAGCAAAGAAACAATTTTGAGTATAATCAAAATTTGTTATAGAATACAGTTAACTCTCGATGTCTCGAACTCGGTTGACTCGAAATTTCGGATGAGTCGAAGTTTTCACATGGTCCCTAACTTTGTTCCATATAAATGTATGTATTTCGACTCCTGATGAGTCGAAATTTCGGTTGAGTCGAACTAAATCTACGGTCCGAAGGTTAACAAAAGCATTCAAAATTCATTATTTATCTCGAACTAATACACATATGTCAAAACATGACCTCCAGGATTTAAATGGTTTGAAGAGTTAATCTGACAATACACGTGTAATTAAATTTCCAGTCACTGACCACTGTATTGATTTATGACATGCTATTTCCACGAGTGTTTACCTAAGATTATCTTTTATAAAAAATTATAAATAATTAGTGATACATTATTAATGTTCATGAAAAAGTATTTAAAATGTTTACAAAAACAATTAATCGTGATATACACTGATGAGCTTGGATGTGTATAAATTGGGGATTAGGACTTCCTTTGGTGGTCACCTAAAAACTACTCAATCGGCGCCTTTAATCTTGTTGTATTTTCTTTTGAAAGGAAAGAGTGAGATGAAAGAAAATGAAGAGAAATCTAAATTTTCTAAAATCTCTTGTATCCGAGAATAAACAATATTGTCAACTCTAAATGACCTAAATAACGCTCAGATCGACTGGAAATTACTCTCTTGGCCATAGGAAAAGAATTTAACTGAACCAATTGAATAAGTAAAAATATTATTATTATAATAATGAAAGACCATGACATACAAATACATCAATTTGATACCAGAATATCGATCCCCTTCCCATATTCATCCGGATTTATTATAGCTTTACCAAGCTAAGCAAGAGTTGTGTCCCTTGGTCTGTCAAACTTCCGGTTTTCGGTTGAGTCGAACTACGTGTATCTCAAAATATTTCTCTTGTCCGCCTGACTTCGAGATAACGAGAGTCGACTGTATAAACAAATAAATTTCATGGAAATAAAAGACAGGAAATACAAAGACAAAGAAAACCCAAAATAGATTCAGTCACACATGTGTTATTCAAAGAAACATGTTAAATGTTGGCAACAAACTACATTGAATACTATATTTTGGAAAATACAAATCACTCATGATAACATGAAGTGAAGGATTGATGTTCAATGTCCAGCAGAAAATATTACATACATATGAAGAATGAGATTGTGTTTATGTGATGTAAATATGAATCCTGTTTTGTACTTCACTGACATACTAAGCCTAATTCTTATCATGAATTCAGTCAGCAGGAAGACAAGCCATCCCATCTGGATACATCAACTTGAAGCTGACAAGTCTTTCTTCATACTCCTAAATGCTGCATGATCATTGGGGAAGCAAATCGCCAATTTTAAAGTCTTAAGTCTGACCAGACAGGAATCACACCAGTGATCTCCCCTTGATGAGTCGATGATGCTACAATGAGACCATCAATAAGTGTTTTCCAAGGATGGATGTCAGGGTCTCTAGAAGATAAAGCATACCCACAACCTATTTTGACCATACCAACCTTTGACAATGTAAACAGAGCCTGTATACTCTTTGTTTTCATTTCACCACTGCTACGTCTACTCTCTGTACTGAACTGTCTCTCTGGCATTTTTGTAACTTCACTATCAGACTTTTCTTTCACTTTCTTCAGACGATTCTGTCTTTTCAAGCCATCTAAACATTGGCTGTGCAAACCGTCTATTATAGAAGATGGGTGAAGAGCTGTCAGTGTTGGAATCACTGCTTCTGTGTATCTGTTCAAAGCATAAACTAGTGTAATGTTATATATGAACACTGTTTGGCTAATACTGAGCAACATGAACCTTTATAATTTGAATTATTTTCTAAAACAAATGTGGGCAAAATCCAGTTGATTAATAAACATTACCAAAACAATGTTTAATTCATCATATGTCAAATATATCTTGTTCATCATACAATATATATTGTTCATCAACTCCTTTGATAAATGTTGTCTTTCAAAATAAAGTTTATAGAATGTGATAGACAAATTAAAAATGATTACATGAACTACTTGTTCTATAAATGGTGTTGATAGGAAAAGTATGGAAGAATATGTTAGGTTTCAGTCTCTTTAACTAACTTTATTACTTTACAATAAAATTTTCATTTAAAGTGTTATTTTCTGTGGAATAGGTGAACCAGAAATATTCATTTAGTCTTTCTTTTTCAGATCGCTTGATTGATTAATGCTTGTTTAACATCAAACAGCATATATAATATGCACTTTCAGGAAATTGAGACAGTGGTGATAACATAACATCCTTAAAACCTGTTAATTTTTTAAATCATACATTTGGAAAGACTTGTAAGTCATCAAATCATACCTTTGGAAAGACTCTAGAAACAATGGTGTTAACATTACATTCATAGACCCTCTGACTTTAACCACTGCGGTGGTAATGGATGCATTCTCAGGTAAACTGTTGTCTGGATCTTCTATAAACATATAAAGGTAAGTCAATTTTAATACTTCAAAATTTTGAAATACCATATATCAAGTTATTTTGGAGTAACATTTTGTTTGCAGTATGGGCCTTTGAAGTGGCAGTTAAACCTTTGTTGTGTTCATTATTCCCATTTTATGACCTTGAACAAGGAATTTAAATCTACAGTAAAATGATGGTGTAGGGTCAATTTTGTGGTTAAATGTCTCCCATGAAAAAAGCGAAAAATTGGACACACAAAATTTTAGTATTTTTAATGTTTTTTTTGTCAGTTATCACAGATATTGTTCTGTTTTCCCTTCTATATCAGATGTATAAAGTAGTTGTGCAATAAGTTTCATGAGATCTCCACTTACAAATAACATATACATTTTATTTCACACCCATTTCTGGGTTGCTGAAATATAAATGTTACAATGTGTCTTTTTCGTAATAAAATGTACATGAAATCATGTCACTTTTTTATTTTTCAATTTTAGAGCTCTTTTCCTAATGCTTGTAGTTAAAAGGTTTGGTTCTTGCTTGCTTTGTTTGTATAAATGTTTGCTCAAGCATTGTTATTAAGATTGACATCTGCAATCAATAGATAGGTGGAGCTTCAGCTTATATACATTGCACTTAAATGTTATTGGATGTTAAGTATAATGCAGAGTATAATGTATACAAGCTGAAGCCCCGCCTATCTATTGATTGCAGATGTCAATCTTAATTACAATGCTTGAGCAAGTATTTATACAAACAAAGCAAGCAAGTTAATCAAACCTTTAAACTACAAGCATTAGGAAAAGAGTTCTAATAATAATTATCAATATTTTTTGTATATTGTACTAGATGTTCAATGATTCAAAGCACACATAAGTTTTCTGTTTGTTTACACTTCACAACTAAAAGTTTAAAATCGTTGTATAATGCACTACCTTCCAGAATAGAATTTTCTGTGTTATCTTGGGATTCATTGACATCTATAACCTCATCTTCATCTCTCTCTTCTTCTGTTCTGTACTCCTCTCTTGTTTTCATTAGACTTGGTGTAAAGCCCTGTCGAGTCTTAACAAACCTAGGAACACAAGCTGGACTATGTACATACTGCACTGATTGGCCGACAGAAGATAATGAGTATGTTGATTGATCTGCTATATTTGTCTTGTTATAACTCATTTCTGGTGATGATTGTAACCAATCATTGCATTGATAGTGAGTCAGGTGACTAGCATAACATGACATTAAAACTGGAGATTCACTTATTGGTTTTTGCACTTGCCCATGAAGATCGACTAGAAAATTTTCAGGTACCCCTGTAAAACTATCGGCATCATTTGGCTCTGTAGTTGCAGATTCATAAGATAACGTAGAGCCTGAACTCTCAGAGCTCAACTGTCGCTCAATAGTTTTATTATTCCCTTTTATTGTATCTAATTGTAAAACAGTCTGATTATTTACTGTGGAATCATGTCTTTTTAAAGTTCCATCTAAACTCATGCTTTCAGTAGAGAGAAATGAAATACCATTATCAGGTTGTGAAGTTTCCACATCTTCATCAGCAGAATAATAACGTTCACTTTCTATAGACATTTCTGATTGTACTTTACTTCCCATATCTTGCCTTAAAACTCTAGGAGTTGACAATGATGACTTTGAGAAACTCCTTTCTGACATCTTAAAATCTTCCAGATCAGAACCTGATTGTCTGTTGATGGACTTCAATGTTGTTAGACTGTCTGCTAATCCTGATCTTCGACTTCCTTGGGAATCTCTTTTATTAAAATTTTCCAAACTGTCTTTTCTAGATGACAAACTTTTGTTGTCAGAAGGAGAACTCGATGAAATGTCTTCCGGAGACTTACTGCTTACATTTATAGATGATACAGAAGAAGGTTTAGTTTCAAGAATAGAGTCACTTGCTACTGATTTTAATGAAGCATCCCCAATAGATATCTGAGATTGAATTTTTCCTGGACTTTCGTGGAACAGACTTTCTTTTGGAACCTTCAATGATTGGCTTAATGAGGACTTTTCTCCAATGACTGTAATGTTTGTTCCAGATTCTGGGGTTGTCACATTACTCATATAACCTCTAGTGAATTTAAATCCATTTCCTTTTGAAGGTGATGCTCCTTCTATTCCATTTGTAAGTGATACCTCAAAAACTAATTTGTCTTTAAATAGCAAACTCTGACCAAATCCAGGATCCTGTCCAGCAGGGGACACTTTCAACACAGCAGAAAATGGTCTTTCTTTGTATTTTTTAGAATTAAAAAATCCAATACCTGTTCTATTGTTTCCAAAGAATGCACAGCCACCAAGGCAGCCACATTTTCCTATCACTAAAGACAACACTTTAATTTCTTCTGGTGGCCACAGAAACCACAATCTCCTTGTCTTTTTGTCATGAATTTTGAGAAAGTCATCCTGTATTTTGTGGAAGTCTGGATTAGGCAATGCCATAGCTGCCTCTCCATCTATTGGTCCAATGGTTAGGCCACCTGACTCAAGCCATAAATCTAATTGGCTACTGTCATGTTTTAAAGCAGATGATGAAATAAACTGGGTCAATGAAATATGTTCTACTCTAGCTGTTATTCCTGCTCTAGTATTAGTTCCATGCAAATTGCAAGTTGACAATTTAATTGGATGCACCTGAAAATTACAGACAAAATAAATGTTTAAAGTTTTAAGAGATATGGCAATTTTATTTGTCTCAAGACACTGTTTCCCATTTAATTGAGCTATAAGGGTCACCCAAAAAGATATTCACATAGAAAAATAATCTTGGTGCCAGTTGCCCACTATGTTAATTCAGCAAAATTACTACAGAAGCTTTTTGTCTTTGTATGTTTGTATAAACTCTGATTTTATCAGTAGCAAATAATTATGATAACAATCTCAAGTTAAAATCTCAAAGATTTGCCACTGGGCAATAAGCAACCATCAAGCAATTATTCAAATAAAAAGTAGTCACAAACAAGCATCTTTTTTAAAAATACATTAATTTAAAATTTATGATATAAAAGTTGATAGTGCACTTTTTGATTTTTAATAAATTTACGTTAAACCATACCATTATGAGTATTTCATGTAATAAAATGACCTATTTTTTAAACAGACATAACAGTTGAATACTTCACCTGAACATTTAAAGCAGTCCCAGATTCTACCAAGAAGAAGCTGATAGAATCCACAGACACTCTGACCATTTCATATTTAATGTCCTCTGATAATGGACAGTGATAGGAGTATTGAGGTAACATCCTACACTGAGGCTGAGGTAACATGTGTTGACACAGTTTGTTTGGTTTGGAGGGTTGTAAACAATTCTCTGGATCTTCAACTAGTATGATGAATGTCTGGATAAATTCTACTAAATTCTGTAACTGCAATGTATATCACATTAATATCTAAGTTTCATATAAAAAATGGATGGACAAAATCAAACAAATACTGTTTATTACTGCTGATGATGATTTTTTTTGCTACTGTGAATTCATTAATTTTTGCTGGATACCAATTTTTCTTGGTTGTCATGGGCGGGGTAAACCCCAATTTAAATGCTTCGAGAAATAAAATTTTTAGTTACTTTGATAGGAGACAATGATGAAATGACAAAATTAGGCTTCCTCTAAATAGTTAATCTTTCTTTACAATGAAAACTGATACCAACCAAACTAAAAAAATCCACAGTAAAATTAAATATTATATTACTTGACAAATTTCGCCTGACTAGGCACAGACTAAAAAGACTATTAAAATAAGTTTTATCTGAGAAAAGGTACTCGGAGAGTCAATACTCCACAAGTGCTCAGTAAAGTACTTTATTATACTTTATGCAAATTTCTTATATTATCCATTCATTTCATTGGACATGCGGCATTTGTTAATTTTCACTAACCTTTCATAAGCCCCACCCACCCATAGCAACATGTGATAATATAAGCAACGGGTGCTAATGCCTAAAATTAACACCCGCTGAGCCCAAATTTTGCCGATCAGGAATAATTAACACCAGCTCAGGCCGAGGTTTACGGATTCTTATTTCTACATTATTTCCTTCGTTTTGTTGTTGTTATTAGTAAACTATCTTTATCTATGACTTTGTTTTTTTACAATTGTCCTTCTAATAACATAGTGCACACTTGAATCATAAGGCATTCAGTATAATAAAAAACATACTGCCCTTGGATGAAGGTGTTAGGGTGATTAACACAAACGGTGAAAAAATTATCACCCGTGACTTTGTCTTGGGTGATAATTTTTTCCCTAGTGAGTTAATCTACCCTAACATCTTCATCCAAGGGCAGTTTATTTATACTAATACATTGTTGTACATGTACAATGTATTGTGATTACAGAAATTGATTATATTTATCATTTCTTGAAAATAGATAAATTACTTAGTTATTTAAGTACTTGTGATATCTTGGAATATGTTCCTCTCAGGTTTTTAATAATTTTTGCAGTGTATATGTGAATTCAATAATCTCAAACATTACAAGAAATTCTTTAAATCAAAACGCTGACAATTTTATCCACATCAAACATAGCACAGCACAAAATATGGAATCTTGAAATCACCTTTGCGGCATTTCTAAAATATTTACTCATATTATATATCTGGTCTCTACATTACTGAAACTCTAGAAAGAAATGAAGAATTTCAGCCACATCAAATGTTCCAGTGAAAAAATATCTTCTATGTTAAATCTATCTATACATCATGTTTATATTTATATACTAAAACCTTTTTTATCATCATCAATTTACAAAGCTTTATTACAAGTCACTGAATGTTTGTTAAGAGACAATGCTCTACATATATGAAAATTACCTGTGGACTAGTCAGCTTCCCTGTTAAATCTCCTATAACAACTTCTATCAGCCATGCATACTCCAAAGTCTCACTTTCCATAGGTAATCCTTCATGTGAAAACATAGCATGACCTCTGACTTGTAGTCCTGACAACCCAAGGTGACCTTCATTCAAATGCTTATTATCATCTTCTCTCTGTAAACATGCAAACATTATTTCAATTCAGATGGTGTAAAACATATACAATCTATCCTACTTACAACTTACATTGGACACACAGTTAATTATATAACCACAACAGACTGAATATTAAGATTCAAGTTAGGATATGAATAAATTTTTCCTTTTTTCCCTTTAGTTTTGGTCTTAACACTAAAGAACATCATGGCATCCAGCTTATCATGTTAAAAAAGCCATTAAATTTGTGAAAATCAACAACTTAAATGAAAAACATTTTTTCTCCTAAAGCTCCAAGTCTGGTACTTTTACAAATGGAACCTACATGTAAACTGATACTAACTCATGTATATTTTGCTCAAATTCTAATGCTCTGTTTTAGAGCAAGTATATATAAACTATCTGACTCCTAAGGCTTACTATAATTAAACTTAACCCACCGGGTATGTATCTTTGGCTACCAGTACAGCTGGGGACAAAAGTAATTGTAATTTAGTTTCCAAGTAAGTCTTGTCCATCTCAAAACATAAACGTTCAAGGAATATACTGGGACAGGGTAGATCATCTATGTTACAGTTCTGTAAAAATAAGATAAATTGATATCAAGTTCTTGGATTTTATGTATCACATACCGTTATAAAATGTCTAGAAAAAGTGAAGAAAATTTTTATTCCCAAATGCATATTTCTATCCTATTCTCAGTCAATACAATAAGTGTTATATATATTATGCATAACACTATTAGACTTTGTAAACTGTAAAATTCAATTACATCAGACAGAATATGCTTATTATGCATAGACATCTTTAGACATCTTTGTTCTTATTGGGCCTATTATCAAATTATAGTTTCACTTCAATTATCATGCTTTCTATAGTGTTATGATTGATTTTGTCTAAGGGCTTTTCTATCAAAACATATATGGGACACAGGTTAGGCACTTTGAAATCTCAACTATGGGTTGGTGTCAAATTCTTTTGAACTGTGAAAATATAAGTCAAATTCTAAAACCGTCTCAACAGGTGGCTACCCCATTTTCAAAGTGCCTTCCCTGGGTACCATGTATGTTTTAATGGAACAGCCCCTATAAGCATCTGCTCTATTGGCAATATTTTTTTAAATACCTTCTTTAATGACAGAATAATGCTGTAAAATATTTAATTTCATATTTAAGTAGAAATTATTGCAAGTATTTATTATTGTGATTTTGATATGACGGTCAGACCAATCAAAATTCAAGATTAATTATTGCAATTGCAAGAAAAAAGCATAATGATAAATGTATCAAAATGCAAGTTCATATTATTGCGGTACTCAACCAGTTGCATTATTCGCATTAATAAAAACATCACAATAATGTCAGTACCTTAACAAGATGTCCATGAATATCATTAATAACCAATGAGACAGTCACTGCAAATGGACGGTATTCTCTAGCATCAAATGGTCTCACTTCAGCTTCAGCTACATAGGGACCATCAGCCGCTTCACCCATCTTCTTTTCTTTAGGAGTATCATAAAAATCAGTAAATACTTGGTCTTCACCTAAATAGTTTTCCTGAAAAGATATATAAGATATGGTGACACTAAGTTAATCTGATGATTTTTATCAGAAGGGACTGGCCCAAATGAAGTGTTATTGCTTAATGGTAGTTACATATATATACCACAATTTGTTGTTAATATATCAGCCAATTTACCTCTCAACATTTCCAATCCACAACAGTGAATAGATTTCGATGAAAGTCTTATAAATTGTTACCTTAATAATAGGATGATGTACCTCTTTTTTGACTTGCCATCAGAATCATTTTAGGATTTCTAATATAGAACAGTACACCCATCAAAATCTTCTTCTTAACAATTGAACAGATTTTGTCTGAATTGGTCATAACTTGCAAAAGTGTTAATATGACAGGAACGATTTCATAATGAGTAGCGCACAAGGAAGAATGGCAAATCAAAAATCTATTCAAAATGAACTTGACCTAGCCTTATTTATTAGTAGGTTTTTTCTTGCTTCAATTCTTTCTATTCATCAATATTTAGTTCAATTTTTCATCCTTATTTTTTTATAAATTCAAATAATCACTTACAGATTAATATTAGAAAAATAACAAAATTTCATGTTGCAATTTTTTTTTTCTTTAATAAAACCCTTGTAAAAACTTATGAATTCACAGTAATTGATATTCTTTCATTCACTGTACTGCAGTAAAGCACAAAATTTCAACATTAAAAAAACATTTATTCCATATCCCCTACACATCTTTCTTGTAAAAATACTGATTAAACTCACCTTAACATGCAGAAAATTCCTCAGTAATGACCCATATATACACAACATAGATGGAGCCACTTCCAATTCCAATGCTATTAAATCTGGTTCCATGTCTGCTGGATCAAAACCCTCAGGAGGATCTGTTCTAATGACTTTACCACTGAAAGGTCCCATAGGTATATTTATCTCCTCCTCTATGATAGGTGTGTTTGGTGCAGATTTCTTCTTTTTTGTGGAGACTTCTGTTTCAATTTTATCTTCCAGTAATGGCATTGGATGATAAGTGTATCCTAGACTTATTGCTACGTGTGTAGTAGTCCAACAGTCAAGCCAGCCTTCACTATAAAATTATATTATACTATCAAATTATATTATATTCTGGAGAAGACATTACTAAGTTGTAATACTAGTGTCTCATCAGTTTGTTCAGTTTCTAAACAAAAAAATATGTTTAAACTATAAAATTATAACAAAATTAGTTCCAATTTATAATAATTTAAATTGTATACCAGGCAAGCAGAAGCTGCATTTAAAATCAAAGGCAGGTTCAGATTCTGTTTTTGTCTATATAGGAATTTAAGTAATTTTGGTTAATCAAGAAATTAGTTGTTGAAGTAAGATATGTAGTAAAAGCTTGACCAGATATCTGCTTTATGTGTTTGTCTATTACTGAATGTTTGTCCACCATTGACAGAAAGGATAAAATTTTCTCAGCATAAAAAATCAGACTTCAAGTAGCCCAAAACTTATTGTTTTACTTACGTCATTAGGGTGACTTACCCACCAGTCATAGTCAAAAAGTCCTAGAAATTGCATTGACTATGTCATTAGGTCGACTTACCCACCAGTCATAGTCAAAAAGTCCTAGAAATTGCATTGACTATGTCATTAGGTCGACTTACCCACCAGTCATAGTCAAGTCCTAGAAATTGCATTGACTATGTCATTAGGTCGACTTACCCACCAGTCATAGTCAAGTCCTAGAAATTGCATTGACTATGTCATTAGGTCGACTTACCCACCAGTCATAGTCAAAAAGTCCTAGAAATTGCATTGACTATGTCATTAGGTCGACTTACCCACCAGTCATAGTCAAGTCCTAGAAATTGCATTGACTATGTCATTAGGTCAACATACCCACCAGTCGCAGTCAAGTCCTAGAAATTGCATTTGGTATATTTTTGTTTAACCTGTTTTTTGCATTTCTTTCTTATTGATATTTACCCCACATCTCATGGACAATCATGTTTTAAATTATTTGGAAATATACATATTTATTGAAATACAAAAAACTGTCATAATAAATTGCTTCGTCGAGCGCACCTGAACAGTTGGGGCAAAAATGGACACAATATTCGCGCTTGATACAGGTCTGAATTTGGATTGTAATTAAATATTTGACACATAATAGGTTTCTGACACAGAATAACTGTAGTCAAAGAACTTAGAATTGGTTATATGATTTGAATTTATATTCATTTTTTTGCTTTTGTGCAATACACTATGCTGTTGCAAATTGCCCCCCCCCCCCCTCCTTTTTTTGCAAAAAAAAAAAAATATATTTGAAGAAATTTTCTTTTTAATTTCTGAAATCTGAAATGAGAAAAACAAATGAGAAAAACTTGTCCCCCCCCCCACCCCTCCAATTTCTTTTTTACCCCCCCCCCCCCCCAATTTTTTTTTTCACCTCCCCCCACCCTTTTTCAAAAATAAAATCTTTCCCTCAAGATATGGTCATAATCTCAATTCAAATTTCCAATAGAGTTTGCAACCATAATTACCCCTTTAAATACATCATAAAAGTCTTAAAATAGAAAATGACATACATAATCATGGCTAAAATTGATATTCCTTAATCAGCATTTTTAATAGTAACTTCTAAAAATAAATTGACAGCTAATCACCTCAAGATAATACAACATTTCTTTATACATAATTTAAAAGCAGTGTAAGGGAGGTAATCCAAACATAACATTGTACTTTTAAGTAATTGTCCATTAACCAGGAAACCCTTGTTTTTCACCCTTTTTTGCCCCTTATTCCTAAACGGTTTGAGCCATAACCCCCAAATCCAATCCAAACCATCCCTTTGTGGTATGGAAACTTGTGGTATAATTTCAGAGATATCCATACACCTTTCCACAAGTTATTGTCTGGAAACTAGAAAAATGCTTATTTGGGCCCCTTTTTGGCCCCTAATTCCTAAACTGTTACAACATAACCCCCAAAATCAATCCCAACCTTCCTTTTGTGGTTATGAACCTTATGTTTAAATTTCATATTTTTCTATTTACATATACTAAAGTTATTGTCTGGAAACCAAATGTCTTCGGACATCAACGACGTGATACCAATATAGGACCGCACATTTTTTTTGCGGTCGTATAAAAACTGTCTGATAAATGATACTTATTGATGAAACTAAGGTTAATCTATTAAAAATATGCAAGAATATATGTTTTAAATAATGAATACAATTTGAACCCAGTCCTTATAGAGCTACATATATCGTAAATGCATAGACTTTTTACAAGTCCCACTCCTAAGGTTTGCTTTTTTAGTTGGTTCCCCCTTTCAAAATCCTGGATCTGCATCTGCATATTGACTATTTGGATTATACAAACTAGATATATCATTTCTAAGCCTTATCCTTTCAATGAATCCTACCTTTCTTCTGTAAACCTTCTCCACTGACGTTTATCTGGTTTGAAGGGTTTCTCTATTATTTTCCCATTCCTGTCCATTATTTTCATGTTTTTAGATATAGCCAAAACAATTTGTCTACTTGTGTTAGACTCTGGTAGGTAAAATCTACAGTAGGCATTCTCTCCCTAAAATATATGAAAGATAACTAGAATTTTACATCATGTTCAGTATACAACAATAAATTTTGTGACTCACTTATTATCAATTTAAAGTCATTTATACTAATCTTTTTAAAAGTAGGCCATTATATTCTTTAAGATTTATTACATTTTGTTTTTAAGGAACCTTTAATGGTTTACCTTACAGAAATGGTCATTATTGAAGGTCGTAGTATGACCTGTAGATGTTGTTAGGCAAAAATCTGAAAAGTAGGATAATACAGGAAAAATTTGAGTCAAATAGATATAAAAGTAGTTTCAAGGAAAAATATACTAAGCCTTAATTTTAAAAGATGCAAAGTAATGACAATACTTAACCATTGTTAACAGCAGCCCTTTTCTCAAGGAGACCTTGAAAGGTTCTTATTCAAAATAAAGCTAACAAGAATGTGTCCATAGTACACGAATGCCCCACTTGCACTACCATTTTCTATGTTCAGTGGACCGTGAAATTGGCGTCAAAACTCTAATTTGGCATTAAAATTAGAAAGATCATATCATAGGGAACATGTGTACTAAGTTTCAAGTTGATTGGACTTCAACTTCATCAAAAACTACCTTGACCAAAAACTTTACCTTAAGCGGGACAGATGGATGAACGGACGGACGGATGGACGAACGGATGAATGGACGAACAGACCGAAAAACATAATGCCCCTAGATGGGGCATAAAAACAGAAGATATTTGTTTTCAATAATGTTATTTCTACTCACTTTTATAACCAGACCAATAGGTACTGTGGAAGGGAGATAATCTGTATATGGTAGGACCAGTGATAATTCTAACGTCTGACCAGCAAAAGCTATATGTGCTAGAAATAGAAAACTAAATAGTGATTATTTTCAAAACATGATCTTTTGTCCTGTAAACCTGATAGCTAAATGAATTAATTGTCTAAGCCTGTCTATGGTACAGAAAACCATTTCCCTTTGTCATTTTACAAATTCCAACAAAATCCCACAGAAATTCTGATTTCTTAAAAGTGAACAGTACACCAACTATTTTGAAGAAGACGTTACTAAGTTTAAAAATATAGGTCTGATGCTTTTGTCCTTTTGAACAATGAAATAATATTAAACTGACCTATGGGCTATTCCAGAAATATAGGGAGTGAGAAGGCACTTTTTATTTTACCCAACATGCATAAAAATTGTATTGATTATTTCATATAATTGATATTGCTATCTGTCTAAAAAATTTTAATAAAAGTGCCTTCTGACACACCCCCCCCCCCCCCTCCCTCACACCCACACCCATTCAATTAATTCTGGAAAAGCCCTATTTTAATGTGACAGAAAGTAACCAGGACCAATATCTCACTTCTACTTTAGTTTCCCCGCAAAATCATGTACAACTTTATAAATTCAGTCCCTTGTACCTTTTTTTTAAGTAAGTCATACAAACATCAAAAAGTAAATATAATAGTTTAACAATGATTTGAATGATGACAATAGATCTATCTGACAGACTACAAATACATGTAAATCTTTAAACCAATCATACCATTTTCTGTTTGAGTGGATGTAGTATCTATCCAGTTGTATTCATTGGTCAGCAGTACAAGTTCAAATTCTTTAATAATCAGATTGATTGTCCATGTGTATGGTACAAAATGAAAAATATCAGGTCTTTCTTCAGATGACCAATCCTCCATTAAATCTGAAATACATTAAAACTATTGGCATATATCAGTATACAATTAATTAAAGTTGCTTGGATTTTTCTTGCACACTATTTATTGTTTTTATTTATGGCATATTTAATGCACTGTCCATTCAGAAGTGGTCAAGGTTAAAAGATTGTATGTCAGACTGAATAATTTCTAAAGTTATTCATGTCTTGGTATTATGCACAGCCTATGACATTATATTAGCTTCTCTAGTAGTAAGTATAATGCATACACATATTTTCTTTGGAAACACAGTTTGAATTCCTGTTATATTTTTAGAGTTGTCAAGATTTGAAATCCTCCCATCCTGAAGGACATATTTAACACACGAATAAAGGTAGAACATTGGACAATCATCAATATGAGACAGCAACACAACAACTTAAATCTACCAGGATGATTATAGGTCGCCAAATGGCCTTCAGCTAAGGAAAACAATAAAAATATGGTAATATTTAAAGCTTTAGTCTATACAGTTTTATTTTGACAAAAAATAGTTTTGCACTCACCTTTAAAGAAATGTTTGAGATGAAAGATGAGGAAGACTGTAGCTTTACAAGCAATGAAATCACAGACCCAATCTTGGTGATCGTTCCATGTCAGTGGGTATGATGCTGTTACTGTAAACTGAAACATAAACTCACAGGTTTGAAAATTTCAAAGCATTAGAAAATATGTCATATTGGTATGCAAGGGTTCAGAATTTTTTCCAGTTATATTTCATGCAGATCGAGCTGTAAAACTGGGTTTGTTTATATTCTACCTTCTAGTGTGAAATAGGGTTTGAAAAAATAACTACATAGTTCAAGATCTCAAAAATGACTAAAATCACACACATTAAAATCTAAAACTTTGTAAGAAAGATAATCATGTTTCCTTCTATAAGATATATATCAATCAATAAATGAAGTGATGAAATACATTCATATAATGACGATTTATATATCTTTAACTTTGGATAAGCCATATAAAATTCACAATCTAGATTTAATGGTAAAAAGTGTAAGGGTCATTTATCATTAATTTCACTGCATACTACACACCTTCAAAAAGAAAAGTTCTAACCGTTTTGAAAATTCAACACCAGATATCAAAACTGTATAAAACATTCTACAGATGAGTAAATCCTTCTATGAAAAAACAAAGTTTCTCTGCACAAAAATGCTTTAAGACATATAAGTGCATACCTCAAAAGTTTCACACTCTATTAGTGACCTATATTGTAAACTAGTGGAAGCATCTGCCAATAAAAACTGTCCCTTTACTGTTGTAACATAACCATCCTCAGCTATCATCCACGGAACATTCATCTCAATGTAAGATCCAGGGTTGGCATTCATATGGATGGCTTGTGTTTCCTTAAAAGAGAAATTTAACAATTACAGATGGTGTGTGTGAAAAGTTTCTTTTTAACTGTTGTTTCATAATCTGGAAACAATTTGGATACTGTATATATAAATTAAGAGATTTGTGTGTGCATTTTTTATGCAATTGTTGAAAAATGCCATATTATTTTTTTTGTAATTTTTTATTTTATCAGAAAAAACTCCAAGCATTGAGATACCAAAAAAGAATGTGTCCATAGTACACGGATGTCCCACTTGCACTATCATTTTCTATATTCAGTGGACCGTGAAATTGGGGTCAAAACTCTAATTTGGCATTAAAATTAGAAAGATCATATCATAGGGAACATGTGTACTAAGTTTCAAGTTGATTGGACTTCAACTTCTTCAAAAACTACCTTGACCAAAAACTTTAACCTGAAGCAGGACAGACGGACGGACGGACGGACAAACGAACGAACAGAAGGATGCACAGACCGAAAAACATAATGCCCCTCTACTATCGTAGGTGGGGCATAAAAATGCCATATTAATTATTAGTGATTTAAGGAATTGCTGCATACTAATTACTGTTTCAAAATTAAAATGCAAGTTTTTATTTGTGCAAAACCTATCCCGTCGCAATTTTCACAATAATGAATCAATCATAAAAATTTCTGGAAGAAATATGCAAATGCATGTACTAAATCCAATTATATAAATATATTTCAATAATATACAAATAGAATTTATCAAAAATCACTCTCAATTTAAGTAAGACATACATTGACAGCAATTTGGAATGATTTAACATAACTCAAATAAATTTCAGGATGATATTCTATGATGAAATCTATGAATGATCATCATTGACACTTACAGAATTTTTGGTGAAAAGTATATCAATGGTAGATCTGTGGTACATATTCATTCTAAACTCAAATGTTTTATATTGCCTCAGTTCACCAGGCTTAGGTTCAATGGTGGGTACCATGGCTTGGTAGTCAGCTGGATAGAAAAACTTCCATAGCAATTCCCTGCAATATAATGAACAAGTGCATTTCCTTTATTAGTTCATTATTTTACAGGAGTTACAAAGTGTTTACATGTTATATTTTTATCAAATCTGACACAATACAATCATAGAAATAATGGCTAAAAGTAAAAGATACATAACCTGAAATGAACATGGATGAAGGGACGTAGGGACAAGGTGAATGAAATATAGACTCAACTCGAAGAGTGGGGGTATTATATTCTGTTTGTGGAAAGTTAACAAATAGGACCAGCCGGCTATAAAATTCAATGAAAGTAAAAATATGAGCAAGACTCAAATTTTGGAGAGAATAAACCTTCATCAATTGAAGAGAAGATTTAGATAAATTGAAATGACACATTTTTCTTAATTTCAAACAAAATCAAATTTTGCCAGTCTTTAAGTAAATTTGTGGTAAGAGTCAATATAATTGAAATCCATAATTTCCAATGCATGAAATTTGTTTTTATTGTAAAAAAAAAATCTGTCTTGTGACCAAAAAGCCGGAAAAGCACCAGTTGGGAATATTTAGCTTCAAAGATAAAGGTGAACAATGAAGTAATTTATAACTATAACTGAATGATACTGATTTCAGCGCACATTGAAAACATATGATCCTGGAATAGCCTTCATCATAAATGCTTGAGACAAAAAAATAGGAAGAAACATCAAACTAAACAGGCCTTAGCAGAATGGCTCAAACAATGTTAGCTCAACTTTGCCTAATGGGAGTTGAAACTTTAGTTTAAGAACCCATACATAATTTATAAACCTAACTTTAATATTCAAATTATACATGCATCAGTAAAATAACCACAAAAAAAAAACATTTCAATTTTAAAATTTAAAAGTTGGGGAAAGGAGGAATGTTAAATTTGGAATATACAATATTTTACAAAATATTCAGTAAGGTTTTTTTCCTTGATTCACAGGTAATTTCAATTACTAAATGAATAAGTTTGTACCTTTGTCTATCAGCCCAAGGGCCATAATTAAAATCAGTATTTTTACCACATCCTGCCACCACACCAAAACATGGATAGGTCCTCAGTACAACTGTTTCACCGTCAGCTAACTGTACACTTTCTGGTTCATATGGAACAGTACCTACGCACAAAATGCAATGTTCTCAAACTTAGTCAAAGTAGATAATTATATGTCCTTTCATTGTTTTTGTCATTTAGTTGATGTCTCAATGATTTCTCACTTTTATTCATTTTACAAAATTCAGTATTACAGACAGGAACATGCTGGAGGAGGAGGTTATTGAAGGCAGTTGATAATCACATTTGAAACAGGGTTAAAGGATTTTCTCACTTTATATGTGTGTAATTGTCTTTGATCATGTTGAATTTTAAGAAAAAAAAGTGTTGGGGGATAGGTCATTAAAAGGACCTTCAATTCTCTTTCTTATATTTTCAAGAATAGTCGCAAAAGTTGACGTTTACTTTGCTGCTTGAATTTGACTTGTTATCTGGGACCTACCTGGTTCATCCATAAAAAGATGTACATTGATATTTCTAGTCTGTAAAACAACAAATCCTTCTCCCATGTTACGTGGTGGTCTGAAATTTAAATTTATGCTTATAAAAATAAACCATAAGCATGTAAATGCACCTAAAATTTATAAATTTTAACTCAGTTCAATACGATTTTTTTAGATAAGTTTACTTCCATACCTGACTTCTTTACAAATATTAAATGGTAAGTGAGGATTTATTTTATAACATTTATTTCCCCAAAAATAACTTACAATTTAAAAACCATAGCAGAACATGTAAAATACAATAAGATACTGAATATAAATCAAGGGAGTGAACAAAAATCATAAAGTTTATGTGTGTCCTTACATATATGATACCCAGTAAAGTCAATTCAACAGATATCAAATATTAAGGTGCCACTGTTTACAGCCATCATTCTTTTCTTGTACATGTACTTTCTTTTGGATGAGACTTTTGTAAGACATTTTTTATTATACAATATACATGCATTTAGCATTGTTCAGTCTTCACGATAAACGTTTGAATCTTCAGGCCCAAAGCTGAATTTTACGAAAATTTTAGTTGATTCTATTGGCCTGTAGAGTTAATTTTTTACAGGCCCGACAGCATTTTTACAAGCCTTGGCTGGTGGGCCTGTGGTTGAGCGCAAAGACTGTTGTTACACATTTTCCTATGCTAAGAACTTTCAAATACATAAACTTTTGTTATCACATTGGCAAACACAAGCAAGCATAAAAAACTTCATATTTTTTTATAACCAACCAAAAATCAATGGTGTAGAAAATTACTTACTCATCAACTGGTCCATGATATTTAGGACTTGGTACAAACATAATTTTAAAGTTTTCAGCCTTGCCTTTTGCATCATGCATCAGTATATCGAATGGAGTCGATGCTGGTTTTGTTGTGTAAGTAAAATTTCCATCATCAAATTTCACTATCATGGAATTTGGTACTAAGTGGTTGCCAAAAATTACTCTTCCCTGCAAAACAGCAAACCAATATCAGTGATTTGGAACAACATTCACTAAACAATGGCAATATTTTGAAGAGTAAAAATGCATCAAAGAAACCAAGCTGTAAATTAGAATGCAAAATTTGTGCTTTGTCTATACAAAAGACTCTTCAGTGGCACTCCAATCAAAACAGTTTGAAAACTAAATCTGTTACAAACTTGAAAAGCATTTAAAACCAAAAATTTGAAAAGTTGTGCCAATTAAAGCAGAAAGTTACGACTGAATTATTCAGGTTAGGGTAATACAAATAAATTAGTCTCTTATATTCTGATTTTATGAAATCTTTCGGGATGAGCTAGTGCTTGTTTTCCATAAAAATTATTTTTTGAAAAATTTACAGCTATAAACGGTCTACAAAATTTGCTTTCTTTTGCCATCCTTATCAGTAAAACATCTCTACACAATAACATCAGGTGTTGACAATTAAAAACTGTCAGATATATGCAGAATTGTTTTTTTATAGATTTCCTTTATTTTATCATTGTAAATGCCAGTACTGTGGATTCATTTATTTTCGAGGGTAGCAATTTTCGTGGATCGAGGAAAGATTGTATTTTGGTGGGTTTTGTCAAAGTAAAGTAATCTCTATCTTAAGTCAGGTTTTTCATATATACAAATTAACATAGAACATGAGCTCAAAGTATGCATACAGGCCTATAAAACAATTGTATTTCATTGAACATTTTAATTTGTTGTTTACCTTTAGCCACAAAGTCCAAGAAAATTGATATCCCACGAATAATAATGAATCCACTTAGGAGTTATCTATACATACCGAATTTATTTGTACTTTGATGACAGGAATCAAATCTCTCCACATGAATTCTCTCTTACTGACAGATCTGAAATAATCTCATCAAATAATAAATACAGTCTAAAATAAGGACATATAACACTTTAGAATAATAAGAGTAAAAATAATCAGCTTTATGAGGCAAGTCCCTTTCGTCCATTACCCAGACCAGCTATTGTTTCCTAATATTTCTCCCCTTATCTTATTCTTTTGGTCATGATTTTACTTTAGTTCTAACATTGTATACATATTACCTTCCTTTCACTATGTTTATATATATTAGCTTTTGAATCATCTTGTACTTATCTCCTTATCTACTGTAAATTCAGATATTATTGCGTGCATTTATTATTGAGATGTATGAAGAATCAACAAAAATGTGAGATTAATTATTGCGATTTCAGGAAAATCTGCATTCAGTTAAAATGTTTATCAGATATCAGATTGTGAATTCTTATTATTGCAATACCCACCCAGTCGCATTATTCACATTAATAAAAACCTCACAATAATTGCTTAATTTACCGTGATTCATTTTATTTTGATTTTGCATTGTATACATATATATTACCTTTTCTTTTCACTGTCTTGGTTATTATCTTTTGATTCATTTTGAACTTCATCCTCTTTATTCAATTTGCCAGAAAATAATTTTTCTAAATTTGAGTAATTGACAGATCTGTTATAAATATGGACCTCAAGGTCATCCAAAAATATGGCAACTCTACATTCCATATGTGATAAATCTAAAAAAAAAAAGAAAGAAAGTAATTTCTATTAAGAATTTTTTTTGTGTCATGCTCTATTCTCATTTTAACATTGGTAGGCTTAATGTTTGTTGATATCTTTGTACATTTCACCAAGCATTAACTAAGCATCACTATATAGCATCAAGACCAATAGTTAAAATCATACGGTATGGATGATCAGTGAAATTTAAGGATCATTTTGTACATTCGTAGTATTTGGACCATACGCATATGGTGATGACCATATGAGTATATACTCATTTGGTTATTAACATGCCAGACCTTATGAGTATTTAGACCATACAGGTATTTTTCGAATAAATTATAACTTCCTGTGAAGAAACGCACAGCTCGTTCTCCAAACTAAAATTGTCACAAGTTACTAACTGAAATGCTTTATCTTTGACATATTGTCTGAATCTTAGTGTATCTGTAATCTTGCCTTTGATAGCGCCATTTAAAGTGTCTTTCTCATGTTAACATTTTCACCCATAAGTGAAACCATAGGCATTTGGGGCATAGATTTTATTTCCCGGTGTTTAGGTTATGTTTTTTTTCTTTCAATTTCAACTTTTTTTTCACTTAATTGTTCAAAATATCAGTAAGAAATATGTGCTATCCCTCTAATCTTTGTTATTGTCATATGTGCTATCCCTCTAATCTTTGTTATTCATGTTATTCATGTTTATTATCTTTGTTATTGTATGAATAGGAGCAGGAACACATTAAATAACTAAAAATAATTTGAAATATTTAAGAAATTTAAATTAACTAAAAACAAATTTACATGCCAAAATAAAATTAAAAAAAAAGGAAGGTTCAATGCCCCAAGTGACTGTGAGTAAAATAGTTGACTTCTTGTTTAATGGTTCACTTGGATATTTTTTTAAGTTGTATTTCAAAGTTTCAAAGGTGACACATTGTGTTTTGTAAGGTAAAATTGATAATGACTATGTAAAAATGCTTTTACTGTAATTTTATCTTGCAGTAAAATTCTCTTTATTTCATTAATCATGTAAAAATAAAATAGCATATGATCACATGTAAATAAAATGAGTCAAAATTTCATTTTCGAAACTCTTTATTTGTGACACCCTGAAGGGTCATACAGTAACAGTCACTTTTCAACGTACATCGTATTAATTAACCGAACCATACATTGTATGGTCCAAATACTCATATGGTCCAGAACATACTGTATATACCTACCAAATATAAAATCAGTATTATCTTTCTTACCTTCTTTTATAGTTTTGGGTATAAAAGGTCTCCACCATTTAAATATAATCCATCCATTTTGAATTCTCATTGTAAAATCTTCAGTTATAAGATGTACATCTCTAAACATTATTTTTCCAGATAAAACAGAAAAAGAAAGGGAACCTGCATAAAAACAGAATAAAACTATCATAACTATATCATGTATATGTATTTAGGATTGTCCAACTTCTGATAATTACACATGTACATGTAAATCAAAGTGTTTGAAATCACAGGTGGAAAGATTGAATGAGTTGTGTGCATCAAGGTTCCAAAAATGGTCATATTGGCCGGACATGACCTAAACTGAAATGGGTTTCACCAAAAGGGCAGATTGGGATTATGGTCACAAACATTTTTTTTCCGGAAATAATTTTGGTCATTTCATTGGATTTTTAATCACCCTTTGCAATGCTTTTCTATAAAACTGCCACTCAGGTATATTATGATAATCCTGAGGGCCCTCCTAGTTACCCTAATGAGTGCCTCATGAAAATAATGACTACTGATAGCTGATTACTTTTCACTCATGTTCAAATACGAACATGTACCTGACAGCAGTGATCGAGCTCAGAACTAATATTATAAAGAAATTCTATTCCATGACAAGTTACTTATTTATCTACTGCCGTTTCAGCATCACTCGTAATTTATGATTAACTTGAAACTTCCTTTTTTATTTTGTTTCTCAAAATGGAAAGTATGGTGATCATTTCCTGAGAAATTTAAAGTTTTTGAATCCATAAAATAATTTGAATTTTAAACTCTGCATTCCATAAATCATATGCTTGATAATGCTGCTGAATAATGAAAAAGTTCTATATCAAAAGAGTTCATCTTGATTCCAAGATTCTGGATAAAGTTCAATCTATATCTACATGATCTACATCATCTACATTTAGCCATTATGTGTAAAGAATGTTTGCTCAAGATAAAGGATATTTATATTTTGACATACAATAAAACCGTTTTGCCACAACCACACACCCCTTTTCCACTCTACAAAAAATTTGGGCAAGCCAATCAAAATATTCCTGAAAATAAAGTCATCAGTTTTGTTAAGAGATCATTAATTAATCAAGATTTTATAGACTTTCAAACCATGTTTGTAGTCTATTTTTGTAACTGTGATCTTAACCTTTGACCTTTTGACATCAGAATAAAAGGCTTTAGTTTCAAAGGAGACTAAAATTTGGAAACCATAATTTTTTTAAATTGCCATACTGAACTACAATTTTTGTTGATATATAGTTCAGAATTCACCATATGTCTATCTAGTCTTCTCTTGTTTATATTAGGAAATAAACTTATTTTTATATTGACATTACTGACTCTCATGGGTAGTCAATGTTGTTAATACATTTTCACATTCCAGCTATGTGCTGGGAAGTATGGCAATCCTGATTTTGTGTCTATCCTCATAATAATCCTAAGTCACAATTTAATTCTAAAATAGAAATTGCCCCTTCGCCATGCCACCAACTGATAACTGTAACGGATATAAAGTGAATGCCTATTCACTGTGTACATGTAAATATTTGGAAATATTGTAAGACCTCAGAAAACCCAACCAAGTTAAAATTGAGTTTGTTCTCACCTAATCTGATGTGTCCAAAATTAGTAAATCTATTGATGACTGCTGTTAGGATGAGACCAACCACTCTTGAGTTGTAAAAAGTCAAATATATCACCCAGATCTGTGCCAAAACAATGGATAAGAAGAACCAGTACCATTTTGAATCAGATAACTGGTCCTGGATATCTTGAATGAGATTAGGGCCCTTTTCTGTGTTGTTTTTTAGATCTACTTCGAGTGACAACATTATCAAAATTTTGATTTTAAGGCTGTTTTCAGCAGGATGGTCCTATATTTTGGAAATGATTACAACCCCAACTGTCAAAACTGAAATCATGCTTTCCATGTCTTTGGTGTGTATTTGCAGAGAATGACAGTCACTGCCATTTTTGTATACACAACATATTTATGTTTCATAATGAGAAAAGATGCTTATATTGTTCATTTTCGCATAAAACGTTTGTTTTCCTTCAGTTTTGTCGTTCAATGAAAACAGGGGAGATCATAGCAGTCGAAACGGAAGTAAGTTTCTACTTCCTGTCATTAAATCGCTGTTAGTTAGAAAAAGCGCGAAATATAAATAAGTTTAAACATAGATTTAAACAATTCAATAAGCCCCTTCACGATAAATCCCGAGCATGCGCATAAACGCTTCCGGACGGCAACTTGTTGACATAGATACCAACATGGCGACCCGGGAAAGTTTAAATAAGTTAAATCTCAACTCTTTAAAGATTCTTGCAGCGGAGCATAATATTGAAGTGGAAAAGAAGAAAAAAGAGAGGATAATTTCGGATATACTCACAGAACAAGTTCCTTCATCTACTCTAACACCGATCATCAAGCAGGCAGTTCAAGTGGGCGATGTGACGATTCCCAGTGAAGAAAATGAAAACCTCCCACCCTTCAATAGAGTAACTTACACCATCAGTGACCAGACCAAATTTCCGATAATCAAATTTGGACAGATTTACGATTTTATGGTGACAAGACCTACGTATTCAGGGACAACAACTCAAAATTTCAAGGGCCTTGACAAGGCAGTCAAACACTATGATGCTGGTGACATCCAAGAAGTAGGGATGGCACAGGTAATAAAACCCAAAATATTTAAGATAACAGGCTTGAATCTGACAGGCACACTAAACTAAAATGATATACAGATGTAGTACTAGATAATTAAATGAAAATAAAGACACAAAAACATTATAATTTATATGTATGCCCTGATGATCATTAAAAAATATAATTTGATAAGAAACTTTATAATTATAGAAACTCATTTTTTTTATATGTGAATTTTTTGTAATAATTACATTGACTAGATTTTCACTTTGCACAGCTCAATATTATATAGGATTATGTGATTTTTTTTTGTATTTCTGGTAAGAAACTTACATCATTTTTAAATGTGGTAGGCAAATAAGGGAGATCATTTTGCAAAAATAATCAAATCAAATAACCACAGCAATTCCTTTAATTTCTATAAAATCTTAAACTTAGAAATTGTTGTGGTTGCCATTTAAAAGCAACCAGATGAGTATTTTTGGCAGAAAGTAACAGTTTAACACAAAACAATTATACTTTGTATATACAATTGTACAGACAAACCTGACTTTATAAAGGAAAATTAATTCTATTTTTGAAGATAGAAAATACTATTTATGAACAAATAATTTATACAAAACTTAAATCTTTCTTTGTGATTTCAGATCAATGAACAGACAACTTATATCCGAGCAATGTGTCAAGCATCCATGAAGAAACAAAGATACCAGGTGTATATATGCACTTTGAAAACAGATAGTGGGGATTTTATGGTGCAATATGGATACTGTCAGTGTCCTATAGGGTAAATATTAGTAAAAAATATTATAATTATTTAAAAAAAAAAGATTTATCTTAAAATAATTCCACCAATAATTTTGTACTTATGAACAAATAAAAGTAAACCCTTGTTCCACTAACAATTTATTAAAGAAAAGGGGCTGCCTTATATTTTAGATCTAGGAGTATCATGTTGACAAATTTTGATTTTCTTTGAATTTTGCCCTCCCCCCATATTTTCTTTATTAGGGCTTTAGAGAAAACTAAATTTAAATCAGATACCAGATTTTACCTTATACACTTTCATTGCAATTTTCTTCTTAGATCTGATATCATTCAGACATCAGGATTTAACCCCTAAATATATAAAAAATAGACTAATGAATAATAGTATAGTAGAAATCAATGCTCTATTTATTTGTTATGGAATTTGTATCTATAAATGTTTATTTTTTATCAACAATACAGTCTTATATTATTTTTTTATTTTTAGGTTAGCACAGTCATGTAGCCATATTGGCAGTCTTTTATTTGCATTGAGCAGAGCTAAAGTTGGAATAACAGAAGCAGAGAGCTGTACCTCTAAATCCTGTACATGGAATGTTCCGAGGAAAGATGTACAACCAAGACCGTTATGTTACATGGCATCAAAGAAACCAAAGTTGGCTTCTTCATCTGAGGAAGGGAATGCAGGTACATCAGAGACTGGTTATACCACATTCCAGTCTTTTGACCCACGCCATACAGCTGACCGTACTGTAAATCTGGACATAACACTACAACACTTAATGGAACTGAAGAATGATTTTCCTAATACAGGTATAGTAACAAGCATTAAATAAAACAAAACACAGTTTTAAAACAAATAACTTTATAACAAAATAAAAAAGTAATTGTATGTAAAAATATTGAAACACAATGCTTTAATCATTTTTAAAAAAGGTGGCATATCATACCACAATATTGGTTTTAAAAACACTATATACATATGCATGTATAAGAAAATGAACCCCTAATTCTAACTGAATTGCTCAATTTTCCACATTATCCAAAATTTACCCATAAGTAAGCTTTCTTTCTTTTCTTAAATTTAGCACATTTTCTCTTTAATAAAAATCAAAAGTATTATGAATCGGTTTACTTTGTTGATTATGGGTTTTTGTATTCAAGTAAAGGGGAGATAATTTGAATTAAAGGAAATATACATATCATTATATGGAAACTGCACCATTTAAAATTTCTCTGCAATCAACTTATTTTCAATGACACCAAGATATTATTTAATTTTAAATAACCATCTATTTATCTTATAGGTAAAGTATGAAAAAAACATTATTATTATTTTGTTTTAAACATTGAACTACATTGAAGTCTATAATTTCAAAAGGAATGTAACTTATTACAAAGCAAATATTAAGTGTACAATGTTTTACAAAGTTTGCTTTGTCTTATAAACAAATAATTAATTTTTTAAATTTCATTTAAAAAGGCATGTCTCATTTATGGAATATTCCTGAATCTACTCCTGATGTACACCAAGAAGTGGAGATGGATACTTGGGTTGACCCAATGGAAAGAAAGATGAAAGAAATGCTATATACAGAAAACAGCTGTAATTATATTAACACCTCTTAATTTATTTTGTGAAACATATAAATGGCTATTAACATGATTTCAAATAGATTTATACAAGATTAATTCAATTTAGTGAGGAAATTTTTTTATAATAAATATTATGTGATAAGGCACTACTTTACTACATTTGTATATTGATCCAATGCCTGTTTGCACATCCATGGGCAATCATTTTGAACACAATTATATACTCACAAATACATGTATATATTCATCACTGGTGGACCCATTAACACATTTGAATTGAGACATATTGTAAGAACCCCTCCTTTATCCTGGGTTGGGACCCCCCTTTTAAAATGACTATATCCCCCCTTCTGTTATGCACGCTGGACTGCAATGATTTTTTTGCTTCAAAAATATATAAGTGTGTGCATATAGATTTCACCACTGCAACAAGTGTGTTACGATATTTCTCCACTCGAGACAGTTAAATTTTAATATTTAAAGCGCGAGGCTTGCCGATCTTTTTATACGACCGCAAAAAAATTTTGCGATCCTATATTGGTATGACGTCGTCATCGTCCGAAAAAACATCGGTTTTCCCACTCTAACTTTAGTTTTTAAAGTGAATGGATCTCTATGAAATTTTACCATAAGGTTTAATAACACAAAAGGAAGGTTGGGATTGATTTTGGGGGTTATGGTACCAACAGTTAAGGAATTAGGGGCCAAAAATAAGCATTTTTGTAACTTCCAGACATAACTTGTGTGTTAGTGTATGGATCTCTCTGACATTGTACTACAAGGTTCTATATCACAAAGGGAATGCTGGGATTGATTTTGGGGGTAATTGCCTCAAAATTTTAGGAATTAGGGGCCAAAAAAGGGGCAAAAAACAAGCATTTTTATATGGACAAATACTTTAGTACAAAACATAATTTAAAGCAGTGTAAGGGAGATAAATCAAATACATCATTTGAATTACCTCCCTTACACTGCTTTTAAATTATGTATAAAGTAATGGTTTATGAACAATTAAGACAATTTAAAACAGTGTAAGGGAGTTAATCCACATACAACGTTTTGATTACTTCCCTTCAACTGCTTTTAAATTATGTTTAAAGAAATGCATATTTATAAAGGAAGACCAGTAAAAATATCTGCAAATGTTGCATCTATTTTTTTTTACAAAAAAATCCATATGAAAGATTTGACACCATATTTTAAATTCTATTATAAAATAGATTAAGTTAGCACTATGGTAAATTTAAATGGGTAATTATGGTTGCAAATTCATTGGAAATTTGAATTGAGATTATGACCATATCTTGAGGGAAAGAATTTTTGGGGGGAGAAGAAATTGTGGGGGTCAATTTTTTCTCATTTCAGATTTCAGAAATTAAAAAGAATTATTCTTCAAATATTTTTTTTTTTTCAAATTTCAAGAAGTAATCTTTAATTGCACAGTATGGCGCATTAGATTTGTAAAATTTATTTGTTTATTTGTTTATTTGTTATGCCAAATCTGAACGTGTATTTAGATTTTTAATTTTGGGTCCAGTTTTCAAATTGGTCTACATTAAGGTCCAAAGGGTCCAAAATTAAACTTAGTTTGATTTTAACAAAAATTGAATATATGGGGTTCTTTGATATGCTGAATCTAAACATGTATTTAGATTTTTTATTTCAGGCCCAGTTTTCAAGTTGGTCCAAATTGGGGTCCAAAATTAAACTTTGTTTGATTTTTTACAAAAATTGAATATATCGGGTTCTTTGATATGCTGAATCTAACCATGTATTTAGATTTTTTATTTGTGGGCCCCGCTATCAAATTGGTTCATATTGAGGCCAAAAGGGTCCAAAATTAAACTTAGTTTTATTTCATCAAAAATTGAATTATTGGGGTTCTTTGATATGCCAAATCTGACTGTGTATTTAGATTTTTAATTTTGGGTCCTTTTTTTTAAATTGGTCTACATTAAGGTCCAAAGGGTCCAAAATTAAACTTAGTTTGATTTTAACAAAAATTGAATTCTTGGGGTTCTTTGATATGCTGAACCTAAACATGTGTTTAGATTTTTGATTATGGGCCCAGTTTTCAAGTTGGTCCAAGTTGGGGTCCAAAATTAAACTTTGTTTGATTTCAACAAAAATTGAATATATGGGGTTCTTTGATATGCTGAATCTAACCATGTATTTTGATTTTTGGGCCCCATTATCAAATTGGTCCACATTGAGGTCAAAAGGGTCCAAAATTAAAAGAGTAAGTCCGGCAAGGGCTGATTTTGGCCTCAAAATTCAGGTTCATCTGATGAAAGATGTTGGACACTTTTTAAACACGTAAGTGTCTACTTCAGTCGATTCAATTAGTTGATGTGAAAGATTTGAACTGATTTAGTCATTAAAGACGCTCAAATTCAATCTTAAATATGAAAAATCTATCACATATGCCATAATATGTCACTTTTCAGATGGTTTTTGTCAAAAATGAAAGTGGCCGCATCCGTGTTCATTCTCAACCTTTATATATGTTATTTATTATCATCAAATACAACTTACATTTAAATATTAAGAACGAACACAAATGCAGCCACTTCCATTTCAGACAGAAACCGTCTAAAATTAACCAAAATGCTAACATTTCGAAGATATCAGTAATTTAGCATGACTTAATGATGCTAGTACCCGATACATGTGCATTGTATTGTCAAAAACAGCCCATATTTATGTAACAGAAGTATTCTTCTTTCCAATAAATAGCAAAAACTTTTCATTTTAACAATTTTGTAAAACTGCTATATTTTGGGGCCAAAAAGGGGTCTTACTGTGCCTACTCCTTTGTTTGATTTCATCAAAAATTGAATTCTTTGGATTCTTTGATATGCTAAATCTAACCATGTATTTAGATTTTGGATATTGGACAAAAATTAAGTTCTTAGACCACATTCATTCTGTGTCAGAAACCTATGCTGTGTCAAATATTTAATCACAATCCAAATTCAGAGCTGTATCAAGCTTGAATGTTGTGTACATACTTGCCCCAACTGTTCAGGGTTCGACCTCTGCGGTCGTATCAAGCTGCGCCCAGCGGAGCATTTTATTAAATACTTTAAATTTAACTGTTGAGAGTGGAGAAATATCGTTATACACCAGTTATAGTGGTGGAATCTGTTTCTCTAATGATTCTTATCCTTCCTTCTCAAAGATTTGCAGAAAGTTGTGTTCTTTATATGTGACGTCATCAGGCATGGTCGCCTTTTTTCTTGACGTCACAATAGGAAAATTCAGAAGAAACCAAGAAAATTTGACGTTATAATTAAATTTCCGACCAATCATTTGCCGAGAACAAATTTTTCACTAGTGAGGAGAAATATTTTTCTCACACCGGTCAAGAAATGTGAAAATAGCACAAAAATTAGAGAAACTTTTTTTTACAATTTGAAATGTAACTCTCCTTTCAGTATGCTCACAAGCTAAATAAACTTGATGTGAAAAAAAATCTATTTTATAAATGTTTGAGCAAATACCCTAGCTTATACCTTATATAATACTTTAAAACAGTACCTCCACCATCAATAGAAAGAGAGCTGGTTGACTATATAGAGAGCAATACCAGGTTGCAGAGAGGGAGTACAGTGTGGAGAGATCTACATATAGGAAGGATAACCAGTTCCATATTTGGTGATGTAATTGCAGCAGGAAGGAGTCCGAATTCTCTCATAAGACAAATAACTGAGGGATCCTCCCTTGATAGGTATTCCAATTTAAATGACAGAAATTTCTACATAAAAAATAAGCAAGATGTATGATTGCCAATGAGACAACTCTCTATCAGGAAATAATTAACAACAGTTTTTTTTTTTAATTTGATCTAAACAAAAGTACTATTTATAGTGATTAATGTAATTTAAATAGTACAAACTACTTATAAGTACAGACTATTTTAATTTTCAACAGCATGTCTTGGTAAACTTTATGACCATTTAAACTAGTTGATAAATCATATGCAAAAAAATACAGGATTTTTATTTTAAGTTAGTGTGACATTCAAACATTTTTATTTCTGTAATAGTTATTCATGTATGAACATCACAATAACCACATAATTGACAGAAAATCAATACTATCAGTCAATTCATTTGGATTACTAATTTGGACATAGGCTTGTTGACCAGTCAAGAAAGAAATTATTATTGTTTTGTTCAACATCTTCAATGAAAGTCCATGATTATCTTTGCAAAGTTGTAGTGATGAACATTTTTATGTACATTTTTGTTTTGCAGGTATTCATCACTTCCAGAGGTTATTCAGTGGGGAATAGACAATGAGGACAGGGCAAGAGCCCAGTATATAGAACTGAAGCAATGTATGCATGATGATTTCAAAGTCGAGACCGCAGGGTTAACTTTAAACAACATCTACTCTTTTCTAGGAGCAACTAGTGATGGCATAGTGATTGAAGGAGATAGTGTTGGTCTCCTAGAAATTAAATGTCCATTTTCCCAGAAGGGAGTGAGGGTCAACACATTGGAAATTGACATGATTCTTGGGATGAATGACCCTAGTTTTTGTTTGATTTATACACCTGATGGCCCAACATTGAACCCCAATCACAAATATTATGCACAAGTCCAAGGTGAAATGGCAATAAAAGAACTTCCTTGGTGTGACTTTGTTCTGTGGACAGCAGCAAAAGAAAACAACATTTGCATTGACAGGGTGTACTTTAATGCTGAATTTGTACAAAACATGCTACAAAAACTTGTGAAATTCTATATGGATAAAATTTTTCCATTCTTTTATCAGTAAACACAGTAAACAATTTAAAGAATAAGTATAATAGTTAAGGCAATTTGAGGGTATAACTGCATAACATCACCCTATTGATTTTTTGTCAAAAATGTCATCAAGATAATCATTGTTGTGTTTGTGTAACTATTTTTTCTAATCTTTAAAATGCAGAAATTCTTTAAAATAAAACTTGTATGTGGCAATTTAGTATATTTGAGATTATATCAAAGGGAGATAATATATAATTTGCATATACAACATGAACTACCAAATTTTAATGAGCTATATGACCATTAATTTTTTCTTTTTAATTCTAAGTTTAATTCTAAAAATGACAAAATTAATGAATCTGTATAATTTCTTTCATTCAAAAACTTATCCATCGTGAAACCAATGATTTGATGTTTGCGTTTACCCTCAAAGTACTCCTTAAAATGATTTTAAAGTGACAAAAGAATGTCTGGAAATTGCACTGTAATAAAAAAAACATTGAACAAGAATCATTTTCTATAATGTACAATATTATTGAGCATAGCATGAAAATATTATGAGTTAATTCCTACAGTGCATGTATTACAACTTTGACAGACAAAATGCTACTTTAAACATATCATAATAGTCCATTTGCCAATTTGTCATCAGTTTGAAAAAAAGAAGCAAGTATTGGCATCAAACGTTTTTAGCTTAATAAAAGATTAAATGGAATGACAATATTTTTAAAACTTTATAAGATCTCATACATAACATGAAGATAAATATTTCTGCTATCTCATTGTCAATAAAATATTATGTCTTAAGTGAAGCAACTCAAGGAAATTAATCTCTTATTACAGAATTGGCAAATAGGCTGAGAAGAGTAATCAAGTCTTATAATTATTGAAATACAGAATCAGGAATTCAATCAGGAAATAACTGACCATCATCATTGATTCTTTTTATTTGTTGAAAACTTTTTGAAAATAGACCTTTAAATTCTTATATTCAGTGAACTTTGTGTAACATTTTATTTATCAAAGACTAAGACTTACAGCCTATTACTTGACTAGGGGTTCATCAAAATTTGTTAACCAACAACACACTTTAAAAATTTGTGTAGATTGTGGTGCAATAGATAAAGGCATAACACCATCAAAAATATGAAAATTTTTCACTCTTCCAATACTCCTTTCCACATGAATTCTTAACTTAGCAATTTCTTGTGTTTCAAAAACCTGTTCAGTTGTAAACTGAGCAGAAATACCTTTAAAGGGTGGCATATTTAGAGTACAATTCTTTTTTTCTAATAAATCTTTTATAGTAAAGCCTTTGTCAGCCATTACAGAGTCATTCTCATCCAATAAATCTAGTATACCAGATTCAAGAGTTATCTGCCTGTCAGAAACTCTACCACCCCAACCTTCTGAAACAAAAGATATAACGCCAGATGGAGTGATTCCAACTAAAAATTTTACAGTATTATGATTTTTATAATTGGAATATGTAAGGCTTTGATTAACAAGACTAGCAGAACGTTGTAAAAAAATTTCTGTACAGTCTATAATAACCCTTGTTTTGGGATATCTGGACTTAAAAGCATCTGGCATGGTACGGTCAACTATTTCTCTGCTTGGAAATGGGTTAATGACTTTTAGCTCTTCATACAATAATAATAGCCACGAAGAAAAATATTTAGAAAATGTTGATTCCGAAATTTTGAACCTTTCTGCTATATCTCGAACAAAAAGTCCTAATCTAAGTCTCATTAAGACTGCGAAAAACTGATCGATCAAATCAATGCAGCTGGTTGATGCTCGTTGTCTATCTTGCTTCTGACAGGTCTCTGAACCAGTCCAGTACTGCATCCTTTCTGCCTTCGGTTTCAGATAACTGAAATAGTAATTGACCATATCTTACTGCATTTAAGGAAAATTCTGTTCGAAAGATAGTATCTTACAATTTTTCTATGAGTATGAGTACTACTACTAATTGAGTAAAAGGATTTAACATGAATGAAAAACAAATACTTGAGCAACAAACAGTGACTTGTACACATTGATTTTGTTTGTGGAAATATTAAAACTTAACTTAATACATTTTACTATATATGTTGATATATAAAAAAAATAGCACCTCAGTTTGTGATCATTCATCCTGTTGGTACTTTATACTTGTACATGTATGATTGATCTCCAACTGTTAATTAACTATATACAATTTATTGGTTTCATGTGTACTGATTGATACTTAGTGTGGGAGAATATGATCAAAGTGATGTAACTGTATTTTAGTACATGTATTAGTTCTCTTATTTCAGTGCTTTGTGTCATTTTTTTTCGTTAAGCCAATTGCAAGTTTTCATGGTCAGAAGACATTTACTCAATGTTAACTTCATGTGATACTTGTATTAATTAAACGTTAATATTACAGAGTTTCAACAAAATTATTAGTGATAAGTAAAACAAGGACACATTTGAGTGAGTGCAATTTTGTGTTTAGATTATTGTGAAAAAATTTAAATAATTAAGATCTTACTTGAAGAGCCACATGAACACTACAAACTTAGGTAGACCTGTGTAGAACCTGGTCTTTTGGTCATTGTCTTCTATTTTCTGTATAGTCCATTTGTGGTGTTGCAGTGCAGCTCTCAATTCTTCGTTTTCTTTCCTCAGCAACATATTTTCCTCTAATAAGGGATCTGTATCACACTGAGACCCTGAATTTCAAAATTGGCATTTCAGCAACTTTTAAAAAATAATATAGATACAGTTTTCAATTTATTAGAATATCATACTGAAAGCAGAAAGTAATTCAAGAGAATAAAGATGAAAAAATTGTATCTCAATATTCAATGTGTGTGTATATATATATAAATAAAAAAAATATATAAACCAAATATTTTACAGTTACTAGGTCAAAAGAACAACTTTTTATCATCCACTATACATGCTATAGAAGCGAAGACTGTATTCAGATCTCTCAAAAATTAATGTTGTCTCAATTAAGAAAGAATTTATCCGAATTATTGATATACATATATTGCTATGGTCTCTATTAATCTTTTTTGACAAAGTTCCAATTAATTATACTTTCATAAATGTAATTAATTTTATTGAAAGAAAGCAATTTCTTCGTCCATGTTTTAAGGCCAAGCGAAAGAATCTCTGAGGTTATTAGGTTACATCAAGACAATAAAAAATTAGAAAAAAAATTATAATTTAAGGTATATTCATGGTATACCAACATCTTTGATTTTGCAATCGCAGTACACATTCTGTCTGGTTCTTTCAACTTCTTTGCCTTAATCTGCAAATTTTGAGAAAGATTTGCGGATTTACTGCTTGACTGGTATCATTTGTTTTAGGAAAAATAAGTGATTTATTGCATTATTAGAACTGTTTAAACAAATATCATGACTTTTATCTTGAAAATATCACAGTGACTCATACTTTTCATTATATTTATAAAAAAGCATACTCAAATCTTTATTTTGGCAAAGTATTAGAAAATTCTTTCTGAAGAAATATATACTTATGTTCCACCTTAATATTTATTCTTACTTTTGACTAAATAACAGATAATTTTATTCATTATAAGAGTTTATTTGAAATGCCACCTTACTTAAATTTCTTTTCGTTTAGACTTGGGGTTTTCCCTGTGTAATTATAGTTGTACTATTTATAAGTTCAAAACTGGTTAGTGAGAGTAGTTGTATAACGGGGTCTTGTTTTGGTTATAAATATATATGAGTTATATATGCATGTGAAATACTTTTGCGGTTTAAAAGGTGGGGTTCTGTTATATTATATAAAGAAAATTTGTGGGTGTCATTTCATCGAAAGTGCTCACAGTAACTACGACAGTCAGTTTGCACTTTATTGTCACATAATAATGTATGATTAAAATATCAAGTTTGATTTCAGTCCATTTAAATGTATTGGACAATTGTGTTTGTACTTTAAATATTGTTGTTATAATATAATGGTTTATAATGTTATTAAACCTTGCTAACTAGAAAAGAGAAAAATTACTGCGAGCAACTAAACCTATACCTAGAGTTTTGTTTTATATATTATACCAAGGATCTAAGTAAAGAAATGTTTTAAATTGGGAGGAGCATGGAGAGGGAGAATTTAATTGGACTTTAAGTGGGTAGCAGCATAGAGATCTAGTTTTTTTCTTTTTAAATTTATGCTTTGTTTAATTTCAATGAAGCTCGTGTTATTGCTTACCAACATTGGATGTAAGTAACATGCTTGTATCTGACAAACTCTTGTCAAGCTGATCATAGACTGGAGGTTCATGTAACTCTTCCATCTCCACATCTGGTCCAGTAATGGCATATGATGAATGCATCATGACTGAGCTGGTTAGGCATGCTGTCTCTGTTTCCTGGACCTTTAACTTCTGTTCTTTAACAGTCTAGATTTATCATGAGAAAAAAAATATGTGTACATGTCATCCTTCCAGTATGGTTCATTTGTCTTAAAAAAAAAATTACCAAAAAATTTATGAAATATGGTCTTGAAGAAAAGCCAGTAATACCCCTATTAGGTCTTATAACATTTCTACATACATTTGGCCTTGTTAAAATATGCTCAGAGGATAGAGAATACAAAAATAATGTATTATAGGAAGCAGTTATTTGAAATAAACTGTTTCATGCATTGATTTTTAGCTAAGTGAAAAAGCTAAACTAACTGAAAACTGGGCCAATTATTTTATAATATGTATAATTTTTCAAAATTGTTAGAAACTTTTATGTGAAAATACTCTTAAATTAGAAAAATAAAACTTTTTGACTAATTTTCTATAAATGTCTTTTTGTTTAAATTGATGTGTGTGTGTGTTTAATAAAAAAAATCACTAAATTGTTTCTAAATTTGTATATGGAGGAGGATAGACAGTGCAAGATTTTTTAGGATAAATTTATCCTTTAATGAAACTGTTTCGTCCTTGCCAGAGGAACTCTTCAGGTGGCTTATGGCTACCACGACAGTTTGTCTTTGAAGTTATAATTCATAAAAATTGAGGTACTACATGTATATAGTAATCAGCTTTACAATACATGTACTTAGTAAAATTACCTTCAGTTAATATTATTCAACTCTAACAATATTATTTTATGTCAAGTATAATAGTGATAAAAAAAAATGTACAAACAACATTGAGGAATGAATAAAAAAAATTATGAACAGGTTATAGGAATAATTATTTATTACTTTGTAAGTAGATCTCTAGCAATAAGAAAGTACAGTATATGTTTTGGGAAATTATGACTATAACACTTAGTCCAAATAATTATGACATCTTGAAAGGCTATTATATTTTTTTCTTTGACGCCTTACATCGTTGCAGGAAGGCGTCAAAGCAAAAAGGAGTAGGGCTGGTAAGGGCCGATTTTGGCCCCAAACTTCAGGTTCATCTGATGAAAGATTTTGGACACTTTTTAAACACTTAAGTGTCTACTTCAGTCGATTCAATTAGTTTTTGTGAAAGATTTGAACAGATTTAGTCATTTAAAACGCTCAAATTCAAGTTAAAATATGAAAAATCTATTAAAAAGCCATAACATATCACTTTTCAGATGGTTTTTGTCAAAAATGAAAGTGGCCGCATTTGTGTTCATTCTCAACCTTTATATATGTTATGTATTATCATCAAATACAACTTACATTCAAATATTAAGAATGAACACAAATGCGGCCACTTCCATTTAAGACGGAAACTGTCTACAATTTAACTCAAATGCTAAAATTGTGAAGATTTCAGTAATTTAGCATGACTTAATTAATGACGATAGTACACGATACATGTGCATAGTATTGTCAAAAACAGACCATATTTATGTAACCGAAGTATTCTACTTTCCATTAAATAGATAAAAGTTTACATTCGAACAATTTTGTGAAACTGCAATATTTTGGGGCCAAAAAGGGGTCTAACTGGACCTACTCCTTTAAAATAGCCTTCCAAGACGTCATAATTATTTGGACTACTATAACACTGTGACAAGGAGGTATTTAAAAACAACATTAAATCACCTGCAACAAATTTCTACTGGCAAGTCTGACATTTCGATCTTGCTCAGACACAGAAGGGTCTTTTTCTTTGTAAGAAAATATTGTTGGCCTGTAATTCACATCACTGGGGTCGTCGCTGTGCCACCCGTCAACAAAATGTGCAGAACAAATCCTACTGTACTCGTTTGGAGCCCAGTCTGCCCTGTTTACAGCTTTTATCTATGCTTTCCTCTTCCTTGCGTCCTTTGGGAAACGAAAAAAGCTACAACGATTCTCCTTATCTGACGTACTTTGCCGGTTAAAACACTTAAACACGACACAATTGAAAACCATAACGAACGTAACTAATGTAAACAGGAATGCAAATATGGTTGCCGTCCGGAAGCGTTTCTGCGCATGTATGTATAGTAGGACCGCAGTTAACGTGAAATACTTTATAGAGAAAACCAAAGCCCGGATTTATACTAAAAACAATAAACGAAAAACAATTAAAACAGACAGAAGACTAAGTCTTGTCTATTGTAAAATAAAACCGCCCGTTGACCTTAACAGAGACATATAAGTCTCTGACCGGCCTTAATTATAGATTTTTTGTCTTGTTTTGTTTTAATATGTTGTCGGATTGCTGTCTCATGGTCGAAAAACCCTTATCAATTTCATCCTGTACTATTGTTCAAAGGATTTTGAATTAGGAATAGGTCAATGAATCCTCATAAAAAGCATGTTTAATTTCAAAATGAATAGAAAATTAACTGAGAAGACAGATAGGTGCCATTATAACAACTAAGACACAAAGAATCAAGCACCAGTCGAATTGGATTTTAGTTAAAAGACAATTTACATGCAATCTAATTAGAATATAGAACTCTTATTTCGTAAGCCCATGAGACTCTTATGGAGATAGAGAAAACAGAGTTCTATATTTCAATTAGATTGGCTACCATGCCATTTAGATAATAGATTTCAATTGCATTTTCTAATCAAAATATACAATTCTTTAGCCTGTCTTTGAAAATTGATGCAAATAACGCCCCGTTTATACTTATCAATATAGGCGTGTCAAGTTTTAGAATTAAAACAAATGAAAACAAATAATTATGATAATATAGTACCATTTTGTTTTCCATGAAATTATACCATGCCCCGATATATTTATACCAATTATATATAACGGAAGGCAAAATTCAATAATAGTAATTGATCAAACATCTTTTCTTTATTTATTTTGTATAAACCTCCAATTAACGATGCTTCATGTGAGTAGAGAAATACATTGGCAATGAGCAGTTCACCATTGGTATTCAGTAGACAATCAATTGTCTGTTGTAAAAAATCCATTTAATTAATACTTTTTGTTTGAAGCGATATGAAACTCGACTTTGTATTAATAAAACACACCTTCTTTCTCCGTTCAATCAAAATTATCGTTCAATCAATCATGGTGTAATTCAAGTGTTAACGGTAGAATGAATGAACTTTATAATATTACAAAATTGAAGTCCCTCAATTATAAAAAAAATTCAACGCTTCCTTTGATTTTAAACAATATAGTGGAGCTGACCACATAGTACATCACATATCCTATTCATCTGCTAAAGCTGACCACATAGCACATCAGATATCCTATTCGAAAGCTAAATCTGACCACAAAGTACATCAGATATCCTATTCAACTGCTAAAGCTGACCACATAGTACATCAGCTATCTATTCAACTAGTAAATCTGACCACATAGTACATCAGCCGTTCAATCATACGTTTGTGAAATGGCTGTCCTGACTCACCAACATACTGTTTACCACATTTACACTGTAGGAGATACACAGTATTTGTAGTTTTGCAAGTAACATTGCAAAATATGGTGCATTTCGTACCAGTGGAGTGTCTGTTAAAAGTTTGGGTATTCAGTATTTGCTTGTAAGTCAAACATTGTTTGTTCCCAAGATCCTTGCAAGAGCCCGCTGACAAAGAGTCTAGTTAAGAGGATAAATCGACTCTCACCAGCAAGTCTTTGATGCTTTCGGGCCAACAGAATACCAGTAGCATCATTGACCATAACGCTGCTTGGTCTAGGGAGGAGAGAATCACTCGGGGAAATAATTTGGTTAAGAAAATTAAAAACGTTGGCATAAAATGGGATTAATAAACAACTGTAGTGTAGTTCAAATCGCACAGTGCTTACCACCGCAGCTGGATGTGTTATTTTCATTTGGGATACATAAATACGCAGCCTCTTTTGTAAATATCAAATTTGCGTGAACTTTTGAAATTTTGGAATTATACAAGCGTGGTTCGATTTTAAATTTGTATGACGTTTAAGATTGTTTTTTTAGTAATATCAGAATAAATTGATAAGATTCATTTTACATTATTCTGATGAAAAATATCTGTTATACATCCGAAATATTTATTGATACTTGTATTTACAGTTTCCTTTTTTAATATTGGTGTTGTTTTGTACACTATTTTTAGGCGTATATATAATTATATACACCTAAAAAGTATATTAGAACAGATGGCAGATTGTGCTATATAGTGTAATAGTTGATTGTGTAAGGAGACTCGTGCTGTTTTGTGTACATATAAACTGAAAGAATGTCATCATCCCCGTCAAGACTGAAATGTAAAAGGGGAAAAAACTAGGCATGTGATTCAGAAGTACATTTTATTTACAAGTATAGTGGTTAACGTATGTGTAACCCCCCCCCCCCCTTTTCCCATGTGTACTGTCAATGCCTAACCGAAACAGTCAATACTAGTATATATTAATAAAAGGAGAAATGGGGTATTCGTCATATAGTGTTGTTATCATATATATGCATCTAGCTACGATAGTGTTAATCAGATTGAATTTAAACGTATCAAACTTTCACATTGTAAAAAATCGTAAGTTGACATTTAAAGACCAAACAGCCTATTCAGTTCAACCAGTGATTTTTCCTTAAAATTTTGTGTGAAGGTATTTCATGATTTGAGGAACAAAATATGATGAAAAAAATTGGGGGTCACCAAATTAGTTTTGTAACTATAGCAACCTAGGTTTTTTTGTCTTCCCTAATATTAACATGATATTTGCTTGTTATTTAAACTGTAAAAAATTCCTTTATATCAAACCTACAAGCATAATTCTTGTTTCACGTTAACCAGTAGATTTGTGTCTATCAAATACAGGTTCAAGAGTTTAAGACTCTTATTGTTTTGATCTTTGAAAATATGGTTTATTTCATTCCCGCCAAAAATAAAACGTAAGAATGAAAAACGTTTCCAGTATTAAAAAATATCCACCAGTGATTTCTTCATAGAAATTTCAAGAAAGAAAGTGCCATGTGTACTCTATAAAATAAAGCAAAAAAAAAGTATATGTCACCGACCTTTCAAAAAAGTTATGTGTAACTTTTCATATTTTTTTCTAGTTCGTTTTGAAGAAAAGAGTTGTCGTTCTTCAGAACATTGAATCTGACGTCATAGTACATGTTTTCCTTGGTGGCTCACTATTTGAAAAAAATCTCAAATTGGACGTTTGAAACCCACATTAAATTTTCTAGAATAACACTTATATTCATCTACTTTATTATCTGGTAATGCTAGAGATCACATGTATGTATCAGTATCAGATCTCATGATGTTGTTGCCGCACAAAATTAACCTTCAGACAAATCATCCGTCGGAATGAAAAATTGTTCGAAATAACCTTTTACGCCGCGTTTGAAAGGAAAGTCTGTTTTTGTCCTCTCCCATTCATTAGCAAAATCTTTTAAAATAAAAAGGGAAATGAAAGATTACACTGGCAAACTTACAGACTATTTGACTATATTAGACTAGATGTGTGGGCTTTTTTGTCGCGTCAGTTTCAGAAGTTTGCCCTAGCGCACTCCTTCGCCACTGTTGCCAGACGGACAGACATAAGCACGGACGGACTTCTTTATACCATTATGTGTTCCGACTAAGACGAGCGTATACACATTATTCCATCTAGCTTGTGGATTCATTATTCGTCAAGTTATGAATAATTAAGATATAAGGACATAAAAATTAAAGGTATAATATATGAATTAAAGTTTTTGATTCTAAAACGTTATACATCCATTTATCATAAAATACGATCACCGTTATTACTATACCTCACGTGTTTTGAATAAACGAGATAGTAAATATAAAATACAAATAAGTTTTTAATTCAAAAAACAATTTAGAATCTAAGAAATTATTTTCCGTTGAAAACTATAAAGTATTTCTCAAAATAGGATGAAAAATTATGTATATAAATTGCTCATTTTGGCAATTAAATCAAAGACCAGGCTGTATGAATAAATTGCCCGCATTGGAAATCGAAATTTGTTTTCAATCTTTCCGGTCATTATAGCTTTTTGAAAGTGAGAAATTTAAGGTTGGATCTTATTCTTGAAGCAATTTTTTTTGTCATTTAAGGAATGACTGTAATATTTTTTCTGTCTATGAAGACTGAAATAACATAAAAAATGTGGTGCACACTGAATAACTCGCGTAGCGGGTTATTATAAAGTGTGCACCACATTTTTTTATGTTATTTCGAATAGACAGAAAAAATATTACAGTCATTTCTTATAATTTAATTCTAAATTCCTTTTTAAACCGGAGTAAACCATGAAAAAACGTTGATGACGTCACGGTCACATGACAAAATTATGTCTATGAGCTGATAAACAAAACAACGTCAGCCAATCAGAAGACGCGTTACGTCCAACATTAAATTATACAAGATTAGTTTTAAACACCGTAAATTCTGATTTTAATTCACATTCACTGAGGATTAATTTCTTATTTTTTTTGCATCAGCTTCAGTGAGATCAGGCGAAATCTTTATTATTTCTCCTTAGACAATTTAAAATGAAACAAATGACAAAAGACAATGAACCTTTATCATTTTTATTTTTACTATAAGATTTTATCAATTAAGCAGCATAAATAAAATTTAACTTAATCTCAACATACACACACTGCCAGTATATCGAAACTTCTCTAAAGTATTGTTAACGTCTAAACCTTCTGAAACTCAATTTTAAAAATCACATAAGTTCAAATTCTAAGCGTAAGTCATTAAAATTTACCAGTGTAAAGTTACAGGGACGTACGAAACTTGCGCCGATTAAAAAACATTTTCGATATTTAATTTGCGCGGATTTGATTCTTTCATCAGTGCCTATTTTATTTTGTTATCACCAGCGCCGATACTATATTTGCTATACGATCAAATACATGTACATGCAGTAAACCTAGAATGTATATATTGGTAATATATGGATATAAGCAGTGTTCCCTTATGTTTAAGATCAATTTCGTCATATTTTTCGAGAACTTCGGTTTGACACGAGAAAGAAAAGGTGGACTTCGTTGTTCGCAAGTAC